CATGGTGGATTTTAAAGGATTCAGACAAATTTATTTCAGAACGATCTTTTAATACTGACTTAAAAATCAATTCAAATGTTAGGCCCCCCCCAAAAAAATAGTCGGTCTCTGGTCAGACCGAAGTTCCGGAATTGATGCAGCGACGCGGTTTTTTTTTGGGGGGGGTGGCTTTTTTTTTTTTCAAGCTTGGATTGTACAGACAAGGTGGGTACTATTTTGCTTTTTTGTGTCCTCATTATACATTGGTGTCCTCCATCATTTGCCTTGGTGCTCTTTATCATTTGCCTTGGTGCAATTTCCTCATTCCTTGGTGCTCCTTGGTACAAAAACTTGAGGAGGCGCGGCAATAGAGGGCGCTGTAATAGAGGGCGCTGTTGTAGCTTCCGTGTTAATTTGAAGGGGAAAAAGGTTGATGTGCATGATTAAAATCGACGCGCACGCTGACCAGAGACCGATATTTTTTTTTTGGCCTTAACTGGGGTACAATTTTATGGGCAGGTCATCGAAGACTGGGGAAAGAAAACAAAAACTTGCTTGTCTGATCAGGAATTTTGTGTATGGGCCCTAATTTAATTCCATTGGGGATACATTTGTAAAAATGTAGATATGACACTTGTGTTGTCATCAATCAGGTTTATTTCGGTGGTATTGGAACTGCTAGTTTGTTTTATTTACTACAATCATTCAACACAGTCATTCAATACATGTTGAAACAGTAGATATTTTTGAAGGCAGTGGTATTTTAGATGTTTACAAATTGAAGTTGGACTCTCAAGAATCATTTGTAAAAGTAAGGTCATGAGATGCAAGTCATTTAGTAATTACCGATTATCAAATAAATATATACAACTTTCCCCAATCCTTCAAAACCTGGCAATTGCTCCTGGTGGGTTTAAAATTATCTAGAAGGGTTAAGTTAAAGAAATCTTCATTTTCCCTCTCTCACTAGACAACAGTTGTAGGCATCCAGGGTCCAATTTCATGGCGCTGCTAAGCGCACGATTCTCGGCTAACAGAGCCTCCGTGTATTTCATGGAGACTGTAAGCAGTAAGCATAGCAAAAGGAGAGCTTACCTCAGAGGAAACAGTTACTTAAGGAAGCGAACTAACCATAGAAATCTCCATGTGTGTGTAACCATTGGCACATCCACGCAATGATATAGTGCTTAAGGTTAGCACAATTTTCTGCTTACCTTTAAGCAGCGCCATGAAATTAGGTCCAGTCCACTACAGCTGCAAAACTATACATTTTAGTTCTGGAAGTATGTATTAGAATAAATAATTGATGCATACAGTATCTTTCTAGTTATTTATTAATGGTTTTGTTTGTAAACACACTAAATAAGGCACCACTGTGTACAACTAGTGTAATATTTCAATTTAATTTGAATTTAACCTACTCTTTCTCCTAAAAAATCATTATGGCAACACATGGCAACTGAGCAACAAACTCAGAAACCTGCAAAGATTTTTTTTTTCAGCCAAACAAAATAAACACCATAGAAATAATACATTGCACATCCTAGTCACTGACAGTCAGATCAAAACAAAAATACGATAGCAAGATGTTAAATTCAACCAAATTTATTAATTTTCCACACGGTTAAGTACTGTTAAATAAATCATTTGCACCAACATAATAACAGACACTCTGAAACAGAAATGTCTGAAAGGCTTTTGTTTCGGACAACACGTCTGAAACGTGAACAGTGACGATAAGGCCTGGGCGAGTAGTGGATTTTTCTACTCGAGTGCTTGCAAAGAAGTTACTCACGAGTAGTCGAGTACTCACGAGTAGTTAACCGAATTCCCATAAAAGCAGAAAAATAACATATATACGATATTATAACACCTCACCCACAGATTCTGTGTCTTGATTGGCCGAGAGCGAGTCACATGGTACTTTCTAATTTTGCTATCTTTCTGTGCACGGCCAAAAGTACTATGCGCATAGCAACCAAAGTACTATACCATTAGCAACCAAAGTACTATTTCCACGGCGCGGTATTTGTGTGCAAATGCATGCTGGTTTGCGCGTTGTGCGTAGCGCGTATTATTCCAAAGAGAGCGCGCCGCAGACTTGGGTTCAAACATTTCGTGAAGGGTTAGTTCTTAAGAGAGAAATACATTTTCCACCAATTTTGTATTGAAATTGAAGTTTATTTCAACTGTGTTCAGATTTAAATAATGTAAAATATTAAAATCAAGCAGAATCTGTGGGTGAAGTGTTATAAAACAAATATTGAATGCTTTATCTCGTGGTGAAGTAAAACTAGCCTCCATCGGTGATCCATGGACCATTCTATTTTCCCTCGGCTTCGCCTCGGGAAAATAGAATGGTCCATGGATCACCGAGGGAGGCTAGTTTTACTACACCACTCGAAGCATTCAATATTTGTAAAGTGTGACATGAAGTAACTTACAAGCAACTAGATTGCAAGTCCCACCACATTCTTAAGCACTGAGATATCCTTATTGTGAAACGTTTTGGGTCATTTACTTGAAAAAAATTTTTTAGGGGGGACAAATGGAATCCCAGGGAGAGAGAAGGAGGGAGTGATTTGCCGTTTACAGGGCACGTATTAAGCTGTGAACCCTAACTTTAGTGAGTACCTGCTTCTACTCGCGCCAGGACAAGTATTTAAGTTGATGAAAAACTGCAATTAGAACAATGAGTAGCATAAACTACTCTCAAGTAATCGAGTTACATGGCCAGCGGTAATGGCTATTATATTTCAGACATTTGGTCACCGTTTCAGACTTATTTAAATCCCCTTTAACCCTAACCCTGTAAGCACAGAATCCTTAGTTACAGAATGTACGCATGCGCATCAGCCAAAATTCCTCACTGACGCGTGAAATGCGCTTACCGTAAGCATGGAATATTCGGCTAAGTAAGCAGGGATTTTTTGGCCGACTGTAAGCAGAGCCAAGAAATTGGGCCTTGGTTGACTTTTCCATCTTGCTTATTTGGTCATTTGTTTCTTCCAACATGATCAGTGATAAAGTAATTACTGCATGGAGTCATTCAATTGTGCCCTGAAATTAATGCTGTTTCCTTACATGCACTTATCAAACTTACATTACTTAAACTTACGCAGTTTTAAAATGTTTAAACCATTGTCAAGTTTGTGAACTGGTACTGGCCAACAGCACTACCATTTGAAAATCAGACAGAATGTTTTTCGAACTTGTAAATCTCTAGACCTGTTGAAAATTAATCTACAAAGTATGGTTCTTAATTGAGGTATAATATTCAACACCCTTCGGCTCGACCACACTGTAGCTGCGTCCTTCGCAATTCAGCTCCTCAGCTACGAGTAAGGATGATTTGCCCCCCCCCCCCCCCCACTACTATCCCACATTATACCATTTGGGAGACACTTTAGCGTGGGAGGTTTACCTTTGGGAGATATGTGGAATTAAGGAGACATTTCAATGTCACCCTAATGCCTCAGCTCCTATTTAGAGGCAAAATTTTATTGTCGCAAATAGGCTAGATCGATTGCTCATGGTCCATTTAGAAAAAAATGCCAAAATTTGTTGGGGTAGGACATGGGAAATTGGGGTAAGGGGTCAGGAAAGTCGGATTATTATTTGTGCACAAGTCTGTAGGAATTTCTCCCTAATTTTTGTATATTTTTCAGTTATACCATTATCATTACTGGTATTATTAGTTGTTCCCTCACCATGACCAACTTTATTTCAGAGGTTTGGAAGGAGCAACCAAAAAAAAACTGCTCAAATTTTTGCTTTTCAAAAATACATGTTGCCAACATTTGACCAAAAAACCCACAGCACACAAATGTAAAACACACAATCAGTTTCCTTCAATCCCGTGGCTTTTTGCTACCCCTCCGGGCCCTCCCACTTTGGGGGTTTGATGGGCTTTTGCTCCTCCCCTCTCAAACCAAGATACAACACACATATAACAAAGTGTGTAATTCTTCACACAGGTAGTATTGCCATTGCAGATTCTATTGTTAACTGTTACACAAATAATAACAATACCAATTATCTTCAAGCAAACTTGAATCCTTGATCCTGATTAGTCGATCCATGGCAACAACAGTGTGATATTATACCTAATAGTACTATTAGGTATAACAACGGTCCATACGCACTCTGCGCATAGCGCTATCCCAAGACATGTGCGCCATTCCCGCTGCACGCGCTTGTAATAGGATAACCGCTGAAAAGTTCGCGTGCTGCGTACATGTTCCATCTTTACTGCGCATCAAGTTTGCTTGAAGATAATTTTGTTATTCCATTCGTGCTCGTGGAACACGGAATAATGTAGTGCGTCTGCATCCCACGTAAAATTCAGCCTTCGGGCTCGTGGCATGTGGGACACAGGCGCACTGCATTATTCCATGTTCCACTCGCACTGGTGGGATAACTAATATAATTGTCATTAAAGGGAATATACATCATTTGCTTTTACTGTAATTTTCAGAAATGGATGGAATTGGGGGGTTGGAAATATATATCAAAATATAGTTACACTGACTTTTTTGAGGTTTTGGGTTCGAAAATGCTATATAAACCAAGAAAAACAATCATTTTCCTGTAGTCTGGTTCCCTGACTCCATTGAAGAAGAAACAGAGCAGTTTACATACATTGGGAAATTGTAAGGTCAGGGAACCAGTCTAGCTGCCTCGTACCTGTTCATAGGATTGTAATCGATTGCAAACAAGTGCGATGGTCAATTGGGGCCAGTATTTGAAAAAAAGCCAGTTGTTTCCAACGCTGATCGGACGATCAGCGTTGGAAATGGATACAAAACTACAACTTTTCTTGAAAATGACAGTATACCAGGTGCCATGATTTTACAGGATGCTTTACACTGTCATTCACTAACAGTCCAGCAAGGTATTTCCAAATGATTTGGTAGTTTTATTTTTTGATGTTTGCAAATGTTGTATTTTCCCTTTAATACCACATAACATACTAATTCACTCATTCTCTTTTTAAAAGAAACAAGGGGGAACAGAGTAAATAAAATACAAACATCTTCAGCTGAGTGTTTTCTTGTTCAACAGGTGCTTTTTCCAGGGCAAATATTTTCTTCTCTGTACAAAATATACCATAGACACTTTCTTTTGTACTTACATTATTGAGTGCTATACAAATATAAACATGCATGTACAATTCTGATATATATCATTAGGTGACTTGGGAACATAAAACATTGGATGTAGATTCAGAAAATGAACAGACTACAATTTCCGACAATTTTAATAGCAGACTTCCTTGTGTTGTTTTTTTTTCCCAGAAAAATTGGCGGGGGAAAAACAGTTGAAATGGAAAATGTAACACGAAATATACAAGTACAACTGGTCACCATTGCTTTGTCAGTTTTGTGGACAAGTTCTGCTTCAAGAACCAAGTTTACTGCCAAAGATGGTCTGGTATGAAATTATTCAAGTAGTTTTTGAGAACAATAAATGTTGGAAAAGCACGATTGTGACAGTTCAACGTCCAACAGCTTTGTTCACACCAACTCGGTTAAATGTTTGGCAGAAAGTTTGATAATCAAAAAGTAGTCCACTACAACGCACTTTCAGTTGTACAAAACATGTTCCAGTTCCACACAATTCAAAAACAAATACTACAACCGTTGAATATTTCTGCCATTTCTGCACGTATCATCCATCCCTCTCGGCGACAATACGACTGTTTCCCCATTTTCTTCATCCTGTGAAAGCAGCACCTCGGACTCGGACCCACGACCGTCGTCCTTTGTTTTGGTCTTCAGTTTGAAATACCGCACCTGGGCTTTGTCGTTGCCAGGGTTGTCTTTTAACTTCTTCCGTTTCCGCATGAGGAAGTTATCCACGACCCAGAACATAATTGCCTGAAATGGGAAAAAACAGATTTACAGTTCATGTTAAAAACTTTCTTTTGTTCAGACAAAATATTAAAGGGAATATACATCATTTGCTTTTGCTGTAAGTTTCAGAAATGGATGGAATTGGGGGGTTGGAAATATATAGCAAATATAGTTACACTGACTTTTTTGAGGTTTTGGGTTCGAAAATGTTATAAAAACCAAGAAAAACGATCATTTTCCTGCAGTCTGGTTCCCTGACTAGCTGGCTCGTACCCGTTCATAGGTGTGTAATCGATTGCAAACAAGTGCGATGGTCAATTGGGGCTAGTATTTGAAAAAAAGCCAGGTGTTTCCAACGCTGATCGGCCGATCAGCGTTGGAAATTGATACAAAAATACCACTTTTCTTGAAAATGACAGTATACCAGGTGCCATGATTTTACAGGATGCTTTACACTGTCATTCACTAACAGTCCAGCAAGGTATTTCAAAATGATTTGGTAGTTTTATTTTTTGATGTTTGCAAATGTTGTATTTTCCCTTTAACAGCCAGGAACATATTTGAACTCTCTTTATACCGGGTGACCCAACAAAAATGCAACCCTAAAACATTTGCCTTTAAAAAATAAAGGATCGGTGGATTTTTTATGTTTTTGGTATCGGATTGAAGCTGAGAGCTTTTTCTTGCAAAATACTGGGAAAAAAATCATGAAAATAGCACTTCATGAACCCAGCACGTTTGCTGTATTTAAACAGTTTTTAAAAGCCCCGTGCAAAGTAAAAGTGGGCTTCTACCTCCCACAACCATACAATCTTCTCTCCAACATCTTGCGGAGGTTGAAGAATCTGGCAGGGGATATAGTTCGCTGTTAATTTGTTATTCCCCTCCCCCCCCCCCGACCTACGTGAATGTCCAAATAACTGAATGCATACTCACATTGAGAACGAACGGAACCAGCAGCATAACAATGACTACTTCAACCTTAGGGTTATGTATCGGTGATAGGAGTGTTCTGGCAACCTGCAATCAAACGTGAACAAAGTTACTGCAGTTGGTGACCATATGCATGACTGGCTTATGTTGATCTGTTCTAAGCCTGGAGAAGGAATGGGTGTACGAGGCAAAGGATTGAACAATAGTCCGGGACATCATGAGTTAAAGAGGTTGTTGAATGCTGAAAGTCGTTTTGTTTTTTATATTTTTTTTATTGTAGAGTAGACCAATATATATCATAATGAAAAAGTCCCATTCTTTTGTAATGTGCGTTTATATGTTTATAAAACTGAAATTCATCGAGTAATTTGTTGGTCGGCGAGCCCATAATTGAAATCAACAGTCATCGGGTTCTTCGTAAAATGAGAAAAATCGTGACGTAATAAACAGGACTCGTTTATACTACGTTGCATCGGGAGTCCGGTTTATTACGTCACGATTTATTATGTTTTGTTTGCTGCCCCCAACGACGACTTTTACACAAATTGCACGTTTGGGTCGAAACAGGTCCTGAAAAACAGCTCTCAAAAGTACCTTTTGTACTCATTTCATGACAGACACAATAGTTGTTTGTATTTCATCACACCTTAGGCTACATATACCCAAAAAATGACGGAAATGTCTTTGAGCATTCCACAACCTCTTTAATAAAAATGATTTGGACATTTCCCAACCCTTACGAGTGTGAAGATCTATGGGCTCCGTGCACTAGTACCCCCTCAATGGCAAGAACAGGAGATTTGGGGGAGACCACTGGGAGAGACATTCAAACGTTCTGCAAAGGACACCTGACTCTCACATGAAGACGCTATGGCTTGGTGCACATTCAGAATAAAATCGGTTAAGCGCAATTCACATTATACACATGAGAGCCAGTACAAGCACATGGTGTGTCACTTTTTGTTGGCATGACTGAGAGCTGGATGGGAGCTTCTGGTGAAACTGGATAACCGTTATTCAGTTTGGAAAAAAATAGGATAACAGGATTTTGAATCTCTGATTTCTCCCATCACTACATGTATGTTTGTTTTTACTAGCACTGCGCACCATGCACATCGCCTGGATTTTTTCTAGAGGCGGGCAAAAGCATGGTGTGCAAATTTGCTCGATGACTTATGTGAGCACGGAGCGCGAAAACCCTTACAGCCAGGGGTCCAGGGCTTGCTTAAGGGCCCTGAAAATGTTTGAATTTTAGATGCTCTGAGAGACAATCTGAGGTGAAAACCTGGCTACTTTCCCCTGATTTTTCTTTAGCAAAAGTTTTAAAGATTACAAGCTAAATATTGGCTGCATGGTCACCAATCCAAAAATCGCAAAAGTGAAAAATGGCAGTGCAATGTGGGCATGTGGCGTGATTTCCCCCTCAACTCCCCCTAGCAACGTCCATGCTGGGCACCATTCAATACAAATGGAGCAGAACTTAGCTTTACAATTAAGCTCTAACCTTGGCAGAGCTAGTCCTCCAAATACTTCACTCACCTCAGACCAGAAGTCAAGACTCGCAAAGATGGTGATGACCACTTTCTCAAGAACCACAATTAGAACAAAGACTCCGCACTGGCCAACCCAGGCTTCGCACATGGGTGGATCACCGTACTCGCCAAAATACAGCGTCTTGCAGCTACAGAGTTTGACGATACACTGCGAGATCTTGACACAGATGTAGATAATGAAAAGGCCGAAGGTGGAATCTAGTAGGAAGAACACGATGTACCTGGGGAAATGAACAATCCCAAACTAGCATTGAGACATTTGAATAGATATTCATAAATACCTAAGACAGTTAATCCATTCCTATTAGTCGAGAGCCCGTCACATGAAAATTGGACTCCTAAAAATCCAGTGCCTCTTACCGTTTTATTGGTTGAACGTTCACAATCCTTACGTCATGTACGTAGGCATGCGCAATAATACCAGTGAGACAAATTCACAACAAAACGCCCCAGGTGGTTTCGGCACGTCATCGCACAGTACGCACGACGCGCGCGCCAAATCTCCATAAAAGGAGTTGTTTACATCTTACTCGCCAGCTGGACACTCCGTTATTTAGCTAGAGGGGTGTTTCAAACAACATGAAGTGAACTTGTTGAACAAAATCAGGTTTTTCCCTTATTCAAAATCAATCATTTCTGGCTAGATTTTACCACCTCCAATTTGCCAGGGGTACCACCTAAATACCATTTAGTATGTTGAATTGATATAAATGGTTAAGTGTCAGTTGGGAAGTTACATGTATGACTGCTATTCATGAGTTGGAATGTTTGCGTCGGGGTGATGTAAATCAATATTAGGTTTTTCCCTTCACCAACGTATAAACACTGTATACTCAGTGTGTTACCTCCCGAGTGAAAGTGGGAAAAAACGTGAATAGCTAAATGCTGCACCTGCTGCTTTGTACATGAGATTCGAACCAGCCAACCGATCCCGTTAGCTTGGTGGTCGAGTGGTAAGACGTCTGCACTAGAAAGCAGGAGGTCGTGGGTTCGAATCCCACCCGAGTGATTTTGTTCCCACTTTCACTAAAAAGTTCATTCATTATCAGGCCCCCAAATTTTTGAACTCATTAAATCAAACTCTTAGAATTGTCAACAGTAGGCCTTTATTTAAAAAGAAGCTAAAGTCTCTGCTTATGGAAAGTTACAATAATGCTTAATGTTTAATTTTAGTTTTACTTATTTTTTGCTGTGAACATATTCTTCTTATGATTTCCCATGTAGGCTCTGATTGTACTTGATTTGTTTTGTCTTGTCCCGTTTGTGTTGGTCCCTTGTATATGTGTGTTTGTGTAACTTAAAGTGTACTTCACTGTGTAGTTAAGTTAAAGGTACAAATGTATTTAATATATATTTTTTTCTACACATAATGGACTTCTCCACTTGACAAGCTTGCTTTTTGGAGAAGCCCACCGCTTAATCTTATCCTGTTATCTAAATTATTGTTTAAACCGTTTCCCTTCAAAATGATTAAGTGGAAATAAATATGAATGAATGAAATATGAATGAATGGAGGTAACACACTGTGTATACAGTGTTCATACATCCGTGCAGGGCAAAACCTAATATTGAAGTTATGACTGGTCGACCACCGAGCTTGCCGCTCCATGGCATCCGATGGAAACACTCACCATATGCAGGGGTCTCCACTGGACAGTTCTGTCGACAGGAACACGTTGGCGATGTGAATGACCCCAGCTCCTAGGGCCTGCTTGGAGGTGTCGTAAAACCTGCAATGAATTCAGTCCAACACATTCATTCAACAAATGTCATCCACACAATCAAGGCTTTTGCAATGAAAGCTTTTGTAACATTTTTTTTAGCCTTCATACGCTGTTCAGTTATAGGCTGTTAGTCCATTACTGATCCATCTAAAAACTAACCATTCTGTATTAACCCTAACTCCCTATAGGCCTTTTTGCTAGGATGTAGCCTCAATCCTGCAAAATCCTCCAATTGGCCTCATGGAAAAAAAAGCATAGCCTCAATCCCGCAAATTCCTCCATTATTTCTTGATTATGGTCAGTGGAGGGGTGACCACTGCTTGAATCCTGCAAAATCCTGCGGCAGTGACTGTCAATATGTTGAGGCTTGGCCAGTGACATCCTGGAGCAGTGCGGAGGATTTCAAGCATAATCCAGGCCTCTATTTATGCATGGCTGAGCAAAACCAAAACACAACGTCCAGTTCAAGACCTTGACAAAGTGCATCCTACAAAATCAGTAACATACTTTTGCCATGCAACCTCAATCCTCCAAATTCCTCCACTTTAGCAAAGAGGACTTTGAAGGATTCAGGGCGATTAGGGTTATTAATCCACACACTGCATGCATGGAGAAGACGCTATATCCGTCAACATGTTTACGTTCATGTACCTCGCATATTGTGTGGGAGGCAGTATAAGTCACGTATCAAATCAAGCTCACCATACATCAGCTATATAGGCATTATTAGGAAACTGTTCTGTGACAAGAACATTGGCCAAATTATAATAATTATTGATACCGAAGCTTTGAAGCTCATCTTGATGATCTTACCAGATTCTCCACGACCTCCTGTCCTCTTTGGGTTCTCTCAGTCGCTTCACTACGAAATAAAGCCAAAATGACACAACTATGTTAATTAAAGGTCAAATATCATTGCGTAAATAGAAACAGAATATTTGTAGAGCCAAGCTCCTGTTATTGGTTATCATCGTCGGTTTTGAGGCCGTTGTCCAGTCTGTTTCGTTGTCCAGTCCTGTCATTCAATGTACATTTGTAAATGCAACTTATCGACCTTTTGCCGCTTGCGAGTTAGCCACGCCCCTTAGACAACCCTATGGAGTTTTTGTACACTAATTTTTGTTTGTCTCAGATTTTGCGCGTTCCACGTCCATTTGTATACCATGTAATTGGACAATAATTTACAAGCTGGGTTGACGCAATTCTTACGCGATTCTACCGCGATACAAGTACATGTAGGTCAACTGCTGCACTTCATCAGGACTTGAGCTTCCAGCTATCAAAATTTGTGATGCGATCAAGCTAAAAATGAGTCGTTTGTCGACCCTGGTCAATTGTGTGTGTTTTTACAGATTTAAAAAGAGCACAATCTCAGCATTACTGCTGTGAAAACCGCATGCTGGTACCATCTTTAGTTTAAAAAATCATGGAAGTCAGAACATCAAGAGATGTGATGAAGTGATGTAATAAAGTGGCCCTATTTTGGCCTGAATCTCCAAATGAAAGTTCCTCAACAAACGACTCATTTAGCTTGATCGCATCACATTTGAAAAAAGCTGTTAAGGGTTCTAAAACAATGATCAATACATTTGCATTTACAGAATTGAAGATTCTTTAAAAGTTGTTTTGTTTTTTTATTGAGTCTTGGAAAAAGACAAAATCATTCCTCATGCCATGTACACAAAAATATCCCATCAATAGTGAAAAAGTGCCAGGATTTGGAATCTCCAGTGATATCTGTCAGCAGATACCGGTACACAATGGTACATGTACAAAAAAAATTGATTACAAAATAACCCTTCCTTATTTATAAATTTTCCCATCATTATTCAGTCACTTTTTGATACATCAATGGATATAGTTGACCTATTCCAATAGGAAAATTAAAAAAAAAAAAAATTTAAATCAAGGGTCAATAATCCAAAATGACAAACACAACAAATTACACACACATATTGTATGACTGTTGGTCAGATAATTAACATATACAAGGCCAAGTAACTGTCCTCATTTGTTCTCTAAACCTACTGTAGGTACTACATGTAGGTACATGTTGCTATCAATATGAATGCCATTGATGATATTTACTGACCTTCACACAAAAGCCATTAATTCTAACTTGCACTGACAATGCCACAAACCATCGCGTGCCAAGGAATAGGACGTTAGCAAACCCAGGCACGCAAAAACACTTTTGAAGATAATACAGTTGAAAGGATTTGTGTTTTCAATTTCTAAATTAAAAATCACATGAGGCTGAAATTTTGACTTATGAAATTATTCAATAATTGAAATAATAGTGGGTATTTTTATTTCAAAGTATTGCTTAATTTTGAAGTTATTTACAGTTTTATGTTAACGACTTTTTACTGGGAGCGCCCCCTGCCTTAAACATGCACTTAAGTGGCAGTTAAATCATAACGTCCTTTTGCCGGGAACAAACTTGGCTTTGCGTACCCACTTCAGTGGGACGTTAGCGCACTTGGAATGTATTTTGTTACATTAGAATTACACGCTAACGTCCTTACGCCAGGAGCAAATAATAAAAATCCTCCTTCCATCGTTTTCACACAATTAAATACGTCAGAATAGCCCCTTGAGACAAAATGTATACTAAATGAAAGATTTTCGAATTTCGAATGTCAACTTTTAATCCATTTTTTTGCACTAACGACCTTCTTCCAGGCACCCGACAAAATGTAATATGAGTAAATGCCAAGGTTTGAAATGTTCTACAGGTAGTTGTATTTTTCCTTCCGTGGGAAAAAGAAATGTGTTAAAGGAATCCCCATAATAAGTGTACAAAAAAATTACAGATTGGGAAGTAACAAAATATTGTCTGGCTGTACTCAATTTGTCAATTCTTCTTGTTGTTTTATAGCAAAACTGTTTGACCAAAAAACTCTGTTCAACCAGTTATCAGTTGCAAGTCAAGAACAATACAAATGATGAGCAGTCAATTGCTTTTCGTCTAGTTTTTTGCAGTTGAAATGAAAATTTGGGTTATTTTCCGAAACAAAACAAAACAGGATAGTATTATTGAGATATAATCATACTTCAATGTTCAAGTAAGCCTAACCCTGCTGAATCCAACAAGATCCAACTATATCATATACCCGATGGAGCCTATTGGATTGAGCAGTAAACCCCTTGTGTACATTCCTGATGCCAAATGTTGGATTTACAAAATGTAGCAGGCAACTAAACTGCATAATGACGCCAAGTTAGACACTGTCGGATTCAGCAGACAACTGAAAATAAGGCACAGTGGATTGAGCAGGAAACACCGGTTGGAACATTGGATTTAGCGGGGCAGTCCTGAGGAACTACTAGGGGGTTAGGGTTTTAATGTACGTCAGTGACATCATCACTCCGGCACAGAAATCCAAATCTCTTGGGACATCGTTTACACATGTACAAGTGCCATGAGCTTCTTTTAACTGCATACATATAAATACATTTAAATAAATACATTATACATTAATTACATGTAAATACAAATAAACCTAATTTATTATGTCTATTTGCAACCAACACACACGATGCTAATACATGTACTAGTATATACAGCTTGCCTAAATCATAGAGCCCTCTATGCCTAAATACATTGTATCAACACAGATCTGCATACAGTACAGAAATCCTTGTGTATTGTTAGCACTAGCAATCACAACTACGACATTGTATCTTGTGAGGCTTGTCTAATCATTAATACATGTAGTTAAATACGACATGCACGGTCGCCATCAAGATGAATTTCTTACGGGGTACTCTGGACTTTGAACGTGACAGACATGTGCAAAATACACACTAAGTGGAAGAGGACATTAATATTAATGCCTAATGCTTGAACTGAATGCATAACGTGGTCTGAATAAAGCATCAACTTTAAAAACTGAAACACCAGATTTCAAACACAAGAATGAATAAATACATGTATCCATGGTAATACTTGCCCATAATACCCCCATGTTACACAAACTTCAAATGGCAAAATATAGGTGTTGGAAGAAAAAGAAAATTACAATCTTTAAGAAAAAAAGATGAACAAAATATGTACATTGTACATGATTATGAGTGACTACAGTACCACAAGACGCAAAGCCTTTCTAAAAATAGTGGACAAGTGATACTGGAGATTAGAATGTTTTCCCCTCATTTGCCGTTCACAAATTTTGTTTGTTTCTAATAATATGAATAATAACACCACTCAACATCTGAAGAAGAATGTTCAAACCTACAACCATGACAACCTGTTGAAGTTTCAGCTCAGTGAATGTAATACACTTTCTGAGAAAACAGTAAAAAAAAAACCATGCACAACAATAACGTCAGTTTCTTTTTGGATAACTGCAAATGATGGACTGTACCTTTAATTTTTATACTTTAAAAAGTCCTCAAAAGGGCACAGTTCTTCCGAACCAGTACAGAGTGTTTGAGGCTGAATTAGCACTGGTAAGGTCGATGACATGGATAAGCCATCGCCATGGTACCGGTTCATTGGACACACAAGAGTAATAATATCACTCTTGTGTGCACAACTTGCCCACATGCATAATCTACAGATGTGAGATGAGACCTGCTCTCTAAAGAGTGTACCCAAAGTGAATACATCACGCGCACAATTATGTGTGTAAAAGACATTAGCGCGTGATTCAGCCCGTGAAGTACACGCACGCGTACTCCATTCGTTTGCACGTCCCGGTTCTAACTCCACACTTCGGTACTCTATAATTGTGCCCTTGCTTTCAAAGCAACTGGTTGTTGATTGCTGCAAATCCTATTTATTTGATTTTATATAAATGACCACTCAGTCATACGGAACAGGAATGCTTGGTGTACATTTAAACACACCATTGCCACTGCTTCCTCTGAACTGGGAGCCACATGGTGGTCATATGCTGAGTATTTGTGGGGAAAAATTGATTTGAGGAAATCCAAATGGGGACTGTGTTTTTCACTGACCTTTTTAAAAACCAGGAAAAATTGAGTTCTGTTACTGTAGGCGTCTAGTTATCTTGTAATTTTCAGGCAAAATCTACATTGAGTTCAACCAAAAAAAAGATGTCAGCATTTTGATTTTCCCTGGTTTAATATTAACCAGGTAGGTATCTCACACTGTGAATATCAAGTAAAAAAAACTCCCAATTTTGATTTCCTCCAAAAAACCCCAACTTTTCCCCACTGTGTGGCTCACAATTAATACCAGTATTTGAGCCAAAGCCTAGCATTAAGGATTCAAATTTAAATCACTTGGCTTCACTCTCACTGGCACAACATGTTGAAGGAGAGTCTTTAAATATTGAATTGAGCTTGGCTGTTGAAATACTGAGGACCTTGTCTTTGCCTCATGACAATTTTGGAGAATTTTGTCAGCTTAAGAGTGAGTAAAGTTGGCCAGAATTTCTTTCTGCTGATTGGTTACAGAAGGCAACTGATGAAAACTGGTGTGCAAATGAATTAGAACTGGGCAGAGTGATCCAATGAAAACATCCATTCATTTGCACACCAGTTTCTATCAGTTCAGTTCCTATGCTATACAGAACTCCAGACTCAAGAACCATAGACCAAGTTCACTAAAAAAAAATTCAAATTCAAACACGCATGTGCGCATAAATGGGCATAAATAAGGCTGTGTGTTGTCCAGTTTGTTCTGGGTTGGCCTGCTTTCTCCCTATGGCTCTCCTCCACTTGGCCCTGTCCGTCGCGTCCCTCGCATTGACTCCAAGCAGTCGCATGTCATCAGTCACGGAACTCTGCCGCGTCTTGCGCGGTCAGCCAACGGGTGTGGGCGCTGGGCCCACCCGCGTCTATTTTGGTACACCTTTTGACCCAACTGGCATCATCCTTTCTCTCAATGATGTGAACATAACCACCTCAGCCTGTGCCTCCTCAACACGATAAAGATCCCTTCCATTCAAACTCCCCTCCTCAATTCCTCACTTGACAACCTGTCACTGTCAGCCAGAGACACCCCGCACATCCACAGGGCTGATCATTTTCAGCTCTGTCGTGTACCTGTTTCGAGGCATCAAGTTTTCGAGGTTTGATCTTGTAGGGATGAACGCACACACGCGCAGATTCTTACCACACAACCACTAGTTGATTTGTTGTGTGCGGTACGTGTTCCACAAAAAAATTGGAACGCGAAGGCTATGTCGGTGTTTTTCTCTTGCTTGAAATAAATCCTTACATCCTCGAAAACTGGTACATCGAGGCCGCCCTAGATGTTTTCATCGGATGACCGTCATGTCAGCTCAGCCCGCCCCTACCTATCCTAAATAATCGTTAATTAATCATTAAACTACATTGTTTGTTAAAATGAAAACATTATTGGCCTAGGCGGTAGGCCCTTCTTTGACCTTTATAAACCAACAATTGGTGTCTCCTGAAATCGAATGCAACATTCTGTCTAGTCTAGCAATGTCTAGTAATTAATAGTATAGCATATATAGTAAAACAATTTTCTCATGGAACTCACCAATTAAGCTACTAAATGCCAGCACAGCCAGAATGCCTTGGATGATCATGCCAAACCCGTCAGTGAGAGCCCCTTGACGGCAATGTTCGGCGGGTGATTCCGTCTTGTTTACCCGGCTAATGTTACGAAGCATGTCTCGCTCGGAAGTCGCACGTTCCCGTTCATATTGCATGTATTGCATAGTTACGCCCGGATCGGCCGACAGACTGTTCGCGAAGGGAGCAATAACCACGCTGAAAACTAACAGAAAAATCGACATTCCCGAACGAGTCAAGTGGTCAGTGATACTACAAACTTAACGGGGCAATAATCAGTTGTTCGAAGATGGAAATCTGCTTCTTTCCCATCACATTTCTAAATTTTGAGTAATTCCGAAGTTCAATCACAATCAGTTTGTCAATGGCAATGATGTCATGTTTCCGCATAAAAGTCGATTTCGCGCGAGATCCTGCGGTGTGTCAAAGTTCACGTCTTGACGCCCACGTGGTGCTCACCTATTTTGCATTTTGGCAATCGCAGCCAAACAGCGGCACCGGTGTTGTTGCACCTTATAAATATTCATATAACAAGTGTTGACGTCTCGTTCTATTTCACAACCAGGAGGTGCAGACAGTTTTGCATCGAAGAGCGAGAGACCTCATGAAAATGATCTTGTCTTCAAGAAAAACTGGCGCACTGTCATTGATTATTCTTAGAACTATTGTCTTTTCGACTGATGTACCTCAAATATTTGTGTAATTTGCCCCGAAATTGCAACACCCCCTGCCTCTATTTTTTTTTTCACCAACGCGAACTCCACCTACCCATATGTTGATTAGGATTCGTCGACATAGAACAAAGTATAGGTATTGCTTTCAAATTCGTATACTTTGTTTATACATTTCTGAAGTTAAGGCTTTATATTTCCATTACAAATATTTAAAGTGTTTTGATAATATTATTGAATTTAAATGTTGATTGATCTGGTTATATTAGACCTTCAAAGAAGATAGCGAAATATGCAAAAGTCCCGTCTGTACATACATCTTACCCCTCTATTTAATGCATGATTCTGCACATGCGCAGTTTACTTTACCAGGTGCCATTTTGCTGAAGATTTGAGAGGGTGATCGCGGCAGAAACGAGTGGAAAATTGTCGAAAAGCACCACAAAAACCCGCATCTGTGGGGTAAGAATACTTTTGTTCGCAAGTGTGTGACCTATACCATGTACTGGGAGTACTTGATTGATTTTTTGTGTCGTATTTGTGGATTTCCTGCTGCCGAATGTTTGTCAGTGTGCTTGCAAGGAAGTTGTTTTGCCCTAGCGTGCACTTCATGCGTACGTACGAACGCTACGTCATGTACGTACAGGGGTGTTTGCATACTCATTAGTTATGCAGAAAGCGCCATGGGTATGAGATGGTGTGTGGATCGCTGGGGTTCATTTAGGGACTAGCGCAGCGGTTTCAGCAAAAAGACGTTAAGAATGGTCACTTCTTTGCAGTTTTAATGGAATATATTTCGATAAATACTTCACCAATATTTTATAAGTTTTTGATCAGTCACTTGAGCGTGTTTTGTATTTAAAGAAATTGCAGAAAGAAGTTAAATTTTGGTTAAAAAGTGACGTAAATTGAAATTCAGTGGCATGCAGTTGCAATTTGCAGGTTACATTTTGAGTTTTAAATTCCCAACAAATTCCCAACGGAGAATGAAAACAGCAATGAAATGAAAAAAAACATGATTTTTTTTTTTTTCAACATTTTGTTCACTATTTGATTGAACTTCAAGGGCTTTAGGCCTATTTTTATTATTACATTTAAATTTGCATTTTATACTTGAAAGTAACTTTCAAGTGTCATCCTTAAATTGTTGAGACCCTACAACTACAAGTGTAAAATAAAAATATTCCTGGAACTATTTGTATGTGTGTGTATTTGATTGTTAAAATACCCTCTCATATCTATTAACCATTAGCATTAACCATGGAGGAATTATTTCTCCATACATTAACCAACCAGCCGTTAACCAACTATTAACCATTACATGCATTAAAGCCCAAATAGAAGCACATCACCATCTTCAAATCAAGAGTATCTATTTACAAATTGTCCAACAAGTTTTCATAAAAAATCGGAGTGAATAAGCCACTTTGCCTTCAGAGTTACAAAAATGTGTTCCTGTGCATGGGCACATCAGATACAATGATTTAGTTTTATGGATGAAAGGTTCGCAACACGCGTGCAAAATCCAAGCGGGGTACCAACAAAATCAAAGAAAAGTTCTTGTTTTGAAGTAAATGCAAACTTTGAGGTTTTTTTTAATGGCACCGTGATTTTAAGTTGTTTTGTATTCTCCAACTTTTTGGAGAACAGAAGGTTCCATCTTCTTTCTGATTCGATGAAAAATTGCAAAATGTGAATTTGGTTACCATGTCCCCCATAGACTTGTGTGCATTTATCTGTTTTGTTTTTTATCCCCCGAAACTAAATCGTTGAATCTGATGTGTGCACGCGCTGTAGTACATTTTTGTAACTCCGAAGTGGCTGATAATATGTCGAGATTTTCATGTGAAGTGGGAGTCACAGACTAGAGTGGCCTCCATCATGTTTAGATCTATGCACTGATTCTGCTGTGAAAAAAAAATCAAAATACAGATTTTGTTAAAGTCTTAGGCCCATGTGTTTAAAACAATCGTTTAAATGACCAAATCATGTTTCAAAATAATTCAGAGAAATGATCCATGCAATAGTCTTTTCTTTCTTTTTTTACAAATGTTTAACTTTACGTGCAACTTTTCTCGGGTCCGCTGATTTTCTCATTTTTTACTTCTCATGAATGCCATTACAAATTAAAAAACACTGTACAATGTCTTGTGTGGTTTGGGAGTTTCCTCGATTTTTCTAATTTCCCAGGTGCGTGCCTGACTTCAAACCCTTGAATGACAGAACTCAACTCCCGTAATTAAGACATTCTAAGATTATGTTTACTGTGCTCTAGCTTTTGAAGAAAACATTGATTAATGTTGAGAATTTTTGTTAAAATGCTTAACCATGATGTTGCATATTATATTACAAATTCGGGGAGTGAAGTTGCACACTCAATTTTAAAGCAGAGTACAAAAATAAACCAGTTTCTTGTCTCCGCCGCTTCCTTTTATCCTGGCCGTTTTTTGGGTGTTTTTTTAATTCATACATAAAAATGCAATTATTTTTGTCCAGTATATTGTCAATATTATATTGTCTTTTTATTTGTTTCCAACAAAATTATGTAATGGCTCCTTTGAACACAAGTTTGTATCAGTAAAATAGTCGAGATCATTGAAGACTCCATCCGTCATCTTGGAAAGTCCACCATCTAGGGGGAAGGGGGGGGGGAGGAAGGAAAAAATCACCCGCCTACTTCATTTTTACAAAAAGGCTGGATGAGAATCTGCTTATTTTTATGTACTCGGCCTAAATATTTACCATTTCTTATTGCATTTGTACATGATTTGATGAAACTTGCGCCCCCAAAAAATATTGATTCCCACTTTTTGCACTGGAATTGTGTTGTCACTTCTCAATTCCCTGTTTTTATTTGTTTGATGATTCATAATTAGATCTAGCTAATTTGAACTTCGGTTTGAAAATACTGTATTTATTTGAGGGGGTGATAAGTCTTATATTAAACCCCCCCCCAAAAAAAAAAAAAAATATTTGAACTGATTTACTGTCAGTGCTCTTCAACAAAGTTGGTTATGTTCTCCTAATGACAACTGTTCAACTGACATGTAGATGTTTTATTTTAACCCCCCCCCCCCCCCATTCAGGAAAGTATTTTGAATGACATTGTAATGTGATGTATAGAAATTTACACCAAAGTCATGATTATTGCTAGTATTCAAAAGCCAAATTTTAGGTTCACAGGCTTTTATACCTGATACGCCACCTTATATTTTACTTGTCAGACTCAGTAAAGGACTCCACTGCTGCACTGTTATCTTATGCACGCTCGAACACCAATTGAAGCCTTGTATCTTGTTTGCATATGCCTGACAAAAAAATATGGTAAAGATGGTCAGTGTACAAAATATGATAGGGATGTAATTCTCAGGCAGGCAACTTTTCCTCCGATTCGCTGATTTCCTCGTTTTTTTACTTCTCATGAATGCCAAATTTACAAATTGATAAACACTGTACAATGTTGTTTAGAGTTTCCTCTTTTTTTTATTCCCTGTTGCATGCCTGGATTCTATGTGACATTAGATATTTTCAGGAAAATAGGAAATTGATCTTATATTTTTCGGGAAAAATAGGAATTAAATACATCCGGCTTTAGATTCAGTTGCCAGTAATCCCTCAGCGCAACCCTGTGCTAGACTCAACATTTATTTATAACATTTAAAAGTTTTTGTAATTTCATTCTTCATTTTATTTTTCAAGATTTGCCTTTAGTTAAAGGGAATATTTGCAAATGAACGGGTGCAGGCCAGCTAGACTGGTTCCCTTACCTTACAATTTTCCGACATCTATAAATTGATCCATTTTACCTTTATTGGAGTCAGGGAACCAGATTACTTAAGCATTTTTGTTTTTCTTGGTTTTTCAAGCATTTTTGAAAACAAAACTTCAAACATGTCAATTAAACAACATTTGATCTATTATACTAACCCTTCAAAAAGTTCATTTCTGAAAATTACAGCAAAAGCCAATGATGTACATTCCCTTTAAAAAAAATTATAGAAGATCATGGATACATTGACTTCACTTTTGAAATGGACATCAACCAAAACATTGACTCTCGTGCGTTGTGGGTGCAAAAGCAACCCAAAACAAAGCATATTTTCAGAGGATTGAAAACGTCAAAAAAAGAGGGGAAAAGTGGCTTTTTCCATAAAATTGAAAATTAAAAATTAATTAGTAGGAAATGTTAAAAAAATCTCATGGGTAGAGCAACTTTAACCCTTACTCTCTGAGGGTAGTTTACTGCATGTCAGTTGGTTATGCCAATGCCCTCCAGCTGCAGTTTATTGGAGGATACTTTGATGTAGCAGTGAAGGCTCCAATTGGCAGGAGTTGGAGGCCCTGGAGGGTGCCTGATACTGACCAGCTGGGGGCACTCACTTTGTTATCAGAGGACTCTCATTGTTCTCTGTGGCATGTATTGGAGTGCCTGTCCAGTTACCCTTGAAATGACATGGCAGATATTGGAGGGCCATGCAAAAAACATAGGAGATTTTCTTGAGGCACATATTGGCATGCGTTGGAGGGTCTAGTAGGGTAAGGGTTAAAGTGTGAACAATTAATAATTCATTTGTAATTGATTGAGTTCATTTTATTCAAGTTATATAAATTGATAAAAGACAATATGAGCAATTCGGGAAATTCACAATGCAGTGCGCCACCAAGACTTTGCCACAGAGAGTTCATTTTTCGCAGTGCATTGTGGGAGATGGTCGACAAATTCGCAGCGGGGGACATTTGAAACTGTTAGTTTTCCTGTCAATAGTTTCATCAGCGTTGAATCGAGTATATGTTTGCCCTTTTTCTTTTCTTTTTATGGTGTTTTTGTAAGGCGGTAGAACGCTGTGCCCCAATCTATATCAAATTAGCTCAAGTTGTCTACTTACACTCATTCAAATGGACCGTGCTTTGTCGACCGTGAACTTGAAAAATGGACTCTCCGTGAAAAACTATTGGTGGCGCACTGCATTGTGAATCGCTCGAATTGCATTAACATTATATTTTAATGTGAAATTTAAAATTATTACACATCAAAAAAGTTCTGGAGGGAAAAAAAGTTATCTAAACAAAATCTGCCAAACACAAAAATAATGGTGTGGTTTGCAGATAAAGTAAAAACCTTCAGTTGGGGAAGTGTTTTAATAACTTTTTCAGCAAAAGTTTTCATGAAGAGTCAAAAAGTTTCTTTGGAATCAATTTTATTTGTTGACTTTTTGTAGACTGAAAGATGAAGGAAGCATGCAATCTGTGCAAGTGTTAAGAACAATTCCCATCATTGACAGAATGTTTGTTTTTTTTCCAAAAATCAATAGAACAGTAGAAATAGCCTGGAATTGGGAATTGAACCTGCAACTTTCAGAAAGTAATTTTTCATTTTCTGTTTCTTCACAGTGTCATTATCGCGATGTTCATTGGTCAACAGTAAAATGGGGCTTTGATAAAAGTCAACAAAGAACCAATAACTTTTTTTTGACTGAAATGGCCTTAACAACTGTGTGAAAGGGTTTCAGTGAGACTGAACAATGGCCTCCAACCAGCCCAAATCCCAAAGTCAAGTACCCGGACTCCCGCCCACTATTCTAATAGTACCAAAGGTGAGCATCCAACAGGATAAAGCCCAGACTACTCCTCATCAAGCAGGTACTTCGCAAACTTCATCGACTTCACAGGGTATCCCAACTGCAACGGGGATACCATCCAGCCAACAGTTGGTGCTCAATCTGCAGCAGGCCCAGCTCGGTCAGAATGCCAATCTCTCTCTTGGGAATAACATCACCCTGACTGTGCAGCCTGCCGCACAGCCGACAAGACCCGGGATCAGTACAGGAGCCACGATGCCCAAGCTAGGGGCCACGCAGGTGACATTGGAGGGCCGAAAACAGGACGCTGCGGAACACCCCAACAAGGTGGGGGCCTTCTTCAAGCCACCCTCAAAACAGCCCGTGCAGGTCCCCCAGCGAGTGTACAAGAGATCTGTTGCGGCAATACAAATGCAGCAGCTTAAGCAGATTGAGAAACAAGTCAAGACAGGGGCCCTAACTCAGCCAGCACAGATGCAGGGATTGATGCAGCCAAAGATGCAGCCCAGCCAGGTTTCAGCCGTTCTGCTGCAGCCAAAGCAGCTACAGGGAAGCATTGCAAACAGTGTGAGCATTACATCTGGAAGCCAAGTGGTTGCCACAACAGGAAAGTCTAGCGCAAGTAGCCCAACTTCCAATGCTAAGAGCCAGCCTTTGTTGTTGCAGACAGCCATGTCTCCCAAGATCATCGTCCAGGCCGCTCCAACAGGGACAGCACATCAGACAGGACCTAACAAACCTGTCATAATCACTGCAGGGCAGAGATTCACAATCGTCCCCAACACCCAGGGAAACCTGTTATCGCCGACATCTGTTGGACCAACAGCAGGCATAGCTGCCAGCATTACCAGAACTGTGACCCCGACAGTCGCTCAATTAGCACGGCAGCAGCGATATCAAAAAGCGCTGGCAGTAGCACAACAACAGCAACAGCAGCAGCAGCAGCAACAACATCTAATCACACAGAACGCCATGGGTCAACGGCCTCTTGCCCTCAAGCAAACGGCAACAAGCCCCGTTCAAGTTTCCCCCGCGGTAACCATCACACCAACACAATTACAAGCAGTGGGGACTTCTGCATCTACTTCCACCCTGGGTCAGATTCAGTTCACACCAAGGATCCCGCTAGCCATAACATCCCAAGCTCAGCAGCTGCAACAGCAGCAGATCCAGTCGCTGACACCAGGATCCAAAATCACCCTGGGCCAGGTGGGTGCCATCTCCAACGTCCACCACCGAACATCCACCACAACACCATCGACCAACATAAGTATGGGAGCAGGCGCAAACACCCAAGGGGGCAATATATTGGCCCCTCAGCAGACACCGCTGACCATCCTTCCAAAACAGTTTATCCTCGCATCTGGCATTCCCGTACCATCCACTCTACCATTCAATCTCCAGTCTGGAAGCACGCCGCTATCCACCGTCCAGGCCAAGATTATCCAGACTCCAGTGCAAGGAGGTAGCTCCACACAGGCGAGTCTCCAGACCAACATCATGCTACAAGCTCTGCCTAAATACACCCAAGCTCAGCTGAAAGCGGGAAGCGCTGCGGGAAATCAAGCCTCTGCTGCAGTGGTCCAGGGTTCGACATCACCCTCGGTTGTACAGCCTCACCTCATACAGACATGTGGTGCACAGGCAACCATTGGACTGATTCAGGTAAGAAATACAGCGCATTACGCTCTCGACTGAATGATTTAACACATTTTAATTCTATTCCAGTTGTGTACATTGATGTTTTTCTTTTACCCTCGATTGTCGCAGATTTTAACATTTCTTAGGGGAGCATGCCTTCTGCCTCTCAGCAGGTGCATGCCTTCAGCTGTAAGAGCTAACCCTGCTCCTACTCTTCCCCTTCTAAACCTGGATCTGGTCCAGGGTTTCATACATTCAAACACAGGTCTGGGCAAGTTCCTAAATTTGCCTAAAAGAAATATGGTAAAGTATTTTATCAGCTGGTGGCCTTATGCATGCACTGACTTTAAAGGCTTCTCAGTGATTGAGCCCCTCAGAATTTCAGCTAAATTAAACTATCACACAAAACCATTGTACTTTCCCCACCAGGCCTTCCGGATCCCCTCCTGCAAGAATTACATTAACGATATATTTAGAATACATGTAGATATGTAGTACTTTAATGAGTAACTAAACAGTAAAACTGTTTTGTAGCTACGACTATTTATTCAGATTCCATCCAACTTGACAGGTGAACCTATCCCAGTCACAGCAGTCCCTAGCAACCGTCAACACCCTCAGTCAGCCCATCGTCAGGGCAACCGTCCAGGCCCCTATCCCCCACTCTCAGACCGAGGGCTCCATGACCTACAGACCCCAGTTGCTGCAGGTGACCGGACTGCCCAATCAGCAGTATCTGCAGGTCGTGCCCCAGCCCCAGCAGCCTATACTGCCCATGCCGTCTGGCCAGCAAGTCTCTCAGGTAGTGTACCAAATTCTTGCAAAGACTGTTTCACAGATACTGGCATCAAGTGGTGGTATTTCATTTTTTCAATTGTTTTAACAATAACAAAGGCATTCCTAATTGTTCATCTCCTGTTACTTGTGGCCTCACTTGTAATTGACTAATGATATTGACTTGTACAGGATATCTGGAAGGAGAGCTTTTGTTTTAATTACAGTGAGTTAGCATTTTTATGTCTGTTTATCCTTTTACCCAATGCAGAGCCCAGTGTCCATGCCAGTTCCGATCGCTCCCAAGATGCCCTCGCCCAAACTCGGCTCACCGCATCCAGTACTTACTCCCATCACCGCCGATGGTGACAAGAATGCTGCCAAGGAGTCCATGTCTAGCATCGACGTGGCTTTGAAGTAATGATAATTGCATTCCTTAGGCAGAATACAACCGTTCAGCCAATTCAGTTTGCTTTGTAATTCATTTTTGTAGTCAAGGTTAATAATAATTATAATAATAACTTGTGTTGCTTATATGGTGCTTTCCACCAAAGGTAGGTCTCAAAACGCTCCACAGTTATTACCCCTGTCGCCATGAGGCCACTTTTCTACAGCCGAGATCAACGCAATCTGGTCTGTACCCTCACAGGTACCCATTTATACTACTGGGTGGAGGGAGGCAATTATAGTCAAGTGTCTTGCCCAAGAACACAAGCACCATTTTCCCCGTCGGGGTTTAAACCCATGTTTGTCGGGGTTCGAACCCATGTACCGTGGCACGTGGGTCGAACACCGTAACCACTGGACCACGGCGATCCACTTACATTTGCCTAGGTTTCTTTATGTCCAATTCTTATTATTTGGTGTTGCCCGCTTGCCCTTCACAAATGTAATTTTGATTAGCAGGTTTTATTTTTACCCTCTGCTTTCTGAGAATGGGTGAGCAAAAAAAAATTCACAGGCAGGACTTGAACCTACAACCTCCAGCTTACTAGTGCAAACATCATAACCACTTTGTCACTGTGCTTGCCAGTTTCGGCTGGCTTGTTATAAACTGATAAAGGAATGGGCACTGAAGTCGGTGTTAATAGTAAAACCTGATATATTAACATTTACATCTCCCTCTAATGCAATTTACCTGCATAATTCACAAATCTAGCTTTCATGAACTGAGAAAGCAGCGGCAAAGTAATTTTTATTTGTACATCGCTCCCAGGTATAATATGCCTTACCCTCAAGCACCCATCCCGCAGCGGAAGCGGAGACACTCCGAGATAGAAGATGGTGAGGAGGAGAAAGAGACCATTAAGGAAGAGGGAAAAAAGGAAGGTTAGTAAGTCTGACTCAAAGCCTCGACTGCTGACATGAATTCTAGAATATAAGGTTTGTGGATGACGTCATGTGGCCATCGGTCTCTACTGTCAAGTGTTGGATCTTAAATAACTGGATGAGAGTGTTTCCTGACGTATTCTGTACTTGGTACTTGGTTGGTGGTTCTCCTAAATACTCCGCAGCCCTGGGAGTATTAACAGAAGGCCAGAAACACCGGCTGGTGCAGGGTCACATATAATTTGCATTGCTCCCATGTATCAGATGTTGGCTACGGAGAGGGTTCTGTTGAAGAACGAGTGATGCTCGGACTATGTAGTCAGACTGTACATCTTCTCTATAGCAGTAGGCCCCCAATTTGACTATGTTAAGTTTAGTAGTGTCCCTCCTTCCCCGATTGTTTCTTCTGGCCCTTGCTTCCTGTGAAGCCACATAGATAGGTCATTCAGCAGCTTTCAGCAGCTTATAGAGAGGACGCACAAATCTATAAAAATGGCTCCATACTACATTACATTTAACAAGTGTTTGCTGTTCATTTGGTTTTTGATATTCCTGTGCTTCCTGTTTTCTTCTCCCCCCCCCCCCCTTCGTTTTCCTTTTTTTTTACATGGGCGAAGTTATATTGCTTTTGGGGGGGGGCAGATTTTCAAAAGGTTTTATTTTTTGGCTTCTTGAGTAATTCAAATTTACTCCTCTCATTGAAGTACTTGAGTGTTGTAATAGAAATTGTTTCTTTTTTGTTTGGATTTAAGGATATAACTTAAAAGGATAAGGATGTATTTTTTGTGTTCTCGACAGATCTGTTGGTTTTTTTTATCAAAAAGATCAGATTAAAGTTTTGAAAAGTCTATTTTGTTTCCTTTGTCCCAGTTTTTTAAAAATACAACGCGACTAATGATTTGAACCAGGATTTCATTCTGCATGTTCTGATGGGCTATTTTTCGCTGTTGCAATTGCAGCCCCAGATGCGCAAGATGAAGACAATATTGAGTTCACATGGGAGGATTACTTGGAAATCACAGGCTCCAAAGCTGCACCTCATACAGCCTTTAAGCATGTAAGTACATATGGATTAAGGCACACATCCCAGTAACAAGAGTACGGCTCATCTTAACAATTTCATCATTGTTAGGGTCGACGTTGTCACTAACCATCTGCAAATTTCTCATGCACCCCTTTAATAGTAAAGCACTATAAGTCATGCATCCCCTAGCTTTGGTCAAGGCGATTGACGATAGTGTCCTATGATTGATTGGTCGGCTGCTAACATAAACAGTAGCCACACGCAATGCACTCACAAGTACTGTACGAAGCGCAAACAGCGACCTAACAAAACGTGGCTAGGTTACAATATGCAAATCAGTTGGTGCCGAACAGACGTCTTGGAATAACCGTTCGCCTTGCCTTATGTGGTTTCTTTAGTTTGTTGCTGGATTTCCAGCGGCGACCTTGTATGTGAATAACGGTGGGATTATTATTAGTTCTTGGTCATGGAGGCTCATATTGTACATGGATAGAGAGCTGGATAGTGTGGCTACATTCTCCAACAAGTTGATTTGCATATCCAACAACTGATTTGCATATTGTAGCCTTGCCTCGTGAGGTTGTTGTTCGTGGTTTGTACAGTTTACAAGTGAGTGCACATAGCGCGCGGCTATTGTTTATTTTAGCGGCCGACCATTGATCGTTAAACACACTATCGTCGAAAGCCTTGACCAAAGATATGCATCCCCTGCAATTGCATCAAGTACAGGGCCCGTGTAATGGCACTGGTTAGGGTTTCAAGAGCATGTCAGCAAAAGCAACTGCTATTGCCATCGTGGTTCTTTCTTGGTGATGTTGTTTGTTAACAAGATGTTGCTCTATATATTGTCCCCAAGGTGGAGGCCAGCTTACAGTCCGGTGTCACATTGGGCATGAAGGTGGAAGTACAGAACAAACAGAGCGCTTACGTCCCTTACAGGACCTACTGGGTGGCCAGCGTAGTCTCAGCCTGCGGCAGCCTGCTGCTGCTGAGGTACGGCGGTTACGGCAACGACAGGTCGGCTGATTTCTGGATGGATATGGCCACAGGGGAGCTGCATCCGATTGGCTGGTGTGCCAGGAATGGGCGGAGTCTACGGCCTCCTGATGGTATGCAAAGATCATGAGTTGTTTTAATGTTGATGCTATTTGAATAATTTGGTATTCAAATATGCAAATTGCAATTTGACCAAATGCCTAATGCAACTATGTTATGTTACCAGAAGAAGGGTTTTGGTTCAACAGAGCAAAATAACAAAAGCAGTTGTAATAATAATACACTGTATAAAACTGAGGGTTATCGTCATTATAAAAGCTTCTTAATAATCCTTTCGCTGGTTGCAAAAATGATTTGACATTGATGAAGAATTATGTTGTGAAGTTGGTTCTCTTCTGCGATTTTTTTTATCTCATTATTTGAAAAACAAAAATGATTCCAATATTCCGAATACTTTACAGCGCCGTACAACCTAGTCATTAGTTGTTTGGAAGTTTTTCTCTTATGGAAGGATAACATGCCAATTTTGCAAAGAAAAAGGAAAACAACCAGTTGGTTGTTTCTGTTTGTATTACCTACATTTCTGTTCGTAACTTCCTAACTTCTTTTTACTGCAATAAAACAGTCATGTAACAGTCACTCATATTGAAATTGTTTTCGGCAACTTGTATTTTCCAGGTCATTGGTTTAAGGTTTCAAGTTTGTATATGTTTTATTCCCTTTTCCTTTCATTGAGTTTGTTTATCGATTTTTTTTCTCTAGAATTGCTGAATAAAGGCCCCAGAAACTGGGAGGATTACCTGGTATCTTATCTCACTGGGGCCAAGAGTATACCGGAGTATGTGCTGTACATCAGAAAGGTGAGTTTCTCGCTTAAGCAGTACAAGTATGTAATGGATATATGGGCAATTCCACTGTTACTCACATTACATTTTTGATGTACTTTTGAGTTTCCTTGGGCTGTAATTACCTTACTGATAAGGTTTAATGAAAATAACTCATAGGTTTTAACTCAAGGTTTAATAAAAGTAACTCTCGTTATGAAAATGTAACGTGAAAAACCGAATTTGTGTGTCTTGTTTATCATACATAACACATTTTTCTGGATGTCATGTTTGGTGCTGAGGTAGATCTAGGTCTACTCTATCTACCATGGGGATAACAGTTATTAAACCTTTTCAGTAAGGTAATTACAGCCCAAGGAAACTCGAAAGTACATCAAAAATGTAACGTGAGTAACCGCGGAATAGCCCATATGATATCTTGTGTCATTCTGCAGCTGAAGTGTCTCCCCTTAAAGACATGTTTGTTGAGGAGAAAATGACTTTTTGTCAGCACCATCAAAGAAATCAGACAATAGAAAGAGGACCAGTTTTCCAGATTTTACAAATTAAAGTCCTGCCTCCCGTCAATTTCTTTGTTAGATTTCAAAATAAGTGAAAAGCACTGTAATCAGTCTGTGGATTAAACACTCAAAGATTATATGCCAAAGAGAGTACAAAAGAAAGTAACCACCGAAGAGGTTCCAAATTGGATATTAAGGGATTATGAAGCATTTTAAAAATAGTGGCGGTTTGATATTACTTTGGATATTACACTGACCATAAAAATGTTCTGGAAACAATAGTAGATTGTGTGGTTTCTAAAGGAAAAAGTATTGTATTTTACTTGTTTCCTCATCAGTGGACTTTTCCTATTACGTCATGTTTTATGTAAGATATTTTACAAATTTTGGGATGTGTGGTAGACAATTTAGCAAACTGGTTTATCAAAGTGAGAGTAAAAAGCCCAACATTATGTGTCTTAGTAAAATTTTTCTTTTGTGAATGGGCCGCTTCATTAGAAAATTAAGAATGTCGGAAGAAACAATCCTAAACTGTCAAGTCAGAAAACAAGCTCAACAGACTGATACCCATCGCATCAGACATTTCCTCTTTTCCAAGTAACAGATAATTCTCTTGTTTGTTCAGGTGTCCAGCCCAACTCCAGTGGACCGGATCAAGAAAGGCATGCGTGTGGAGGTACAGGACGACCTCAACCCCCGCCACGCATGGATAGCCATCATCAAGGAGACGTACGGAGGCCGGCTCAGGCTACGCTATGCAGGCATCGAAGACAATACTGATGATTTCTGGCTCTTCTATCTCTCCTGGAGGGTGCATCCCATCGGCTGGGCTAAGGAGAAACTGGTCTTCATGAAGCCCCCTGCAGGTAAACACAACACTCACAACAAGGAACACAGTTGTTACATAAAGTCAAGTTGTCACAAGTCATTACAAGTCAATCACAAGTCAATCACAAGTCCATCACAGGTCAATAACGAGTCAATCATAAGATAACCACAAGCTAATCACAAGAAAGTCAAAAGTCGATCATACGTCAGTCACAAGTCCATCACGAGTTCATCACAAGTCAGTCACAAGTCAATCACAAATAAATCACAAGTCCATCACAAGTCCATCACAAGTCCATCACATGTCCATCACAAGTCAATCACAAGTTAATCACAAGTCAATCACAAGTCGATCACAGATCAATCAATAACCAATCACAAGCCATCACAAGTCAGTCACAAGTCGATCATAAGTCAATCATAAGTCCATCACAAGTCAATCACAAATTAATCATAAGTCATCCATTCTTAAGTCAAGTGATAAGCTTTTTAAATGAACTGTGACAACTGTAATTTTGGGTTGTGATTGATTTGCCTTATAATGTAAATCACTGCCAAAGCAGTGAGTAATGGGATTGTAGAAAGACCATTTTACCACTTGAGACATATTATCATTGTAGGATGAACTTCTTTTATCCAGAAAGTTTGCAAAGTAGGTCTGACAAGCTTCAAATTTTGGAACAATTGAATTCTGGTTAACAAGTTAATGTTTGCTCCAGATCTTTGAAAACTTAAATAAATCTGCATGTTAATGCCAGTGGCAAATTTCACCACAAAAAAATACCTTAGGGCAAAGAATTCAGTAAACAAACCAAAGCCATTATTTCACTGGAAATACTCAAAGTATTTGTTTTGTTTTTGTTGAATGTTTATAGTTGTGAAAAAGCGGATTCCTAATAACACGGAGGCAGCCTGGAATACCATGTACCAATACGCACTGTCTGCAGCTCTGAAAGAAGCTTCATTCCCTAAAGAGTTCTTCAAGGTAAAACATTGTACATCATAACCTAAAACCATGGGAGGAAATTCCTGCAAACTTACTGAACTGGCAAACCGGGCAGTTAAGAACATCAAGACTGCTGGTTAGTTTGAATATAACAGTCTCTTTCAAGACCAACTGCATGCAAAGTTCCATGTTGTAAAATGATTTCAAATCTGTTCCATTTCTCAGAAATACATTTATGAGAGCAGTGTTTAAGACGACTGGTTTTGAATACTTAATCTGAGTTTAATGTTCCACACATTTGCCAAATACAGATGTGTCGACTTCAAACTGACCACACAAATACTGCTGTCAATTCTCAATTTTGATGGGTTTTTTTTAAAATAATTTGTTGTATTGACTCTGTCTTCTTCCAAAGACCAACTTGCATTGAATATTTCTTTCTTTCATGGAAATGAATCAGCAAAAGTGAACTGCAAAAAAATGACCCTGTCAAGACAAGATCATTTTAAAACAAGGCTCACATTTTAAAAAAAAAACTTTTTTAAACTCCAGGACCAGCCAAAGATCCGTTGTCATCGCTTCAGGAAAGGGATGCGTCTGGAAGCCATCAACCCAAAAGTGCCCTCCCAGATCTGTCCAGCCACCGTCTCGGAGTGGCTGAACGACAAGTCCTTCCTGGTCACCATCGATAGCTTGACCGACGAGAAATACAAGACCACCTTCATGTGCAATGCCGACTCTGGCGGCATCTTCCCCGTCAACTGGTGTGAGAAGTATGGATACATACTCACGCCACCTAAAGGTATCGCCGCTTTGCCTTTAATAATAATTGGCATTTAAGAACGCTCGTTTTAGTAAACTAAATCACAGCGCTCACAGAATTATTATTAACCCTGATCATTGGGCCAATTAAACATTCCAAATACCATCTCAGCTCCCTGGGGAGTATACAGCTCGATGCTGCCTGTTAGGCGCAAGCAAGCTAAATCAATCACAATAACCATCTCTGCCCTCACAGGTACCCATTTACTCCTGGGTGGAGAGAAGCAATGAGTGACAAAGTGCCTTGCTCAAGGGCACACGCACCGTGACCCTGGCTGGACTCTTTAGCAGAAGTTAAATCAGACCCCTGTACTTTTAAGCAAGTGGTGTTTGGTTGGAATTTCATCAGAGTAGTCTGTGTCGCAAAGACACAGAGTGTGATCTATGCCCATCTAGCATTCTAAATGGCCAATATGTATTATTTCAACTTAAAAGTTGTCAATGCCTGAGAGATCTTATGTTCAGAAATGTTATTAATTATTTTGAATTGGTAATTGTTTTCCCTCAGGTTACGGAGAGCCCCATTTTCAGTGGAATTCCTATCTGAGAAAGATTGACGCAAAAGCAGCACCCAGAGATCTCTTCAGAATTGTAAGTCATGTGAGAGCAAGTCTTAAAAGAGAGTAGTAGAAGGCATGGCTGTATGGGCTCCGTGCACAAGTACTCCTTCAACGGCCAGAAAAGGAGAGTTGGGGGTGACCTAGACTGGTTCCCGGTCCATCCACTGTGTATTTCGAATGATCCAAAGTTATTGGGGGCGGGGATTAGTCTGGGAGACCATTGCAAGTTAAATTCCAACGTTTTCTCGCCGATGACTCCTTGACATTCGCGCGAAGACGCTGTGGCTAATAGCTTTTGCACATTCAGGAAGTCGTGCGTTCTTCGCGCGCGGACCAGTACAGTACAGTACGCACACACTGTGTGTCGTGTCCATGGAGCTCTCAAAAGTGGTAAAATGTGCCCTCTTTTGTTGGCGCACGGAGCCATAGTGTCATCACTTCCACGTTGGGATTTTACTTTTCAGTGAAAATGTAAAAGGATGTTTAGTGTTTGAACTTCAAAATACAGGGCGAGTCAAAAAGAATGCGAACACATTTGGAAAATGGTTATAAACTATGTTGCTCGCTCCATTTTATAAAAAAAAACATAGGGATAAAGTACATCTTATTCACTTGTAACTGTGAAAATTTCACGTAATTTGCATAATCTACTCCCACGTTATGGCTATTTTTTAATAAAAAAGATCACAAAACTCGGCTGTCCCCTACTGATCATTTACCGTTCTATTGAGTACAATGAAACCTGGACGTTTTCCCACCTCCATGGATGAAAAGGAAAACAGACAAAAATCGCCATCAGTATTTTAGAAGAAGAAAAAGTTGACTTGTCCTCATATTCAAAACACAATATCTGACAGTAAAAATAATGTTTCAGTCTTGATTTTAATTATTAAAATCTCATTTGTATTTGAATGTTTGTGTGTAATCTGTAATTCTCACTAAGTTCAATAGCTTAATACTGTGATATTCAGTGGACAGCTAGAAAAATATTTTTTTTTAGTAAAACATGCAGAACTTCTGATGTGGCTCAATTTCAGTAATTCTTTTTTCAGATGAGTGGAAGAACATGCTTATTTAAGACAAACTTCATTGGTGTATCAAATGTGATTGCTTTTAAAAAAAGAAAAATCTTTAATCCGGGTCACTTTCTTTTTTACTCACCCTGTATGAACAAAATTAAATCACTCCAATCAAGAACATCGATATGCAATCAGGATTGACATTGGGGTGAAAAACGTTACCCGGAACTTTTTTTTTTTTTTTAAGAAACACACTGATTTCCATGTCAACAGAAATTCATTTCATACTCACTATGTGATTCACTACTAATTTTGAGACTCATTTTACCATTGCTTGGCAGTATTCCAGAGACCATGATTTCCGTCCCATGATGAAGCTGGAAGCCGTCAACCCTTTCTGCCCTTCAGAGATCTGCGTGGCCACCATCACCAAAGTGGTCAACCGACACATGTGGATTCACTTTGACAACAGCAAACTGCCCAATCTGGTAGTGGACTCGGAATCCTTCGACATCTTCCCCGTGGGATGGTGTGAGAGCAACGGATACATGCTCAAGGCTCCCAAGAAACTCATCGGTAAATAATAATGATGCAATGATAATGGGGTTTATATGGTGCAGTTTAGTACAAGTTTGATTGTCAAAGTGGATCACATCTTTGTTGTCATTATTATTGAGGTGGAACTACTGATATCTATATAATGACACACTCGCATCCTGTTGGTACCCACACAGTCAATGTTACTTCAACCAATGGGGTTATGACAATGTACTCGTACCTCAACTTTAAGAACACGCCTGACATGCACAAGCGTGGTCCCACTTCAGTAATGGCTTTCAATTTTGTCCGCTGATTTTGTCTTACTTGGCTATTTTTGTCGAGTTCACTGAACGTATTTCATTCAGTGTTAACGGTTTAACCCTCCGACGCAGAAAGCCCATTTAGTAACACACTTACAGTAAGGGGTCCCCCGGGGACCCAAATATTTAGCGCCACGGTTTGAGGCTACACAACACTGTATCCACATGAACACAATCTTGCCATGTCTGTGGACTAAGGAGGTGTATTGTATACCTTGTCTGTGGTCAAGCCGTGCACTGTCTACCCGCAAGTGACCTTGTTTGTGCACGTGTATATGGTGGGTCCCCGGGTGGGCAGAATTGCGTCGGAGTTGTTTTGTGCACGTGTATATGGTGGGTCCCCGGATGGGCAGAAATTGCGTCGGTCCTTAGCCCAGGTTGTCATGCTCAGATATGCCTGACCCGGGGTCACACACTAAAGGTGACTGCATATATCCGTAGAGGGTGTCTCTTGCTTGGATTAGATGGAAGATCACCAGAATTGGTTTGGAATTTTTTTTTTAATTAAGGTAATTAACCAAATTGGGTCCCCAAAAGGGCTAGATTCTGCACCGGAGGGTTAATGGGATGGCGCCAAACTATTTATGCAGGCACAATGCAGCACTCATGAAAGAACACATCATCTGTGCGAAGACTGTTTGCACAAATAGTGCGGTGTGTGAATGTGTACAACTTACAGTGTTTTGGATATAGAGAAACACCTGCGCTTGGAGGATGCAAGTGACAGAAGCGGCACTAAAATGTCTGCCAGTAAAACAAAATTGAATTTAATTTCTGAGGGAATAGTTATGCATAGACTGTATGATATCCATCCCTTTCAAATAGCCAATAATCTGTAAACATATTGTAAAATGCACTATTTTTTGTTCCTTTCAACAGCACGGAAAGCCAAAAAGGTTGCCATTGTTTGGCCAGAAAAACAGAGGTGAGATTTTTGAATTTTTAAGAGTTTCCTATCCTCCACATTCTCTTACTAGGGTCTTTGGTTTTATCATGTATTTCTTCGTAATATTTATGACTTTGTGAATGAAACTTGGCTATATATTTCGTGGACTGGGCAAGTGTTCTACTTAACAGCCCTCGAAAATCTGTCTGTACATAGAGCGGCATGTAGGGCTACAGCAAATATGTGAGACACTTGATGACACTGATTCTTATAGGACCTAACACAAACCTTCAGCGCAATCATCCTTTTCTCCTTGCAGTCGTCAGCCATCCATTTCCCCCATGAGTCCGGGCAGAGATTTGTATCAGAAGATCCGGAGTTTGAGCAGAGACGAGGACTCTGCAGAAGGTAACGTCTTACCAGTTCAAAAAACAACTCTAAGAATTGAAAAATTCCCAGAACAAAAATACCCAGAACTTAAGAATGCCTCCATTCCATTAGAAATTCCCCATTGCATTCAGAATGCACACTTTGGGAAAATGACACTTTCCCAACTACAGGTGAGTCAACAAAAAAACGAAACCTAAATGTCGGGTCCATTATTTTAGTGAAGTTCTGCATGTAGCACTTTCAAATTCTAGGATATAAAAATCCAATTCATAAGATTTCTTTTAGTACAAGAATCATTCAAATCACTCATGTACTTTTCAAGTTACAGAATTTTAAACACAACCACCGTTTTAAGGTTCTGTCCACGGATCACAAAAAAGTGCAGTGTTCTTTCAGTAAAACGAACACAACTCACATAAGGATGTGTGTGAATTGTTTTCGGTTTGCTTAAAGAACACACACCTTTTTTTGTGATCCGTGGACAGAACTTTAAAACGGTGAGTGCGTTTAAACTCCGCAACTTCAAAAGTACATGAGTGATTTGAATGATTCTTGTAATAAAAGAAAGCTTATGAATTGGGCTTTCATATCCTAATTTTGAAAGTGCTACATGCAGAGCTTCACTAAAACAATAGTCCCGACATTTGGGTTTCGTGTTTTTGTACTCACCCTGCACTACACCCACTGCAGGTCATGACAGTGACTGGACAGGCAAGGTCTTCTTCAACCACAAGTGCTTCTCGGGCCCCTACCTGAGCAAAGGCCGCATCGCTGAGCTGCCCAAGGCCGTCGGGCCGGGCATTGTGGTCCTGGTTCTGCGTGAGGTGCTGTCCTTGCTCATCAACGCTGCTTACAAGCCTCCCCGGGTCCTCAAGGAACTGGAGATTGAGAACGAGGAAACCGCTGGTATGAACGGCCATCTGCAAGTCATGAAAGCAAAGTGAGTACCTGGCGAAAGATTTTGCAATGGACCATTCCGGATTCGGTAATAAGCCCTGCCCATCTTTTGTTTGTGGGCAGTGCTTGTGACTGAGTCTGACTGAGCTACCATACTCACCTGCAGGGTTGTCACTAAAGGGGAGGTGTGCATAAAATGAATAGCACCACTTACTGTCCCATAGTGTCCAGTCATGCCCCATGCCCCAATTGGTCAGGTGATGTCCAGGTGTCGTAGTTAGATCCTTGTGATGGATCTAACTACAACACAAGTCTGTTCACAAGTAAATCACAAGCAAATTCACACGTCCATTGCCACGTACAATAACAGGGGATGAACAGTAAAATGCCTTGGTCACGGTTTATTTGAAAAAGCTTGTGACTTGACTTGTAGTTGGGCGATAGGGGAATATTTGGGGGAATTGTGCCTTTGATGATACAAGCATGGAATGTGATACACGGTCAGAGCTTGTCATTAGAAAGATATTTGGCTATAGGGCCATCGTAGATTTGTCCTTTGAAAAAATATAGATAGAATAACAAGCAATTTTCTAAATTTTCAAAATGGCTGCCATTGCTTGTTATTCTACCTATATTTGTTCGAAGGACAAATCTGCGATGGCCCTATAGCTAAATATCTTTCTCATGACATACTCTGACTGTGTTCCAAATGCCATGCTTGTATCATCAAAGGCACAATCCCATCACATATTTGCCGTATTATTTTTTGGGGGGGGACTTGAAATATTTTAATTAACTTGTGATAGACTTGTGATGTCTTGTCATTGATAGATCACGAGCAACTCCACTGCACCACTTGTGTTGTACTATTGGGGATAATTATTTGATGTATCATGGACTGATTTTATTGACCACCAGGTACAAAGGCAAAAGTTACCGATCCATGGTGGAGATCTGCAAATCCTCGGCTGAAATGACGGATTACTTGAGGACGGCGTGCATCAAACTGGAGTGCTGTCCCAACCTGGTGTCTCTCCTGTGTGTCAGAGACGAGGAGGAATGCCCCGACAACTGCACCAATCTCACCAAGACCAAATATAGTAAGTGTGTGCAGTGCGTGAAATTAGACAAAAAAAAGTGGTCAGACAAAATGTCCGAGCACAATCAAAAGTGTTCTGCCATTGTCAAGTTTTGATCTGCCATTTAGCGTTCCAAATTTGATTCACGCGCTCGTTTCTGTAGTAAGCCACGTTGTGAGAATTTAGTAACAATCACGCACTTAAAGCATACCGCGCAACACAACGTACTTTGATCTTGCTAAATTCTCATTACATGTATGCGCGTCAATGTCCTTATAATACTCTATATTTCGACTCGTCACTATACAGACTCGATTCAAGTCTGCAGAACACATAACTTAAACTGGGTGAAATTGCAGTTCTGAATGTCCAAAGAGGCTCGTTCGAATCATTATAGCAAGGAATAGAGGTTGAATCAGGTCCAATTTAACACTTTTGCCCAATAGAAATTAACTGGGAATTCCACAAACGGCCACTGCTCATTTCCATAAAATGACTTGAAAAGTACAAAAAGTTGTATTAACTGATTTGTAGAAGAAACACGAAGACTGCTGATCGAAACACAATTTATCGACTTGATTTCACGTCTATTTTTTGGCAAACGGCACGTACGTACGAATGCCAATCTATCGCTGTGCACGCCGCGCTGTACTAGACTGTGTAATGATTGGGGTGTAAACGCGTTGCATCTATTGCGTGAATATAAGACAACACGTACATGTAGTTAGCAGCCGCTCAGCGTACGGTAAGTATTACAGACTGGATCATCGGAAATAAACAACAAAATACTTTTGAGTGCAAGCGTTTATTTCATACTTCTGAAAAAGACAACTCCACAAAGAATACATAAATCGCTCGGACATTTTGTCCGAGCACATCTGCATTTGGTCGGACAAACCATGAAAGTGGTCGGAAAATGTCCGATGTCCGACTGTAATTTCACGCACTGGTGTGAGAGAGAACCTCTCTAAAGGCTGGTTTACATTTCACTCAAATAAAGAGAAAAGTGACTTTGTTAGGGTAGTGGAGAACGTTACTGTGAACCTACCTTATTTAAAGTGGCTCCACTTTCGCTTTCCGTTTAAGCATGAAATACATAGCTATTCCTCAGAGCCCAACTGGACTCTGTGCATACATTGTAAGAAAATCCTCCTTTGTGAAAATGCAAGCGGCATGTGTCATTGGTTTTATTGTCGAGTCCATCACAAGTCCTCACAAGTCCATAAGTCTTAAGTCACAAGCTGTTTAAAAAAATTATGACGAAAGCATGCCTTTTGTTGATCATGTGTCACTTGTGACTGGACTTGTGATTTACGTTTGACTGGACTTGTGATGGATACGACCTGCAACACTGGCAGATGTTATTGAATACAACTTGTGTGCCATATCCTACCTGCACCCACAAATGGGTGTTCCTTTCAGTCACTCACACAACAGGTTTACAAAACATTCGCATGCATGAAATTGGATCAAGTTACGGCAGTGGTCTGAAAGAGAGCAGAGAAGTGTAATTTCCAAAAGGGTAAAAGACCCTTCTCTTACAGTAATCCCACTCATTTAACTTTTTTTCTATATTTCATCCCACAGCTTACCAGTATGGCAAGAAGAGGAAATTCCACCACATCGGCCGGCCGCCAGGCAGGAAGAACCCAGTCAAACCCCTCCTGCCCCCGGTCCGCAGGGGCAGCAAGCGGCGCAAGAGGCGCAAGCCGTTTGTCCACCGCAAGAAGCACATCCTGTCCCAAGAAGACGGGGAACCAGACGGAAACGAAGAAGATGGGGAGATGGAAGATGGGAGGAAACAAGAGATGGGCAGAGGGGGAGGGGGAGGAGGTGGCATGGGTGGGATGAAGAAGAACACCACGTCTCAGACGGTGGCGCACGCACTGCTGCAGTCGGCTAAGAGAAAAAAGGTGAGGCTCTAAGTGTTGGGTTGCATGGGTGTAAGAAATCCTGGGGGATATATCCCTCTATTGTTTGGAATGGGCTATAGAATCATTCCCCCATCCCCAGATATTTAAACTGAAACATAAAAAAGGCGTGGGGACCTTTAAAACAATGACAGCGCATGCTTTACAGGCCATGTTTTTGAAAAAGTGATTTCGTACCTAGAAATTCATTTCTCAGAGATGAAACTTTTCAGATTTTAATCGGAAATCCGACTTTTTGAATTTTCCAATGAAATTGCTGATTTTCTTACAATGTGTCCTACAAAAATTTGATTTTGTAACGATTTTTTCACAAAATGTCATTTTATTTCAATCATAATTTCGAAGAAAAGTCAATGAAGAGTCCATGGAAGTGGCACGTTAAAATCATCGCGAACGTAGTTTTAATCTCTTTTACCAGTCGTTATTGGAGTGTTTCAACGGTAGAAACACAGGCCATAACACTGATCGGAGCCTTTTCCGGCTGGACAAAAGGTCACCTGTCAATGTTTTAAACATTGACAGGTGACATGGAAAAATCACTGTGTCGCACGTACGTTCATATGTACTTTACAAAGAAGATATGCAACTGTACCAGCGTACGTACCGCACCGTACGGCGCTAGCACATGGCCGCTGGGGAACGGGTAGCCTTGTGAACGATCCAGTGGATAAAATCATTATGTTGTGCGATTTTCGGAGGTTTCAGATTTAATTGTACAAAATGCAATGCTTTAAAAATCATGCTGATTATCTTGAGGATAGCGAAGAAAGCATTAGCGAAACATTTCACTGGCATTTGTTGGAAGAAAAAGACGATAATGCCTGATTTTTCCCCACGTACGAATGCAAGTGGAGTAGTTGAGTTGTGTGGTTGAATCATGGACATGATTGAAGCACCATGAACGGTGCCCTTGTCTTTCAGACTTTTTCCTCGACTTTCTCAAATAAAGAAGTGAACTTCTTTGTTGATGACTGCATTACTCTAACGGTAATTCAGGCGTTTTATGCAATGAAAACACTGACCTTTTTTTTTTCATCGTAAAATTTTGTTTGAATCGAAAATGATAAAGCAGGAGTTGGTGTACGGAAATTGGGCATGAAGTGTATTGTACATGCATGTACATGTGTTTAACTGCAGCGCGGCCCAGATTTCGGACACATATTTTTGTTCGGCCTATTTTCCGATTTTTTGGCCATATGCCAGTTTCATCTCTGATTTCTGTGTTGATTTCATAAAAACCACAAGTCTTTCACTTGTAGTTGTGTGATCAATTAAAATCTATCTTTCCAACGGTCATCGTTTCACGGAAGCACAGTTAATTAGGGCCCAAAGTACAAACTGCTGAGAGTGAACAATTTGTCATAAATAGTGCAGGACGATTTTCCAACAACTTGAAAATCACATGAATTTTTGTCATCTTCCCACTCTAGATAGACAGAGTGGGGGAGTGTGGCCTAGTGCTTAGGGTTTGTGACTCATGATCAGATGGTCAGGGGTTCGAATCCAGTCACTGGCCATAAGTTGTGTCCTTGGGCAAGCCACTTCACCCCCACTTGCCTCTCTCCACCCAGGAGTATAAATGGGTACCGACATTAGCTGGGGAGTAACACCGGAGATGAAGACCGGCCTGATGGGCCACATTGGCTCTTGATAGAATTTACTTACTTACTATTTAATTAATGACAAAAGATGTAATCTGTTAACATCAATAAACTAAAACTGGACAGAGTATGCATTAAAAAAACTTAAAGGGAACATGAAATAAAATTTTGATTGCATTTTTTTTGCTTAAATCAATAAAGGATGATGTTCTTAACAATATTTTGTGTATGGCGGTGTTTATTTTCTAAGATAAATGGGGGAAAATAATTTGTGAACATGTTTGGTCAAACTACTCCGCCCCACAAAGGGAAGCTTCATTAACATAAAACTTCGCGAGGGTTATGACGCAAGCGAAGGCAGAGACTTGCCGCGCTGCGGGGGCACCGGCATTGCGGCGTGCATCATAATACATGTACATATACATTGCGGCACTGAAAGTTTTTCTGGTGTTTCGTTCGGAATCGAGGAGAAATAACACCCGATTTTCGGCCATGCCGACAAGGTGTGTGGCTGCTGGGTGTAGCAAAACTACCAAGGATGGAGTAAGCCTTCATTTGTTTCCAGTAAATCCGAAATATCGGAGCATTTGGAGAGCCAAAGTGAAGGTAAATACCAGAGCAAAGTGGTCCGGGCCCAGTGAGTTCGCGGCCCTCTGCGCTGCACTTTGAGCCGTCGTGCTTTGATGCTGGTCTGTACAGCAACTTGGGCATGCCCCTAAAAAAACATCGAGTCAGTGTCTTAATCATTAGAACTCTGATTCGAATCGGACGAATCTGTACCATTTTCATCGGATTCGCTAAGGAAAGAAGAGGACGGTCTTCGGAACTTTTACGGTCATGACGGTCGTCGTTGTGTTCATTCGACAACGGTGGCACCGTGGCACGTCCACGTGGACGTGTGTACTGTACATATCCCATGTAGACACATTCGTACGTGTGCATATAATGCCACGTACGGGTACGCGGCGGCTGCACACAGCACAGTAGCTTCGCTAATCCGTCTCATACCCAGACGTCATTTACGGGCCCTGGATTTCTCTGCCTTTGTTTATGTCATGAACAGCGCCCTCATTTGGAGTTGCCGCGAAAATCAAAAAGGGGGGGTTCAATTTTGGACGGCAAATTACCTCACTAAACGTACACCAGAACCAGTTCTGCTTTTAATTCACATTTAATACACATAAATGAATGTATATATAAAATAAAATACGTTATGAAAACTTTGGACTGCATGTTTCCTTTAAGTTCACAGCTCTCTTGAAGTTCACTCATTACAAGTTATTCCCAGAAACTTCCTTCATTTGATATTGCTGCCTGCAAACCGAAATAGCTAATCTTTAACAAGAACACCTTGTGTTAACATTGTCAGATCCATCCACTGCCACCCAAGCTGATACTACCGCACCGAGAGAGAGGCACAAAGCTGAAGACGTTTGCTGCAATTCTGAACCCCAACCGAGCTCAGAAGAAAGTCGAGAAGGAGAAGAAACCACTAGAGAATAATTCCACCGTCAACCACAACAAGCCAAAGACTAAAGTGAGTGGTGTTTCTGTTCCTCTTGACAAAGTAGATTTGCTTTAAGGGAAATGTCTGGAATAACCACTTCGCGCCGGGATTATTTTTGCCGAACAATTTGGATTTTCGCAAAAGGCAAAATTTACCAGCCAACTTCTGATATACGCCACAAATACTGATTTGCGAGAGTCATTTCAACAGTATTTGTACGATATTTCTTGCCGAAACCTCATATGTTCCAAAACTGCACAACGGCCAATTCAAGATCAACACACTGTCCGCCTCCACAAACTTCAAGGACCTTGTGTGTGTGTGTACAAAAGGCACGAGGGATTAGCATGTTTAGACGTCACCCGGAGGCGAGTCGAGGCAATCTTGACGTCTTAATTAACCCGTCAGCTGTGCCTGTGTGCAAAAACAGCCAGTGTGTGTTCGACTCAAACTGGTTTTTTAGTTCGTTTTCAAAAATCAAAAAAAAATCAAAAAATTTAGAATCCCACCCTCTTCTGCTTACCCAGTGTCAGTATCGACGGCTGTTATAAAGACAAACACATTTCATAAATACCTGAGACCGTTTACCCATTCCTATTGGTCAAGAGCCCATCACATGGTTGGTTTTAAACCGCCAGTAAAACACCTCTGCGTTCTGCGCACCATCGCGCATATAAGGAGATTTTTAGCCCCAAGTACGAGAGGCACTTTCCATGCACATGGCCAGAGGGGTGTTTCACAAAACATGCAGTAAAATTGTTGAACGAAATCGTTGGAATTTTGTAGTTTTTAACTTATTTTGACTTTTTAACCGATTCAGCTTGGGCCATTATCCGCGACCAGGCCCCTAGCCGGTAAAACCAGCCAAGCACATGTTGATTCCCTTATTTTAAGAAAATACAATAAAGTGAATAATTTTGTTACGAAACAGCTGTTATACTGTGTATTTTCTATAAGTTTTCAAAACAGTTTCACTCTTTCACTTTTATCAAATGGATATATCTTTTTAGCAAATGCTTTTTCAGCATGTACTACATGTTTGGACATTAATTTGGAAATATTGTGCCTAGCCCCCACCTACAAGATACACCATTGGATAGCACACATTCCATAAAGTTATCCATAGCGAAGCCACATTTCCTCATTATAACAACAGCGCCCTCTTGTGACCGTAAACACTCAAATAAGTTAATAACGTGTTGCCTGCTGACTACAAATATATTCGTAGTGACAGGCGTACCGGATTTGGCCACTACGAGTATGTTCGTAGTAAATCAAAGGCTTTTGTATTGTAAACTGAATATACTGGCATAGGCCTATATCACTGAAAATGCAATAAATTTAGCTGCTGGCAGTTTGGGAATAAAAACCTATCAAATGAGTACGTTTAAATTATCAAATTATTGTTTTTTAGTACATGTAAGTACCAATATGCGTGCATACGTACATCGCTTGTCAAAGGGGGGGGCACCCTGTAAAAGTTTTGTCGGCAGTCAACGTGTTAAAGTGCATTTGCTGAGTATTTGTAAGCCCTGTTTTGTTGGGTTTTGTAGGCAGGAGGGAGGGTTAGGTATAGATGTTTGCACACATGCATAAAGTGCAACTCAAATTTCACACTAAGTGGCAATGTTTTTATTTTTTAAGAAAATTGTGCAAGTGCCAGATTTCTTTATAGTTTTTCGTTTTTGATGGGTTTATTTGAAGCATACTTTATTTTTAATAGGCCAATTTGTAGCCCATGTAGTTTCTTTTTTCAGGCCAAGCATTGCCATGTCAAATGGTACTTCTTAGGCATTTTGGAATTTTAATACTAATGTGAATTTCCATATTTATGAGCAAAACAGTGATGTCATCTTTATGTGGGGGCTTCGGTGCCACAGCCACTTGAACACAAAAATGCTATATAATCTGTTAGTTGATCTGTAAAAATTATTTCGCACAAATCATAGTGCCAGATTTTGAGCCGATCTTGTCTCGGTGTCTGTTCATATATTGGCCATGAATTTATTTCAGACATACTTTAATGTCTGTAAACCAGTAAAAATACAAGATTTGTTTTTATCTTACAGGAATTGGCACAGCACACAAAATGTCTTTTATGGCAGTCAGACCTTGGGGGGTTTTTTTGGGGGGGGGGTTTAAATTTCACAGAAATGAAGAATAACTTGCGAATGACTTCTTTTTTTCCTTCAACTTTCTTACCAGGCATCCTTTCATTTTCCATTATTCAAAACAGGATAGAATTTCAAAGTCGCTTTCATTTTTTAGATTCTATCAAGCTACACTCAGGTTTGTAGTTCCCAAACTGTTTGTAGTTCTGAGAAGAACCAAAGAGAGAGGTACATTGAAATAAAAGCAAAACCATTGAGGTTTTTAAATAAAAGATACAGAATAGAAACCTTGGCAAGGGTATAAATTGTATGCCTGGAAATTCTAGGATAGAAATCTTAAACCTGCATCCGCTACAATTCAGCCAAATCTTTCCTCAGTTCCTGCCTATTATCTAGCCTCTGGCATAGATGATACCTATCGGTTGCCTGACCTACATGTGCATTAGAAACTCCACAAGAATAAAGAGGTGAAAATCATTCTCCTCCTAGAAAAGTGGATTCCGCCTCAGGAGGTCTCGTGTTAAACTATCAGATGACTGATTCAATCTTTATAGCTAGATTACTGAAGATCGAATAACAAGTCCATTTAGTGTTTTTATTTTATTTCTTTTTTTTATCTTTTTTTTTAGACTTGACATTTAGATGAGCAGGTTGTTTTGTAAGGTTCCGTGTGATAATCAAGATATCTTGAAGAAGCGAATCGACTATTATTTGTGGTTAGATGCAAGGCTTAGTGCAATATAGTGTTTATTTAGGATTCTGTCTAAAGGCCAATGTGTTTGCGCAAATTAAGTCATTGTCCACAGTGATAAAATTAATTGTTGACTTGGGTGTGAACAGCAAGAACAAAATATGTTTTTAAACAAGTCCTAAAGGTCAATTTGTCTTAAACTATCAGAAAAACAAACAAATTGACCAGTAAGCCCGAAATGGCAGCACACCGCTGAAAAAAAATAGTATTTGTGGTGCTTTACATACCGGTATTATTAAATGGGATATTGTTCAATTGTAAAATCGCGTAATGAAATTCTATCAGCAGCCTCTGGCCAATTGTGTGTGTGTGTACATTGAGATTTGGGGTGATCTTAAATTGATAAATCGCCGTCACAGCTACTTGCATTTAAACATTCAATGAGAAATTGTACTTAAATCATTTCTTCATCAATGATGACAATGATTTTGCAAGAAATTGTGCATTTTAGGGAGGTATCTTATCTGAACAAATTTTCAAATTCAAATTTGCATACTGATTGCTTTAAAAGCTAGGCTTTGGGAATTTCTATATAGAAATCCTACAGTCTGCGGCAAGTCTTTTCAATTTAATAAAAACATGTGTGTGGTCCCTTTTCCTAGAACAGAACACTATTTGAACACTAATAGAATGATTTTTTGTACCCTTGCTTGTTTATTAATAAGCTGACCTTAAATTAAGATTACACTGTAATTTCTATGTGTATTTATACCTGAAATCCCAGGTTTTATTTCAAAAGAATACTTTTTCAGACGGAACATTTAACATTTTTTTCTACCCATGCAAGTTTGTATTTTAACCATTAAATCTTATGGCACGGCAGATAGGTGGTGGGATTGTGCCTTTGAGTTTGATGATACAAGCATGGCATTTGGCACACAGTCAGAGTGTGTCATGAGAAAGATATCTGGCTATAGGGCCATCACAGATTTGTCCTTTAAAAAATATAGGTAGAATAACAAGCAATGGCAGCCATTTTGAAAATTTTGAAAATTGGTTGTTATTCTACCAATGTTTTTTTTTTCAAAGTACAAATCTGCGATAGCCCTATAGCCAAATATCTTTCTTAATACATACATGAACACTGACTGTGTGCCAAATGCCATGCTTGTATCATCAAAGGCACAATTCCCCCAAATATATTTCCCTATCAGCCCCACTTTTATGAAGATTATAGTGTACACGTTTTTTGGACCATTTTTGAATCATTACAAATAGATTATGCTTTCGGTAGCAGCTGTGTTCTAAAACTGTTCTATTTTATTAAGGAGCCTGCAATTTATCTTTTTACAAATAGGCCTATATTTACAATTTTACGACGCTGGTTTATTTAACCAGTCCCTGTAATGCTCCATACCAGCTGAATACGCGAGAGTACTCTATACTTTTATGGATTCTTCTGTAAATAAATACAGTGCAGGTACTAATGGGTTAAAGGGAAAATACAACATTTGCAAACATCAAAAAAAAAACTACCAAATCATTTTGAAATACCTTGCTGAACTGTTAGTGAATGACAGTGTAAAGCATCCTGTAAAATCATGGCACCTGGTATACTGTCATTTTCAAGAAAAGTGGTATTTTTGTATCAATTTCCAACGCTGGTCGGCCGACCAGCGTTGGAAAAAAACTGGCTTTTTTTCAAATACTGGCCCCAATTGACCATCGCACTTGTTTGCAATTGATTACACACCTATGAACGGGTACAAGCCAGCTAGACTAGTTCCCTGACCTTACAATTCCCCAATGTATGTAAACTGCTCTGTTTCTTCTTATATGGAGTCAGGGAACCAGACTACAGGAAAATGATTGTTTTTCTTGGTTTTTATAGCATTTTCGAACCCAAAACCTCAAAAAAGTCAGTGTAACTATATTTGCTATATATTTCCAACCCCCCAATTCCATCCATTTCTGAAAATTACAGCAAAAGCAAATGATGTATATTCCCTTTAATATGTGGATCAGTCCATAAATGTGGGGTCCAAATTTTTCTTGTCCCCGTTACATCTGAGATAAGATTTTGTAAATTCAGGACACATTCTTTAAAGGTACAGTCCATCATTTGTAATTTGTGCATTTTGTTCGTTTTGAATCAACAAAAGTGCTCAAGATCTAAAGAAGGGTGCTGAACAACTAACCTGATGAAGTTTCAGCTCAGCTTCAGCTGTATATTTTGAGATAAACAGCATTCTAGGATCTCGATTTCAAATCAAAAGTTGCTGAATCATGTTTTGAATTGGGCCTGAATTCAGTGTCTGAGACACGTTCTCATTGCAGCTACGCGATGTCGTGCACCGATCCGACGAATTATAGCAGCCGCGTGTGCGTCGTGCCAAGGCTTGCGCATGCTTCGCCGAATAAAAAAAAAGAACTACTAACGGAAATAAAGACGCACCGTTGGAAAGGCCTTCTTTCGTTGATTTCTTCAAAATGGCAGCTTGCCAGAAAGAATCATTTCACAGGGAGTTTAGTCCCCTTACTATCTTTCAACCAAGTATGTTTGTCAACAATAATTACGTCAGTTTACTTTTTGGATAATTGCAAATGATGGACTCTGGCTTTAATGTGATGTCAATTTCTTCTTCTCTCCAGGCATTGTTAACAAACAACAAACCAGATGACCGGCTTCATCTGACGTCCAATCCACTCAAGTGGACCATCAGTGAAGTGGTCAAATTCATCAAGAAAACCGACTGTGCAACACTAGCCAGGATATTTGAAGAACAGGTCAGGAGATGCATTATCTTACACAATTTTAAAACCTTCCCCACCCCTCCCTTCCCCCACCCGTCCTCTGCCCCCCCCCCCCCCCCAAACAGTGCCACGCACAAAAAAGAAGAAGATGGGATATTTAAGTGACAATTTTTTGGCAAAATGTTAATTAGCTGTTGCTGTTAAAATGCAACCATGTAACAATTCGGGCGTTTCACAATGCAGTGCGCCACCATGAGTTGGCTACGGAGAGTTCATGTTTCACAGTGCATTGTGGGAGATGGTCGACAAATTCACAGCTCGGAAAATTATGAAATTTTTAGTTTTTCCGGCCAGTATAGTTTCGTAAGCGTATGATTCGAGGATCTGTTTGACCTTTTTCTTTTCTTTTTCTCAATATGGTAATTTTGTAAGGCGGCAAAACGCTATGCCCCAATCTATAGCATATTACCTCAAATCTACTGAGACTCATTCAAATTGGCCGTGTTTTGTCGACTGTAAACTTGAAAAATGGACTCTCCATAGCAAACTCTTGGTGTCGCACTGCATTGTGAATCACTCGAATGATAAGATGGCATGAGTTTAACAGGAACATGCATGTACACGTACATGTATAAATGCATTGATTTTGACAGCCCACAATGACTTAAGCTTGTCATTTATTACTGCCATAAGAGTTTGTTGTTTTGAATCACTTTTCCCTCGTTTCAGCAAGTTTGAGTATTCTGTAATTTTTACATATTGTGATATTTCTCTTTTTTTACCAAAAATGAAAAATCATCTAAATTTTCACTACATTTCAACGTGCCCCCAAAATTCAAAAAAGTAGAGCTACAATTAAGTACAAATCAAATGGTTAATATCCAGGATAACCACATTGTAAAATTGAAACATTTTTAATCAGTATGTAAAAACCAGTGCTGTCAGTATGGTCCTTATTTTGTATTTAATACTGTACAATTTGTTGCAAATGCACACATCCAATTGATGGCTTCCTTTTTGTAAAGATATGTGGTCTATGTGGAATTTCCAGAGAGCAAATTACTGCACACTTGTGACATTCACATCTCTACCGGTATCTCATTGCAAATATTTCAAACTAGTTATTTTTTCTCTGCTTCAATAGATCACCTTTATTTTTTTTCGATTCGGCTTTGTCGGTCCAAAATAGGTTTTGACAAACCAGTCAAAAAAAAACAATTGCATGCAGAGCATGTAATTAAAATGACAGATGGCCGGTCATTAAAATGAAAACAAATACGCCGGTTTGTTTGCACAAAATTGTTCTGTAGTCAGTTAATACCAGGGAAATTAAATCAGCTAGAATTGTATGTAACGGAAAACCAATGCCATCATACCATAAAGGATTATGATCAAAATTGCTTCGTGTCTTGAACAGCGGTGCTGAAGTTGACTGGCATATTTTTTTATGAATTTGATTGGACCATCTGTTAATCGTGCCGTAGGCTACAACCCGTACACTGAATATTGTGCAAATCTGTTTCAATCATTTTGTAGGGGATGATGTTGAAATAATCAGTCAAATGAAAAATTGTGTAAGTCAAGTTTTGGAGCCGAATGATATTTGTTTTGACAGGCCTATACAAGATTTGTATCTCATTTTTTTTCCAAGCAATTTATGCTGAGGAAAAAAAATAATTTTTTTATTTTGTGACGGCTGAGAGTATAATAAATGGATGCAGTAAGGGTGTGTGAAGTATATTAATATTGGAGGTGGCAAGACTGTTAGGGTTAATATTGAGACAAACTGACAAACGACGTACAAAAACTGCATAAAATTAATTTATTACATTTTAAGTATGTCAAATTGTTGAGAGAAATCTCAGTGTTACACCATTACAATTAAATAAAATTGTGAATTTTGGCAAATTGTGTACTTTTTTGCAGTGACACAACCATTTAATTTTAAAAGTACATATTGTTGATGTACCCTAACGTGGCACGGCCCCTAACGTGGTGCACTTTGATTTTTCGCCTGCTAGCGCCTAGCTGGAGCAAAAGTTTTAACTGAAATTTCACAAAAAGTTGAAATTTCATCAAGTTCTAAACACTCCCGTTCATAAATCACGAGTTTATCTACCCTTTACAAAGTTGGAGGAAAATGTTATTTCGGCATGATTTTCCAATTTTTTTGGGAAGTGCACAGTGAACCCTTTGAAAATGTCCTGAAAAAATAGAAAATAATTTTTTGACAAGCTTGTAGTTGAGTATGTAAGTAGAGATAATAATTGTTTATCAGAATTTATCATTTTTACAGAAATTCTTAAATGTTAATTTGGAATTTTCCTGAGATTTATTCAAGTGCGCCATGTTAGGGCACACTCAGCCGATTTAAATTGTGCCCAATTTCCGGACGCCACCGTTGTTGAATTTCGGATTAAATTTTATGAAACTGAAATTGTTCACAGAGGTAAAATAGCAAGCATTAATAAGGTAAAAATACCAGTATTTCAGTGAATGAATTTGAAGTTTGTCAACAAAGAAGTTTGGCAACACTGATGTGGAAAGTCGGGGTAAATGTGGAAGTGCGCCATGTTAGGGAACACCACTATAGATTGACGAAAAAAATACATGTATGTAGCAGTTAGGCCAAAAAAAAAAAATATTCGGTCTCTGGTCAGACCAAAATTCCGGAATTGACGCGGGGACGCGGCTTTTTTTTTTTTTTTGGCTTTTTTTTTTTTTCTTCAAGCTTGGATTGTACAGACAAGGTGGGTTACTATTTTGCTATTTGGTGTCCTCATGTACATTGGTGTCCTCCATAATTTGCCTTGGTGCTCTCGATCATTTGCCTTGGTGCAATTTCCCATTCCTTGGTGCTCTTTGGTAAAAAAAAATTGAGGAGGTGCGGCAATGGAGGGCGCTGTTGGAGCTACTGCAGAACATTTTGGAAAAAAAAAAGATTGACGCGCATGATTAAAATCGACGCGCGCGCTGACCAGAGACCGACTTAAAAAAAATAATTTAAAAAAAATAAGATTCCCCTCCCCAGCTAAAGGTAATAGACTGAAAAATAGCTTCTAGCTGGCACAAAGCTGTGACTCTTGCATAACACACCCATACTGGAATTTGTATCCTTGTGGAGACATTCCTTTGTTCTCGTGTACTAAAGTTTTCGAGTTTGAAAGTGTAGTTTAAAAATGCTCTTATTTTGACCAGAATTAATTTCCTTGGCTGAAATTCGGACATAATATCTCTTTTCTAAAACTCTTCCATTTGTGACAGATCAACAGAAATTCCTAGTTTTTGAGTAAAGTCCATATATCTATTTTGTGAAAACCTTGTGGAGACGTCGTCATCTATAGAAATTGCCCTGTGGAGACGTAAACGATCTTTTGTTCCCTATTGTACACACGTCTCCAGAGGGTACGGTGTATCAGATCATTCTTTCTGAAAAGTCCACGTTTATCAAGTTTTTGCCCTTGATGCCACTCAGTATAATTCCACTTGGCAAAAATGGCAAGTGACATGTTACTAAGTCAAGAGTGTACATGGTGTAAGGGGGAAGTTCATAATTACAGGAGATTGTCGGTGTTACTGCATTGAAAAGCATGTAGCGGGAGACTCAGGGTCACAACAGATTTTCCTCTAAACCCTCTTCTAATTCCCTGCTATTTTCATTCCCTTGTACATCTCAATACTTTTTCCCCCCAACAGGAAATTGACGGCCAGGCGCTACTACTGCTCACCCTGCCCACGGTGCAGGAATGCATGGACCTGAAGCTGGGGCCTGCCATCAAGCTCTGCCACCACATCGAGAGAGTCAAGATCGCTTTCTACGACCAGTTTGCCAAGTGAGGCTTGCCAGGGGCAGTTTGCCAAGAACGACTGTAAAAGTTCAAGGATTTGCTCTGCTCTTTCAACTTTTATAGCGCTTCGCCCACAAGCTTATCTCCCCACATGGTGTGCTGAGTCCCCAGCCTTCCCTCACAGCCTTTAACCTAACCAACCCCCCAAAATTAATATCCTTACCATCATTACTTGGACCATGGCCAAAGCCTGTCTTCCCCAATCTGCCAATCTAAAGTAGTTGCAGTATCTGGTTTGCAACGCATACTAAAACAAAAATCACTTTGTATATCCACAAAATATAACCCCTTCTAACAGTAGAGAGCTAAGAATCAAACATTTTCATGTTTATAGTAAAGAGCTGAAAATTAATTCGGTCTTTTTTGGACTTAAAAGAAAAATGAAATTTAGTTTGCAAGTTGTGCTATCCAAAATTGAAACTACATGTAGTAACATGTGGAGAGAGCCAGCTATGACAAATACATGAAAACATGTCTATACTTAGAATCACTAATAACAAAGTCACTCGGGATCTCATTATCACTAGAACAAGGTACATGGAAGACGTAAGCAAAAGATAATTTGGCATTTTTCCAATGTCATTTTTGGTAGGTTTTCCCATTCCAAAAGAGGACCTTAACAATGTGACATTTTGACAAGGTGGGGTCAAAATGGCATCCACGTCATCATCACAGGTGTTTCACAATTCATTCAAGTCTGGATTTAAGAGACGAACTGTTGCAATGAACTGTGACATAGGCATTACTTTGTCATTGTTTAGTTCCTGATATTTGCCTTGTGATTGCCTTGTGATGGCATTGTTTTCCACTCATATTAGAGTACAGAGTAATAATAATAGTACAGTGGAACGCCACTGTAACGAGCATCGCAGGATCCACAGAAATTGTTCGTAATATCGATCGTTCGGTATAACGATATTATTAGCCGCCGGTGCTCTGGTACTCATTTTTCAATAAATAGCTCCCTTTAGAACTTCACCTTGCACGTCCTGGTACTTATAGTTACTGAAAGACGACTTTGAACATGTGACGACTATTGAATCATGTCATTACACAGTTTTTGAGCTTACAGCAATGGGTGGCTTTCCCCTTCTATTCCTTGGGGAAATAATAGCCACCTGTCGCTCTTCTGATGACATTTTTCAACAACAATGTTCAGTATGTTTTGTTTTAAAAAATGCCAAGCACCATGTTCGGTATAGCCGAATGTTCGGTATAGCGGTGTTCGGTATAGTGGCGTTCCACTGTAATAATTTATACATTCATATTGCGCAAATTCCATAAGAATGTGATCAAATGCGCGTCACAATTATTATCCCTGTTCATCAGGAATGAGACCCTGCAACAGCTCGAGACCCGCGCAATATTGTCTGTACCTTCACAGGTACCCATTTATACTCCTGGGTGGAGAGAGGCAATCATAGTAAAGTGCCTTGCCCAAGTGCACAAGCACCATGTTCCCTGTCAGGATTCAAACCCTTGTACCACGGTACACGAGTCGAACATCGTAACCATTGGACCACAGTCCATGTGGTGTAGTAATCATAACACGAGTCAAACACCAAAACCATCGGACCACAGCACCCCACATGAAAAGTGAAGAGGATATCCTGTCCTATTTTTAAACGAAGACATTGAGCTGGAGGAATCGGACTTATGGGGTGCTGTCCATTAGGACTGGGCGCAATGGGCTCCGTATGCAAACAAGAGAGGGTGCTTTTTACTGCGTAATGGTTCGTGCGTTTAACGCAAAGTGCGCACGACTTATTTTATTTTGTATGTGCACAAAGCCATGTCATCTTCATCTTTCAAATGTCTCTGTCAGTGGCCTCCCTCAAGTGTCCTCATCTTACCAATGAGGGGGTACTTCAGCACAGCTCATTGGACAATAGGTTATGCGATTCTTAGTGGTAAAATGCCAACAGACATTATGGTTGATGCCAACGACCCTGTTTTACTCATTATTTGTATTGCCTTTTGAGAGCAAAATGGTGTTCAAATGGTGTTTTTTGGTTCAATACAAGTATTGTATTCAGTTACTGGTGCTTTGAAATATCATTGGTCTCAGTCTCTTCAACGTGAAATACGTGAACAAAAATTCAATTGTAGCCCAAGAGTCAAATGTAATTGTTACTGGGTGTATTTCACTATTGTACACTTATTATTTACAAAAGTGACAGTTGATTCCATATACAGTGATCAAAGACCAATAAACTTGTTTCAAGTACTTGCAAAAGAAAATATAAATCTGTTAGTTAAGTTGGTTTCTTTGTCTTTTGTCGCCAAAAATGTTGTCACAGTTATAGAAATGCATAGAACAATTTTTTTTTTAAATTTGTTGCAAAAATAAAATACCTGAATTATTCAAAGGTTGGTGAACATTTAATACAATGTATATCCGACATTAATATTTTGAATTGAGAACATGTGAATAACGACTTTTATTTTGAACGTATTTACTTACATGTAATATAGAACTATATTCTTTTGATATGACAAATGTACAAATTTTGTTTTTGAACAACTGGAAAATATTTTCAATTGAGAAAGGTTTCAAGTGTTTTTTTTATGTTGTTATTTTGAGTAATGTTTTTAGTGTTGTAAAAAAAAATACAAATAAAACACTGGAAGTCACTGAGATGTTGAAATGAATAAACTGTGCAAGTTGTTACAAATAACGGATGTTTTTTGCTTTGTCTGTTGTGTTTTTTTTTCTCTGTTGATAAATATTCTTTTGATATGACAATATATTTATAAATATGCTTTTGATATAACAAATGTACAATTCATGTGTCAGAGTCATGAAAGTGAAAATGCATGTTCTACTAGAGAACACGCATCCTGGCCCAAATGATTCAAGTGTACAATTGTTTCTTTCCTTCTCTTTTTCTCTCGTATAACCAACCAAAACCAAAAGTACTTATTAAATTTACGAGGTTCCGACATTTCTGACGAATCAAAAAGCTCGTACTACTGTGACCGGTCGACCCTGTTCGTCATATTTATTTCTGGTTTGTTTACAAGGTCCCTTACACTTGTGGAAGTTACGTGAGGAAAAAAATCGACCCCCTAGGAGTATTTTTCATGTTATGGTTTCGGCTATAATGACGCACGTATTATCTCCCACACACTTATTAGCATATCGGACTGTGATTGGTCGGCTATTAATTGACCTGACATCACTATATCAATTCCAGCATTTCGATTGGTCAAACAAGGCACGCGTCTGACGTCACGAGATTACTTGTTAATTTACATACAATCCAGAGGCTTCACAGCTAGCTGCCTGCTCGGTCTTTCTGAGCGTTTGGTGTTTTCCGTAGCAGTTGGCCTCTAGTTCTGCTGTAAATATTGCTGCTTTTCTGTGTATTTTAGGACTCTTCCCTTGCTCAGGATGGCCTCTTCTTGTAAGTGCTGAATGTACAAAGAATTGGAGAGTGTTTCCCGATTTACGGAGAGATTTTCCGCGTTTCATCTTCTCAGTTTTCTCACCAAATGCTGTGTACGTACATGTATACCATACATAACAGGTTGTACAGTACACAATCAACACTGAACAATCCTGCAATAAAGCGCCAGGTAGGCCTACTGCCTTAGTGTACTCCCGAGCAAAATCGGAATTTTCTCACCATTTTCCCGGAGTCCTCCATGCTTGAAGGACGAGACAACCATCCACGAATTATCAGTGAATGCTCCCAAGTAGTCACGGCTGATTCTTTGTTTTGACTTTGTACGCCATCATCGAACATTCCACCCGAAGAACATCATTAATCATGAAGACAGAAGTAACCTGTGCTGTCCACTTTCTGGTGAACTTTCTGCGTTCAAGCAGGGACTTGGGCCAGCAAACCGTCCGTCTTGAGAGGTTCTCCCAGATCCTGATCAACCTGGTGTGCGAGCACTACAAGTCCCACTGGTTCCCTGACAAGTCGTTCCGGGGAAGTGGTTACCGCTGTCTGCGAATCAACGACATGCTGATGGATCCCCTGGTCGCCAAGGCGGGCCAATGCGTCAGCATTTCCTTGCAGGAGATGCAGCTACTGCTTCCCAACGAGTTGACGGTGTGGGTTGACCCGGGAGAGGTGTCCTACCGGATCGGAGAGGAAGGCTCCATCTGCGTCCTGTATGACGGTGCCACCCAAACTACCAGTGAGACGAAGCTCAGTGCCTTGGACTTGTTAAACTGCAAGATGCGGGCACGTCTGCGCAACCAGAACGTCTCCCGCCAGCATTTGGACACTGCAGACTTTAACCGAAATGACGTCACCGTTCAGGCTTGAATCAACCACTAAAAAAACACACGAAGAACTCTATGAAAACGGCTGGATTTTTACCAAAGTTTATGACCGCTTGAACCCGACAAAGGACTGAAATGTATTCTGTGTTTATCGTTGAATTATTATAAAAAATGGATCAATCCTTTAATATTTTTTCTGACAAAATATAGATGCCAATATTTTTTTAAGTCCGGTGTGAATTGAGTGAAACTCCTGTTATTGAATTTTTTTGAGAAATTGTACCACCCGAGTTTTTATTAATTCCAGAATGTTATTGCCCGTTCATCATGTTTATTGTCAGCTTCATCACTTAAAACAGTTCATTTTAGTTTTCCTCGTTCTTTTATTTTGATGTGCATTATACTTTGTAACATACACAACTCAACATGTCCAGGGTTTTGTAGCCTGTTTTTGTTAACAGACACTGTAAATGATCTTTCTACTAACTAGAACTTGATAATTGAAATACATGTACACTATATAAATACCAAAGGCTCTGTTGAGCTTGATCGTTAAATTTTAGTTTTTTGATTCATTGGGTTTTTTTTTAACTTGTATATCAGAACCAAATATCTGTGACAAGAAAAAGCAGCTGGTAGGTTAAAAAAATGTGGATTTTTCCGTCAAGAAAAAGGCCAGAAATTGTATTTCTTCGTGTTTTAGAATGACATCTACCTCCTATACACCGGATATGCAACAGTCTAGGGACTTTATCCTTCAAAGTTTTGCCATATTTAAAAAAAAAAACGGTGTGTTACTAATGATGTGCTAACTGGGCTCATTGTTTGTGGACCTTCCTTCATTAGATTTCAATGCTACTGTTGTCGTCATGATCACAAAGTCAGATAATTACATGAGTATTTATGAGGCACGCATTATCTGTACCCAATTTACACGGTTATGCCATATGCTGTAAATGGCATACACTTTTGGATTTAAGTCATTTTTATCAATAATCCAGCGTTTGGAAATTTCTGCTTTTCTATCGTAAAGACAACGAGTGGAACTGATTCTTATTTGTAAAAACGATTCAACACCTTTGCCATAGATTTCAAACAGCATATTTTGATCAATGGGATGTCCCCCAAAAAAACCAAGTAGTGCATATTTATAAATTGCCAAGACTGCCAACCAAATGGTTGCCAAGTTGTACACTACATGTACTAGGTTTTCATGAAAAAAGGGTAACCGTCTCTATCGAGAATCATGGATGAAAAAGTCAACTGATCCAAAATGCAGGTACTACTATCAGATTTGTTTTTACTAAAAAAATTGTCTTGTCAGTAAAATGTTGAAACTGCTTACATTTGCAGATCTGTAGCACTATCAGACTATCAGTGATATGAGTTGACAATATGACTTCACTGAGCTGTGTCGAGCACAAAAGATATTGTAAAGTTTTCACTTCCGTCCTTGTGAATGGGCGCTGAATGTAAATTTCTGCAGAATTATTGAAGTCACATTGTATTTTCCTACAGCAAGCCAGTACCTTTTTGAGGTGAGACCAAAGCATTTGCATAACGCATATCATAGCATTTTGTGAGTCATCGAAACACTGGCACAAGCCTTGCTGTAAAAAAAAAATGTAAAGTCAAAGTACATGTACAGACATATTTTAAGCGACTTTGATAACTCACTGGCTTGTTTCTGTGTAACAGCTACAAGTACATGTATAATGTAAATGCCTATAAATTTATGGTCTATTTTGATATGGTGCTTTTTTCCCCTAACGGTTTCTGGTTACTTTGTAACACAGTGCGATTTAAAAGGCAGCAATTTGTATGTTTTGTCAGAAAAACTATTTGAGATCTATTCTAATTTGAATTTTTGTGTTTGTAATAAATGTGTTCACTAATATCAAGCATTGAAAAAAAAATTGTGAATTGTGTGCATGTTTAATTTCTTGTTTATAAATATGGATGCCATCTTGTCCAAAAGACTGGTTTTTGGAAATGTCCATTTAAATTAATAATACGGTATGTTATTGTTCAGGTTATGTTTTTTTCCATGGGAGGGGGGTTTATACCTTGTATTTTTTAATAACATTCCATCAGAGATTTTATTGTAAGGGTCACTCGCATTAAGGATACCATGTCATTGTTTTGTGTCCAAGTTGTCCAAATCTGTCGGCCAGTTGAAGCAAAAACACCTGATATTGTCGGTGGAATATCCTGCAGGTCTATACTACTTGGGATTCCTTGATAAGGTTCCTTGAATTCCTGCGACCACAGGGGCCGAAACCATGGAGAGTCACCATGCACGAAACGAGCTAAGCAGTAAGAATCTGCTTGCCAAAAGGGAGACAACAGTATCAGCCAAATTTTCAAGCAATGTTGTAAAGTTAGAGTGTTTCCCTGTCAATATTTGTGCTAAGCAATGTTTTCAGTTCGGCAACTGGCGTATCGGGCCCAGGTGTTTACAATAATCCCAGCGCCCTCGGGCCGACGTCTCAGGTCGATCTGACCACTGCTCTGGCACGATTTGACCCACAGCTGATCGAGCCTCAAGCTAGTACAGGCCAAGCCCCCCCCCCCCCCCCCCCGCAATCCAAGGACAAACCTGTTTTTGTCGCCCCGAAAGTCTGTACAACTTTTTTCTTTTACGACGCTTTTGTTATTATTAGGGACCGTCAGCGAAACTCTGGGAGTCTGTTCACTCGGACTTGTCTGGACTTGTTTACTTAGAATTGTATGTCCTTGAAGATAATAATTAAAATGTATCGATTAAGGTAAAATGCAGCTACGATTGAGAATGAGTGGAGAATTACTGGACTATTCCATTACCTGTTTATGTTTGCGTTTTTATATTTATTTTCTCAACAACTTCAGAAAAAGCTTTTAGGTTGTTTTCAAAGAGTCAATCGCCGAGTGTCAAATTCTTTCATTCTGTTTGCCTTTTTTAAGCCCTTCGATTTTCCTTCAGGTTTTTAAAAGAATGCTCAACTTGAGACCTAGATGAATTGTTACCAAAACAGAGGTATTTATGAAGATTACAGGGATATTTCCAAGCAACAGATCAAGAGCCATATTCCAAGAAATATCCGTGCATGATGCATGTCAATATGTTGTGTACGTTCATGCCCAGTGCAAGTCTATTGATACTGTGCATTATTAGGCCTATTGTTGACAAATCCAAACTCCACTATGCTTCTGAACACAAAGCGATCGGTGCCGTGAAAAGCAAGATAATGGGCATCCGGGAAGGGATCGGTCATTGTTATGTTGTGAAGGGGGTTTTATCTGGAAATCCTCGTTCTTTTTATTTTCAGGGGGAAGGGGATTTATGTATAGGCCTATCTTGTGTTTGGAGCTTTGCTTTTATCCCAGTACTGAGAAATAATCAATAATGAACCAACAATACGAATTGTCGTAATTGTCAAGAAAAGTCAACGAATCCACCTATAGCTAGTTGCCATCATTGTCAGAGTGGTTGTATCTGAAAGGATGGTTAATAATTTTCACTGTTATCTACACCTGCACCTCTGCAGTCATGAATGAGCAACATTCAGGTTTCAAAACATAATTACAATACAAACCTTCCTTTTTGGCAAATTGGTCTAATTTAGCACTAAAGCATGAGCTGTGAATGGGAAAACTACATCTAAGTTTCTACTTGAGCATTTGTACTTGGTGTAGCAGTAATTAATGCGCCTATCAATTGTTCCCCCCCCCCCGGCTGCCCCACCCAAGACGTGGGGATTGTCACTTTTGAAGTGACAAAATCCCCACCCCTCGGGCAAAATTTAATTGACAATCCCCGACCATGCCCTGACATACATACTAGGGGCCCACTAGTAAATGCATTTCCATGTAGCATGCCAATGGTAACAATGTAATTTGAGTGACCAAAATCCCCACCCTGGGGCATGAAAAATGTGACCAAATCCCAACATCGGACCTGGGGCTGCAAGGGGGGGGGGGGGGACATTCGATAGGCGCGTAACAATCAAATGTATTATGCAAAGTTGCAGTTTGATTTTAGAGACTATCACTGGGGAAAATAATGCCCAAGAACTCAAAGGGTTCGGGCTGCATGTATACACAGTGCACAGCAAAATATAGGCTGGGCTGACCAATCACAAGTACATCATACAACTACAAGACCGCTCTTGATGGTCGATGAAAGATAATGGACTAATTAATGAATTGTCTTATCCAGAAAATTCTGCACATTCACCTACATGCTGTCATCACAATGATGGCATTCATTTTGCCTTCAAGTCCATCCGACCCGACAAGCACAGTGCAGTGGTCAATTCTGACAAATTTGTCAGGTCCACTTAATTACAAAACTTGTAATTAAGCCAGAGTCTGACAATAGTAAATAGGAAATGTTATCTTTGTCTATAGGTGCAATGTGTAGTAGTAGCAACAAAATTAGTATTAACCCTCCTATGCAAACATACAGTCTGTGCCAAGTTGTTTTCAACAGTTAAGAGCTCCCATCAGCCTACATAAAACAGGATTGACTGCCTGTGACTGTTTATGTAACTTGCTACAGCTATGCTTTGACTGTAGGTGATTGATAAGACAGCTGTGCCACCAGTTTCCTGCTCCTGTCTGTTGACTGAATTTGACTAGTCAGAGTGTTTGCTTAAGATATGATCTGACTGTTTGACTAGCCTGTGTAAAAGGCATGACGGGGGAAGTGGATGGAATTTTTTGACTGTCTGTGACTGTTTAAACAGTAGGAGGGCTACGTATACTACTAGTACCCAATATCCAACAAGGTGTCTTCAGCAAAAAAAGCTCAGGCTGCAAGAAGTAGGCCTACATTCAAAATGTAGCAAGTGTATACACAGTGCATTGCAAGACAGTGGCTGACTGACCATCCACGTTCAAGACACACAAAAAATGAAATCCATCCATAGAGTGAATCCTACTTGTCATGGTGTTCGATTTTAAGCTAAGATGAGAAATCGGAAAGATGCTGAATGAGGAGGGGCAATTCTCTTGAAACAAAAAATACAGGAACAATGTCAGCAAACACACATTTATTTTCCTCTACACTCTGTTTTTAAAAAAATATACATTGTACAGTATATGAGGATAAAACATATACCATTTGCCTGGTAGAAAAGTTAGCATTACACGGAACACAGAATGTACAAAATAAACACAAAGAGGTTTTGTGATGAAACAACAATAATACTGCTTCACAGTTGCATTATTCATGTTAATGCTGGGGTACAAAATTATACTTTTCAGTTCTTTTTGGGCATCTCAATTTCCAGTTTATGTAATACTTTACTTTAAAAAAAACCCAACAATTTGACTGTTGCAAACTAATTTTCTGAAATGAACTAACATTTAAAAGCCAGTGGCGTTAGCCCCCCAAAAATTTTGTCTAGCCCCCCCAAAATAAATTCCGTAAAAAAGATTTTGCATTAGCAAAAAGAAGGATTGTGATGTACATGCGAACGGTCTCCCCCTAAAGAAATAGTCGTGACAAGGGTGCATTTGTAGTTAATATAGTGTGAATGATTTTAGGATTTTATTGGCGCTCCCCATTGAAAATATGGCATGACCCCCCCCCCCCCTATACGTGTGATGGGCACTCAGGCTAGTGATGGATACCAGAACCGTCACCAGAATTTCAAAATTGGATTGGTATAAATAGTTAAACACAATTTAAGAGTTCAATAAAGCCAAAACTGTGTAGTAAAGAAATACCTGTTATTCTGTGAATGTTCTATAAGTTTTTCATAATTTTTTTTTCAAACAGATATACAGCATGTTGAAAATAAATTCTTCATGTAATTGTTACAATCGTAAACATGTCACCCTTGGCAAAATTACACACCGGGCAACACAATTTCAGACAGGATAAGTAGATATATAAAAGCTAGCTTTTTGGAAAAGCAGTCTCACTTTTGTTGACAAACTATTCTGGCCATCGTTTCTTTCAGAGCAAATGTTCTTCATGGAAGAGATAAATAAATCACATGGGGTTATCCACAAACCTCGTTCTTGTTCAAACTTACACTGGCCATCGAGTAGGCTGAGCAATCTAGACAGAGTATGACAATTTTTCGAAACAATTATACCAGACAAAAGGAACTAATTCTTGTCATGTACAAAAAGCTTATTAATACTGAGGTAACTTGTCATACTATTTGATACTTTTCACAAAGTTTTCTGTGACAAAAGATTTAAATCAATCCCCATGTTACAATCTACAAAAGCCTGCTAAATGCAACAGAAAGCAACAATAGCAAAAATGTGTTGCATACTGTTGCATTTACCAGGCGATTCCCATATGTGGTTGTATCTTGTTGCATTTAGCATAGTGCCAAGGCTGATACAACAGAATCCACTGTCACATTTTGCTGCAACAGTGGTAACAAGTTGTTGCAGACTGTTGCATTTAGTAGTCAACTCAAGTCCCAAGCTTTGTTGCATCTTGTTGCATTTAGTAGGGTAAACATGGTAAATGCCCATAGTACCAAGGCTGATACAACAGAATCCACTGTTGCAGTTTGTTGCATTTTGCATGGTAACTGCAGTGTCATGGCTAATGTGTACTGGGTTCACTGTGCAATGCAACAGAATCCACTGTTGCAGTGTGTTGCATTTAGCAGGGTTCTCATTTCAACCGTCTTGGATATTGTTGCATATTGTTGATGTTGGACATCTAACAGGTACACAAAGAAAACCTGATGAGGGTTAGGGCATTAAAGAGTCCATGAAATGAATAGAACATTTTCAATGAAATCCATGTAATGCACCATATTGTCTCCATTATGTGTCCATTTTATAGTTGAATTGCCACTTTTGAAGTGTGTTGCAAGGTCATTTTGTTCTCATGCATATACAAATTTCCATATTCATGAGCAAATTGGTGACAGCTTTATAGATTTTTTAGTAGTGAAATTCATTTTGGGGTTGTCCATAAGAAAAAGGTTCAGCAAAAACTCTTACAGTAAACTACTATAAAGTTCACTTTGCAAAAGCCAACTCCTCAAAACTGGGAGTGTCTGACATGGTATCACAACAACAGCGCCCTCATGTGTCAGGACAATTGCATGGACAGTAAACAAGCCAAAGAGAAAATGTGAACAGATGTTTTAGTGTGAAAACATGTACATACATACCCAAGTAGTTCCAAGTATTATACATACCCAAGTAATAAAAATGTACAAATGTAATAAACAGCTCCAATTTCCAAGTAACAAAGCCAGGCTTTTAATAAGCCTATGTACTGATGATGTCACACTTTGCTTACATGTGCACTTTCCTATGGAGCCAGTGGGGCCCACGGTCCACTGAGCACCATAGGAAAGCACACATGTAAACATAGTGTGACGTCACTAGTACAGAGGCTTACTCAGTTGTTTTTTTTCCCTTTTAAAAGGTACGTAGGTTCATTTGCTTATTGTACTTTTTGTTTTGTTTGAAGCAACAAAATTGCTCTAAAATTCCAGTAGGTTGTATAACACCTAACCTATGGAAGATTGAGCTCAGTGGATACTATACATTTTGGGGGGAAAAACGGGCAAAACACATGCACAATATTTTGGGGGGGTTTTGTAATGCGAATCCATTGTTTATACATGTAAAAAAAATAAAAAAATAAAAAAGTGTGCCTATGCAAATCAACTCCAATTGTTATTTTCTTCCAAATGATACCATTTTAAGCAGAATGATTTCACAGGGGATTTGATACCAGTCCTATCTTCACTTTGAGCAAGGATTTTCTCATGAAATCAGTACGCCTGTTTCTGGGTAATAACAAACGTTCCTACGTGCCTTTAAAAGTTTACATTATTTTCAGTTAATGGCGGTTGACCTTATAATGTTGACCCCAAAAAGTATATTACAGTTGACAAAACCGATTGCACTTTGTATCAAATACTAAACAAAGTCACACAGTACATGTGTACATGTATTTGCCGTGTAGTCAAAAATAAAAGGGTATAAATTATACATCAGGTAAACAGATTTCCACAACGGTAAAAAAAAACATAGTATAAACTTATGCATTACTGTTTTGTACATGTTCTCTTGGATACATCAATAATATATAAACGCTACACTACAAAACTTATAAGCCAATTCCATATCCTAACTGCAAATGTTGACATCCAGATTTCAGAATATTCACTTTCGTAATAAACACGGCAGATAAATGTGCACATTTCTTCAATGTGCACATTGTGAGCAATGGTAAAAAGCTGCAAATTTCAGGTTATCGAAAAGAGGAAGTAAATATATTTCTCAAGAAAAATGTAACAAAACACAACAAAAGTACTATGACATGGCATAGGACATTTTGAAATTTCTTTTATTAGGCCAAAAAAAAAATATTCGGTCTCTGGTCAGACCAAAGTTCCGGAATTGACGCGGCCACGCGGCTTTTTTTTTTTTTTTCATTTTTTTTTTTTTTCTTCAGCTTGGATTGTACAGACAAGGTGGGTACTATTTTGCTTTTTTTGGTGTCCTCATGTACATTGGTGGCCTCCATAATTTGCCTTGGTGCTTTCGATCATTTGCCTTGGTGCAATTTCCCATTCCTTGGTGCTCTTTGTTAAAAAAAATTGAGGAGGTGCGGAAATAGAGGGCGCTGTTGGAGCTACCGCGGAACATTTTGGAAAAAAAAAAGATCGACGCGCATGCTTAAAATCGACGCGCGCGCTGACCAGAGACCGACTTATTTTTTTTTTTGGCGTTAATTTAAGATTTTTTTTTTTTTTTTCCAATTTTTCTGTAACGTTAATTTTATGAGTTTCTTGCATGGCTGATATATATTCCGGAGAGAAAATTAACAAATATTAATGCAAGCACACTTAAAGATGGAATGTCAAACTGGCTTATTCAATGCCCGGTGATGTCACTGGGTTTAGTACCATGGTTACCGACTCCGAATACGACAGTACAAATCCACTGCAAAAGACATAATGCTTAGCTACCTACCAACAAATAATACATGACGGCACATGGGAGGCTGGGGGTGGGAATGGGAGGCAAATGCAAGTCGGTGGGCCTGCTCTGGGTTCTAGGAGGGGGGGGGGGAGAAAGGGGCTTGGAGCGGTGTACTGGATATATCCAACCGCTGTTCAGCCTCAGTGTATGAGCTCCATGCGCAAGTACCCCCTCAACGGTCAGAAAGGGAGAGTTGGTGGAGACCACTGGGAGACAACCTTTGAATGCATTGCCGATGACGCTTGATGGTCACACGAATATGCTATGGCTTTGTGCACATTCACAATGTCATAAGTCATGCGTACTTCACGTAATACGTGCACAAACCAGGATGCGCAGGCGTTGTTGTGTCATGTGCACTGGGCTCTCAAAAGTGGTAAAAAAGCGCCCTCTTTAGTTTGTGCACGGATCGCATTGGGACATCAAGCAGAGTTGAAATCAAGTCATTACAGGTCACTCACAAGTGAATCGAGTTAAAATCAGGTCAGGTCACAAGTCAAAAATCAAAAATCAATCCAGTAATGTCACAAAAACACATGAGATGAGGATAAGAAAGGAATGCCCTTGTCAGAGCGCATTTGAAGAGCTTCTGACTTGACTTGAGACTGGTGAAATTGAAAAAAAACAAGCAATTGACTTGTGATGACTTGTGACAACTTTTGATGCATTGTGATGACTGGTGACAACTTGCGATGACTAGCAGTGAACTTATGAGACTTGTGATAGCTTGTGATGACTTGAGGTCACTTGGTGACGACTGATGATGAGTTGTGATGACTGGTGACAACTTGTGATGACTAGCAGTGAACTTACGAGGACTTGTGATGACTTGAGATCACTTGGTGACGACTGGTGATGAGTTGTGATGACTGGTGACAACTTGTGATGACTAGCAGTGAACTTATGACGACTTGTGATGACTTGAGGTCACTTGTGACAACTTATTAACAGTTGTGATGACTGGTGACAACTTGTGATGACTTGTGATGACTCATTACAACTCAGGGAGTTAGGCATCAGCAGCCTGGAGTGACCACTGATGGCTCCACAATTCCATTCTGATGTCGTCTGACGTAACCCCGTGCAATCTTCCTGTCCAGCGATTCGTACGTGGGTATTTTGGTGGACGGCTTTGGGTCTAGATCCACAACGGATGCTGAATATAAGTAACGCCTACCCTGAGGAGACTGGACCAGTGAGACACTGCAAGGCAGGGGGGAACTAGGAGAACAAATCATAAAGAAGGAATAATAGGGCTTTTAATGGACGAGCTCCTCCAAAAATCACACATTTTTAGAAAACAAAACGGACTCAAGATGAGAAATCACCAAGGAGTTTGTGGTAGAACAATCATGTATATCTGGTTTGGTGGTGTTTGGTGTTTTTTTTTTGCTTTTTCTTCTTCCTCTTTTTTTTGGTTCTTAGAAGAACCTGTTAACTAGGCGTTTCAAACATTGCGCTCTATTTGTCCTCTGGAGAGTGAGAACAAGAAGTGCATACCAATATCAGGTTCTGCCCTTCACCGACGTAGAAGAGCATACTTTTGGAAGCATTGAGTCGACCACTTCTTCTCAAAGCTACACAATTCAAAGAGAGATATGTAATGCTTCCACAAAGAAAAGGTGAATTTGACAACCTCCATAGGAGCCATTAGTGAGGCAGAACCTTAACTGTGCACCTGTGCCAGTGCTCAATGCTCTGAAAAGGTAACCAAAATGCACATGCCTCAAATTTCAGAACGTGTGCGTGATGCGCGCAAGCATGGTTTCACAGAGTAATGGCTTCTACTTTTGTTCACCAGATTTAGTCTGTACATTTGATCCATTCACCTTTTCTCCTGTGTGACCAGTTGCACAGCCAGCATGATGGAGCAGTCTTGCAAGGTGCGAGTGATGAGATATTCCCGGATCAGTTGCACCGCATCCTTGATGCTGATGCCCGAGACGTCTAGCGTCCCGTTAGTCCGTCCATTCTTGAGATTGCCCAGAAACCTCCAGGTCTCCTCATCCATGCTCGAGAAATCCTCGTCGTACGGAAAATCCAGACGGTATTTCTCACTGTGTATTTGAAAAGGAGCGGTCGAGCTATTTTAAAGAACTACTATCCAAGTTAAACCCTAACTCCTGGAGCTCTTTTACTAGAACGTATCCTGAATCCGCCGAAATCCACCAATTTTGACACGCAAAAGATGCTGGTATCCTTAGTCCATCAGAATCCCCCAGTGTAGATACTGGAGGTATCCAGAATCTGCCAAAGTCCATCAGCAAAAGTCTTGATGGATTCTGGCAGATTCAGGATACCATGGTGGCATAAAAAAAAATACAGCATGTTTTTCCATAGAGTCTTCAAAATCCATCACCTAAATTTCTGGTGGATTTTTGACGGATTCAGGATACCATGCTCGCATGAAAATTGTGATGTGTGTTGTTGCATAGAATCCATCAAAATATACCAAATGCATGGTTCAACTGCTGGTGGATATGATGTGGGTTGCTTTTCCTTTCAACTTGGGCTGTGGGTAATTATGCATACTAGATGTTTGCATTGTCTGGAAGGGCTATTTCAATGAGCCATTGTCCCACCCCAGCATTGCTTTGTCTGGATGGGTTATGTACATAATCCATTGTTTATATGCTAAAGCCTAATAAGCTGCAGTCACAAGCTCCCAACCGCCCGGTACATACATTTTTGTACAGCATGTGACAGACCTGGCAGGGCTACAAGCAGTAAACATAGCCAAAGAGTTATTCTGTTGAGATCCTAAATCCACAAAGTCCCCCAACAGCTCAATATGGAGGTATCCAGAATCCATCAAAATCCTGCAGTTCCGCTAGGCTTACAATCCTGAATCCATCGAAATCCCCCAGTTTCTGCAATATGGAGGTATCCTGAATCTGCCAAAATCTCCCGAAACAGGGGGGGGGGGGGCCTGGATTTTGATGTATTCAGGTACATTAGGGTTAACGCAACATTATCTTTAACCCTCCTGCTATTTAAACAGTAACAGACAGTCAAAATTCAATTCCACTTCCCCTGCTTTACTTTTAACAAAGGCTAGTCACCAGCAGTCTGATCATATGTCAAGCAAGCACTGTAACTAGACAACTGGGTCCGAAGACAAAGCAGGCAAGTTGTGGTCACAGCTGTTTCATCACTCACAAGGAGTCAAAGCATAGCGGTATCAAGCTGCTTAAACAGTCCCAGCCAAAACAGCCAGTCGATCAAGCTTTATGTAGGCTCGGAATTCTTAACTGTTGAAAACAGTCACTTTTTGATTTTGACTGAAAGGACTACCGTAATTTCCTGCGGATAAGACGCGTCTTATCTGACTTTCTAGACCACAAAAACATCGCTGCGCCTTATCTACAGGTGCGCCTTATCTGGTGTCGCTTGAGTTCAAAGTGACGGTCTTTGTGTGAAGAATTCTTTCAATGCCGCAATCAATAATGCGATCAACCAAGGCTCAACTCTCCAGACATTGTGACCGTATTTTCATTCCAACAATGCCGCGATGTGTTGATCCCCCATGATCGTGCTTTCCTTCCAACAATGCCGCAATGCGTTGATCCCCCTTTAATAGTGATCGTGCTTTCGTTCCAACAATGCCGTCATACAAACGTTTTTCTTTGTGGCCGTTTTTTCATTCCGAAAATGCTGCAATCAGAATTACTTAAACGTTTGGAAATCGCATTCACTCAAATTCTATTGTGTGAACGTTGAGGGTGTTTATTGTACAGGATATCTTCGAAGTCTGCAAGCCTGAAGATCAAGATGAAAACAGTGCGAGTCGGTAAAAGCGGCTCAGGAAAGCGTACTTCCGGCCCGAGCGCCATGTTATGCATACAGAGACCGCGCGAACCTCAGTGCACGTGTGGCCGAACATTTTGTAGAAACACGCTGCGGTGTATCATCAAGTCCGAGCGGTAAAATCTCGTTAAAATATATATTTCAACGGACAAATACATACACAGAGAAGAGAGATCACGTTCTGAGAATTAATTTGCGGAAATTCTCTTTCTCCACCGATGTATGTTATTTTCTACGATCCAAATTCGTCCTGATACGCTACTGTAGTCATGCACGGAACATCATGGTCCGGTACCGTATGTAGGCCGTAGTCACTGGTTCCTGGCCCACATCATAGCTTTGATTCTGTAAGCATGCGATGGGAACCAACGAATACTGATGGCACTGCTGCCGCACGGAATATCCTACAGCGGCATGGCTTCGACGACGTGCATCACAAATGCGTCAGAATTACAGGCCTTTTCGTCAAGATTTAGCGTGTCAAGATGAAATAATATCGTGTAAACGATTATGTTGTGCATGCAAATGGCGTGTGTAATATTACTGTGCGTATCGGCGGCTGAAAATGTGATCGGCAATTTGTTTTCTGTGTACGGTGAGTAATTATACTGACACTGTGACAGCTCGGTTACTTCTCCCACGCGGTCTGGGTAAATTTTCCCGTGTCGAAAGTCCAAGTGCGGACAGTGGTCACATTTGACCATTTCTCATTTTACTATCGTCTCGGTAAAACCTTCCAAAAAAAAAGTCCAGTGCGGACACGGCTTAATTCATCCTCCGAATAGTGTGATCGTTCTAAGGCAACACAATGGCCCCTTTGTGGCGATGTACCGACACCGGGTGACGCCTGGTGTTCTTCTGTGTGCGGTCAAACATGCGTCTTATGCGGCGGTGCGCCTTATCTGTTGGCGTTTGATTTTTTTGGGGGTGATTTTAGGGACCTGCGCCTTATCCACCGCGCGCCTTATCCGCAGGAAATTACGGTACTTGGCACAGAATGTATGTTTGCATAGGAGGGTTAACTTAACATGTTAACCAAAAATTGCACATTTGCAACCCTCCGACGATTTTTTTTTAAAGCAGGTTACCTTTGCATCTCCAATGCACTCTTATTGATATACTGGAGCGGTCTGTGCGTCGCTTTTATGGCACTTGATATAAGCACATTATTTTTGTGCTAACATGCTTATAATGTGCTTATATAAAGCGGCGCACAGACCACTCAAGTATACTTCCAACAGGAAACACTGGGCAATTGTCAAGACCAAACAGTACCTGTGTTCAGGATGCAGCTTGATGTACTGCAAGACCTTCTGATAGAGTGGCAAGATGACATCAATCTCTAGGACAGTCAACGACTGGCCGGCCACAAGTCTCCTCAGGATGCAGTTGTCACTCGGCTTCATGCTCACTCCGGTCGGGTATTTGTCTGAAATGGGACGAGGGCTTTTACTGAGTTTTTGATCATCAGAGATTACTTCAAAAGTTATTTATTGTACTTTTTAAAGTTTTCTGAAAAGATCCCTGGCCACATGGCACACATGGATGTACGGCAAATTTGATGACACTTGAAAACATCGGCGTTTGAACATGTCGGGGCTGAAATTTACTCCCTTAGCAAATTGTTTGTGTTGGAAAGTTGCAGTGCCAGTAATTTCCATGACAAAGTTCACATGCACATTTACACAGAGTATGGACCGAATCTCAAGCCGCATACTTTCAGCAAACTATTAAATGCGTTCCATCTCAGTTGCTTTTAGAAGTTGATCATAAACTGTCTACAGTCAAGCAGGGCCCAGGATCTAGGGGGAGGTTACGGGGGTTGCGACCCCCACCCCCCCCAAAAAAAAAATTAGCCGCTGACTAATGTTAGGATACTAGTGAAATGGGGCCAAAAATAATAAATGGAATGCTAAAGTTCCTAAATTTATTCTCAAATTTTCTTAGAATGCAGGAGAAAGTATAGTAGATTTAAAAAATTTTGGGGGGAGAGGGAGGGGGAGGGGGAGAGGGGGAGGGGGGAGCCCCCAGACCCCCTAGCAAGCCCCCAGACCACCTAGCATAACGTGTCTTCGATCGGCACACCTTTACTCCAGGCATCATTATGAGTACCTTTATAACAGCTGCTATATCCACTCTCAGCACACGTCTGTAATCCCTGCATTGATCTGTTGGCATGCGCTCTTTGCTTGATTCCATTCTTTGTACTGGATGACATCAAGGCCTGTATGATGACATCTAGAAACGACTGGACGCAGGAGCTGCGTACACAAAAACAAGGAAACAAATTACCCGACACATGTACAATGTCAAAAAATTATACTAATTTCCCCAACTGAGGTTTCCAAACTGGAACTTTAAGGACACAGTTTGAAACAATGAACTACCAATTCTTCATGGAACCATTAACTCAAAAATGAAGTGCGATGTTATACAAATATTGAGTGGCTCATCGTGGAATGGGAGGAATATTATCGCAAGGTAAAATCTGAGCTTTTCCATTTCACGAGGCGAAGCCGAGTGAACTGGAAAAGTCCAGAGCACACACTCTGTTTTGGTTCCTTTTCTTTTCTTGACCCACCTTTGGAGCGGACTTTCTGGGATCTTCTTCTCCCCAACACAGTCATCCTCAAAGTATTGCCGCAGGTGCTCCACTAATTCACCTTGTTCAGCCTCAGTTGGGGTGGACTTCTCCTGGACGTGGTAGATGGCGACGCCATCCTGTTAAAAACGGAAGGACTGCATATTTCAACGAAGTTATGGTTAGCCTTCCAACCACAATACTTGCAGTCATGGCAATCATAAAAGTCAGGCCACTAGTAACAATGATGAAAAAACAGCAAAGGAATGGGTGGGTGGGTGGGTGGGTGGTGGTTGAGGGGGGTGGGGGTGGGTAGCAATGGGTGGGTGGGTGGGTGGTTGAGGGGGGGGGTGGGGGTGGGTAGCAATGGGTGGGTGGGTGGGTGGGTAGTGGAAGGACGGTTGGTAGCAATGGGTGGGTGGTCGAGGGGGGGGGGTGGGGGTGGGTAGCAATGGGTGGGTGAGTGGGTGGTTGAGGGGGGGTGGGGATGGGTAGCAATGGGTGGGTGGGTGGTTGAGGGGTGCTTGGTAGCAATGGGTGGGTGGGTGGTTGAGGGGGGGTGGGGGTGGGTAGCAATGGGTGGGTGGGTGGTTGAGGGGCGGTTGGTAGCAATGGGTGGGTGGGTGATTGGGGGGGGGGAGGGAGAAGAAAGGATAAACACACTGAACAATTCTCTCCACATACGACCTGCTTGCGCATGGCCTGCTTGCGCTGTATGCGGACATGGCTTAAACCCTCAGTCTCAGGCCGTTCCAAACCCCGGCTTCGTCTCAATTTCAGAGCCACCCCCCCCCCCCCCCCCCCGAACATTTTTCTTTCGCTAGGCAACTGGTCACAGCACATTTGAGACTAGATGACTTGTGATTGGTGGTGACTCTGCCAGAAATTCATTGAAATCAGAAACCTCATCCACTGCTTGAATTAGAAGGTTTACATGACAGATACAACAAGAGGCCATTTATTTTCAAATCAACAGTGTCAATCTTTTGAAACAGAATTCAACATCTGAAGCTGACCCTGCACAACATGAACAAAACCGATACAAAACTTCAGCCAAAAAAATAAATTTCAAACTGGGCAGAGTTTGGTGATAACTTCCACTGATGAGCCAGTCAAGATGATCAAGAAAAAAGGTTTTCCTGGAAAATTTTGAACATCATTATCCATGAAATATAACGCGAGCACGGTTGGTATGCTTGTCGGTTTGTTTTTTACCTTAAAGATCCTCAAGTTGTTCTGAGGGTTTTCCAGCAACATATTGAGGCTGTACTTCATTCTGGATGGGTCGCTGAAACGATTGTTACAAAACAAATCACATGTCAAAATAATGAACCATAACACATAAAAGCAAAGCAGTTCCTTGATAGGTAAAGTCAAGTCAAGTCTGTCATGAGCCATTATGGCCCATCAGGCCAGCATTTATCTCCCGTTTCCTTGGCATGAAACGACTGAGAATATTTCCCCTGGACGGGACACCAGTCCATCGTAGGTTATTCCCCAGTTAAATGCTGGTACCCACTTATACTCCTGGGTGGAGAGAGGCAAGTGGGGGTGAAGTGGCTTGCCCAAGGACACATCGAATGGCCAGTACCTGGATTTGAACCCCGACCTGCTGATCATGAGTTACAAACCTAACTGCTAGGCCACACTCCCACAGGTACATTGCATAAATACACTGAAATTCGCTTTATTTTAAGAAGAAAACAATGACAGCATTAAGAGAGAACCACTGTAGAGCCAAGTGTTCAATGTCGGCCTAGCTTTCTTAATTAGCAGTTTAGTTGGAAAAAATGTTGCAACCTGACGCCACTTCCCAGACTGTGTACAAAGTCTATGGAGAGTCAAGAAAATGTTCCAAGTATTTCCAACCAAATTGGAAATGTTTCTCAGACCCAGATTCATGTCTTATCATCATTTTTGCAATGACTGACCTTCATTGAGATGATATATGAAGAAAAAAGTGGCATCAGGTTGCAACATTTTTTCCGTTTAGTTTTCTAGCTAGATATACTAAAACATGATTACTTATCCCCCTCCCCCAGAGTTACAGCTTAGTCAACGTGTGTGGTGCTGCTGTCTAATTCCAAAATACGATTGGCAGCGCTGAATAACAATTTCAACAAAAACGGGAATTCAGATTATGTGTTATGCTTGCTAATTTATCAAAAGACAATGCCTGAACATGTTTAAGACTGAACATGCATTGAAATCTATCTTTATCAGTGAGTATTAAAGGGAATATACATCGTTTGCTTTTGCTGTAATTTTCAGAAATGGATGGAATTGGGGGGTTGGAAATATGTAGCAAATACAGTTACACTGACTTTTTTGAGGTTTTGGGTTCGAAAATGCTATAAAAACCAAGAAAAACAATCATTTTCCTGTAGTCTGGTTCCCTGACTCAATATAAGAAGAAACAGAGCAGTTTACATACATTGGGGAATTGTAAGGTCAGGGAACCAGTCTAGCTGGCTCGTACCCGTTCATAGGTTTGTAATCGATTGCAAACAAGTGCGATGGTCAATTGGGGCCAGTATTTGAAAAAAAAAGCCAGTTGTTTCCAACGCTGATCGGCCGATCAGCGTTGGAAATTGATACAAAAATACCACTTTTCATGAAAATGACAGTATACCAGGTGCCATGATTTTACAGGATGCTTTACACTGTCATTCACTAACAGTCCAGCAAGGTATTTCAAAATGATTTGGTAGTTTTATTTTTTGATGTTTGCAAATGTTGTATTTTCCCTTTAACTGAACCTGAACGCTGGTTCACAATGCACTTTGTTTATTCCATTTATTTCACCGATGGGTCGTTCATTACACTAGGAGACATCAAACTTACCACGAAAATAGGTCTAGTGGACAGTAATGACTACGCTTCTCCCATATACCCTGTTGAACCTTTCAAATAAATGGGATTTTAAAAATGCAAATTATTAACAGAAATGTAAAAAAAAAAAAAAACATGAACAGAGTCAAATGAGGGAATAACTGGTAAAATCACATGTGCCCAGAGCTTCCAGACTAAAGACATGCCCAAGGAATTAAATAATTGTTGTATTATTGATTATTCATAAATACCTCAGACAGTTTAGCTATTCCTATTGGTCGAGAGCCCGTCACGTGGCCGGTCTTAAACGGATGATAAAGACATCGCTAGCTGGTCTTAAACACTTTTCCAGTGTCACAATAAAATGTGGACTCCTAAAAATCCAGTGCCTCTTACCGTTTCATTGGTTGAACGCTCACAATCCTCACGTAGGCATGCGCAACACTACAAGCGAGTCAGAATTTTATAGTTCTAAATTCAAAACGCAACGCCCCAGGTGCGTTCTGCGTGACATCGCGCAGAACATGTTACGTGCGCGTCAATCTCCATAAAAGGGTTGTTTACATCTTACTCGCCAGCTGAACACTCCATTATTTTGCTAGAGGGATGTTTCAAAAAGCATGAAGTGAACTTGTTGAACAAAATCGGGATTTTTGAACGAATTATTTGATATTTTTATACGGATAAGGTATTTATGAATGGGAATAAATATGTGCTCGGTCGGTATTTATCACTCTGTTTAATACCGCTTAGAGTCTGGGTGCTGATAATTACCCTCGCCTCCGGCTCGGGTAATTATCAGCACCCAGACTCTAAGCGGTATTAAACGAGTGATTAAAACCTCCGGAGCACACATTTATTCCCTTATTAACCCGCCCAAGTTTTGGAAAACCACTTTTGCCAAGTATAGTTTAGCACCCCAACTTCAAATTCCTTTGAGGTAATCTTCAGTGGAGTATGGATAACACTTCACTCCAGCACAATTCTTTGGAGTGGTTAAGCTCATCAGGGGGTTACAACTGATAATGTAGTAACCAATGGATAACTTATCATCAGCCGATGTCGTACAAATCAACCGATACTGTATCACTAACTGATAATGTAACACAAATTGACTGATAGTGTGCTAAATGTTACTAAACTATCAGTCAATGTTTGTTACATTATCGGTTAGGACCAATAATGTAACAACAATTAACTGATAGTATACAAATATTGAGTGGCTCAGCGTGGAATGGGAGGAATATTATCGCAAGGTAAAATCTGGACTTTTCCATTTCACGAGGCGAAGCCGAGTGAACTGGAAAAGTCCAGATTTTACCGAGCGATAATATTCCTCCCATTTCACAATTTAAAGCCACTCAATATTTGTTTTATATAAAACTGACATATAGATCCTTGTCATTTGATATATTTGAACTTTTTTCAAAACAAAACCGGAGGAAAATGTATTTCTCTCTTCCAAACCACCCTTTCACGAAAATGTTTGAACCCAACGCTGTAACGCTGGCTCTTTGGAACAATACGCGCTACGCGCAACGCTGAACGTGCACACCAGCATGCATTTGCACACAAATACCGCGTCATGATCCTAACTGTTGAATAGTATTTCCCATTCCCCATGGGCGGATAGAACTTTTTGAGCCGCGGCATGAACGGGAGCAATAACGAATGCCACGTGATGTGAGTTCCACCAATCAAATGACAAGGATCTGTATGTCGGTTATATAATGTAGTACATTTTACTACGCTATCAATTTTCTTGTGTGACACTGTCGGTTTGTGATACGTTATCAGTTGGTGACTACATTATCAGTTGTAACAGGGGGCAAGCAGGCAGTGTTGGTCACGCTTCACTGATCTCTACAGTGCTGTTTTTGTGTGTGACACAGTTAGCTTTACTTCTTATCCCGTCACCTGAAACTGACCTGCAGGGTTTCAAAGGGTTTTACATATTGCTCTGAATATTGACGTCCCACGAGGAGGGTTAAATACTGAGACTTCATAGGGTGATGTTGTAATTTTAAAGTTCCTGTGTTGATCCAAAGGGCCAGACTGGCCTGGAACTTAACCTTTGTATCTGACAATTGGGAAACGGCCTTATTCTGATTGGCCAGTCGTGATCAAACCGACAATCTGATTGGTCACTCAGTGGGCAACTGACCTTATATTGTTGGAGAAGACAGTAACGACAGACAGAATACTTGATGGCAAGATCGTCAGGAATGTGACCCGACACGGGCAAAAAGCCTCTCTTTGGCTGAGAAAAAAGAAACACAATATGCAAAGACGAAAATTCTGAGTACAGTGGAATGCCAAACTGTTTCAAACTTTAGGTTATAATGAGCATTACTTTTGTCTCCTGAATTGCAAAAGATTCTTAAAAAAAAAAATCTAATGTACCAAATCTTTAAAAAAAAAACAGTTGAAAATAGATCAAAATAATCCTAGATGACCATGCAAAGCATGAAAGATCGTGAACTGTTTTCATTTCATATTGATCACATTTCAGCTATTTAACCTTCCAGAAAATATTCTGCAATTATTTTTTTTTAATGTACAAAAAGGTATAAGCAATAGACAATGAGTTAAAGCTGGTTAATTACACTTCATGCAAAGGCAAAAACTGTAAGCAAATCCATCACCACAAAGCATTCACTGTGAAATAGGCTCAAGTTGATATGTGTCAACTTTTGGGAACTTACATTTGCTGTGACGTCACAAATTGGCGTTCGCATTAGCACTCACAAATACAGAGTACAGAGTGCGACCCATCTAATGCAACAACAAATCAGCATCTTACCTTTAGTTCAATGCAAAACGTTGGACCCTGTGACTGCATTTTATGTGGATATCGAAGGAAGCAGAAATCGGGGAGGCTGAGGGCGTATTTCTTGCTGATGTCAACCTGCTTATGAAGGCGCTTCTCTGGGCGTTGGGGTTCAAAATACTGAGCGACCCTCTCTAGGAAGGCTTGGTTGACTGGGATCATTGCCTGTGTGTTCAGAGTAATACCCATTTATGAAAATGGCAAGAATAACATAATTATGTAGGTATTAGTCTCTTTGAGTTACGGTGGCCACAATTGGAGGCTCTCATTGGTTTGAGTAAACTCTTGTTTGTTTGTTTTTCAAATACCTAACTTATGGCAATTCGTCTTTTGAACTCACCAGATTTAATTAACGTAACGCTCACTAGCATGAGACAAGAAGGATCACTATACCTCATATTCATAATTGAGAGCTGAATTCTCGCTGGTCTATTCACTATCACGTGCAAGCCGCTCTTTTTGCTGTTTACCAAGCACGCACGCGAGTATTCACGCACAGGGTAAATGCGCATGCGTGGCACTACCCGTGCGATAGTCCCCTTCACATGCGCTTTACAAAGCAAAATCTTGTCTTCAGGGGGAGGGGCTTTTTTTTTGGGGGGGGGTGAAATTTTAAGATACATACCGACAGACAGATATATTCCGTTCCCAATAACGGTTCAATTACAGTCTCTATAAACCCTTGGAATGGTTGCAAATCATCAGCCATGACCTGCAACAAATCAAAACATCATAATGGACAAATTAGTAGCAACAGTAGTACTTTCCTCAACTACAACCTTTGGTGACTCGGGTTCGAATTCAATCAGATGCAGAGAATGTATGATGTACTTGACAATCTTGACATTCTACGGTTTTCTCCAAAACCAAAACCTGCCAACACTTTCTTCAAATCATTGTACTTTTATTTTTTTCTACCTTCAAGCATTCCAGAAGCAGCTTGATGCCATTTGCTTTTGAGGCAATTAGTCTTGCAGCCAAGCATCAATGTAGATATTGAAATAGATTCTTTGTATTCCCCATATTTGAGGGTATTTTGTTTATTTATTTTTTTCATTCAGAAACGATGGATGCAGAAGAGGTTTACTATTTGGAACAAAGTTGTGCACCCAGAAGATGCCTGTGATCAGGGTCTATATTGTGAACTATTCAAAGAATACACCCTACCACAAGCACACTGTCAAGAAGGCTGCAAAAGTACTAATTAGTTTTTATATAAGTCATTGGTACGGAATTCATCAAAATTCACCACTAACGTCACTGGTGGACTTGATATTAACCCTAACCCTGCTCAATCCAACAGGATCCAACGATTTTACATTTCCGTTGGGGCCTGTTGGATTGAGGTGTAAACCCCTTGAATCTATTCCTGTTGAAATCTGTTGGATTCAGCAGGCAACTAAAAACATTCAGAGTCGGGCTCTGTTGGGTACTGGTAAATATCACTAAGTTGTACAGAAAAAAAACAAGGCACAGTTGGATTCTGTTGGATTGAGCATGCCAGTCATTTTATACGTTCAGGCACCCAACACAACTAGGCAAGTTTGGTTGTGTGGGACTGGGTTGGACTGAGCAGGAAACTCAGACTCTGTTGGATTTAGCAGGGTAGTCCTGGGGATCTACTGGGGGGTTAGGGTTTTTGTTTACTGGATGACTTTGCAACCGGGTTGATTTTGTCGGATTTGGTACCGACGCATTTTCTGCACAACCCGGAGTGATGAATTTGGTGGATTTTTATTTCATAGGAAGTTTCTTAGTACATGTAGGTCTACTTATACTTAGGGAGTTAGGGCTAATTTGAAAATTTCTCTTTATTATTACATAAAACCAAAATTAATCCCAACCCTCTATGCCCTATTTGCAAGGAACCATCCTCAATCCTCCAAAATCCTCCAAAATTCTGCACTCATGTTTAAAGGAGGGATACCCAGCACCTCAATCCTTCAAAATCGTCAGACAGTCCTGCCTCTCAAAATACAACCATCCTCAATCCTCCAAAATCATCTTCCTCTTCAAACACCATTCATCCTCAATCCTCCAAAATCCTCATGTGCTTCAACCACCATTCATCCTCAATCCTCCAAAATCCTCATGTGCTTCAACACTGTTTATCTTCAATCCTCCAAAATCCACATGTTTCTCAAACACCATCCATCCTTAATCCTCCTCATATCCTCCACTGAAAACCGCCAGGAGAATTTTGAAGATTGAGGCGGATTAGGGTTAATATGGACATTTGTTTCTGCTGTACTTCTAAATACAATTACAATCTTACCTCAAAAATTGACTCCTTGGGAGCACATCTCTTCCTTAATTTCAGTATCGTCCGTGTCTACAAAAGAAGTTGTAAGGATGCCCATTAAATCATGCACACATTATACATTTGCATAACTGTGTAATCATTTGTGTTGTAGTTTTGGCTGGAGGATCTTCGTCATTTCTAGGTTAGCATATTTTAAAAGTCCACATCTTAAAATGTGCCGTGGCCTAGTGGTCTGGCGCACTGAATTTGTGGTCTGCGGGTAATTCTGCAGGTTCAAGTCCAGCCTGCGGCTATGGTGCGTGTGCCCTTGGGCAAGGCATTTTGTCAATCATCGCTTCTTCCCCCACCCATGAGTAAATGTGGGTACCTGTGAGAGCAGACATGGTTATTGTGATTGAATTTAGTTACTTAGCGCCGAAATGGCAGCATCAAGCTGTATAAATTTATACTCCCCAGGGAGCTAAGATTATCTTTGGAATCTTTCATGGGTACAATAAGCAGGGTAATAATGATGTAGCATCTTGTGCGCTATACACCGAGTATACCGTGTAATATACATCGGCAAAGGGCAAAACCTAATTTGATTTACACCACCCCGACGCAAAATTCCATCTTATGAATAGTTAATGCGGTACCCACTGCTACATGTATGTACATGTACATCAGATTCAAGCCAGCCAATCGATCCTGTTAGCTCGGTGATCAAGTGGTACACATCTGCTCTAGAAAGCAGGTCATGGGTTCGAATCCCACCCGAGTGATTTTCCCAATTTTCACGCAGGAGGTAGCACACTGAGAATACAGTGTAATATACGTCGGTGAAGGGCAAAACCAAATTTGATTTACATCACCCCGGCTCAAAATTCCATCTTATGAATTATAAATACACATTATGAAAAAAACATATCGGGAAATATTTCAACCTAAACGAAATTCAGGGGGAATTGGTCAGTCATGAAAACAGTCACCAAAACGTGTTGTATTGGTGTTATTTTGTTCCCCCCTTTGAGGAGGGAGGTCAGGGGAGGAAATGTAAATGCCAATTTTTTTTTTCGATATTGACCAGCCCACAACGAAGTGATTAAAGTTGTAAGTTGCAACAACAGGTAAACTTCTGCAGTCCAATCCTGGCACTGTAATGATGGAAGAATGACTTCAGATACTGTATAAAAACTACTGCGCCGTTAAGCTATTAGACTCACCGTGGGGTTAAAGATGACAAAAGAGGCGTTGCCCTCAGCTCGGTAATGCCAGTCTTTGACGGACAGCAACAAGTCTGTTCCATTGCAAGCCATGCCTTAAATAAGGTGTCAGCTTTCGTCGTTCAGCACGGCTACAAAATCTTCCTGATGCTTGAAACGGGAGTTATAAAAAGGAATCACAAATAAGAACCTTTGGGCAAAACCAAATTATATGGTATTTGTTCTTTGGGCAGAAATTAGATTTTCAGAATGTATGTTGCTGATATCATGCAGTCAAATTCTATTCACAGAGCAACAGGGCGATTGTGAAGTTGGGGGCCCCTCCCTAGTTTTTGGTCAAGTTAGAGTCAAGAACGTTTTTATCATGTATCATTGCAAAATCACTTCTGAAACCTATTTAAGCAGTCTTTTTTTTTGAATTGTAGTGAACTTATAGTTTTGTAATTGTATCTTTTGGTAGAAAATGCAACTCTCTTACAATGTTTCAGTTGATGCCATGCAAATCAATTCAGTTTTGCATTTCATGGTGCGTTGTTGTGATCGCCATCTTTATTTTGTGTTGTCATCTTTATCATTATTTTCATTTTACCCCAACATTTCCCTCAAAAAGTCAAAGCCTTGCCCCTCACCTTGACGTTAGAGGGCGGCGCATTTGCGAACCATGACTGAGGAAGGTCTCATTGGGGTTTTATCTGCAGGACTCCACACAAAGCTGGGCAGTCCTGGGACTTGAATTCAAAGTAAGATTTGAGGCTTTGCATGGTGGAGATACTACATAATGAAAGGTTTGCAGAAACACCATGTGCGGATAATTTCTCAAAGTTAAGAGAATGGTTCTGAAAAGAACCAGAGGTATAAACTCGACGTTCCGGTCAGAGCATACTGAAGACGGTCAGAGCATACTGACCAGAACGTCGAGTTTATACCTCTGGTTCTTTTCAGAACCATTCTCTTAGTTGAGAAATTATCTGCACATGGTGTTTCCGCAAACCTTTCATTATATTGACTTGAATTCCCTTATATAAAAAATAGCTCGAGAGCCATGAATCAGAGAAAAAAAATCTAATTCAAATCTGTTTTGTCCTCTAGCCTTTTTTCAAGGTGCCCAAACATGGATTACCCCAGACTGTTGAGTACAAAAAAAAAAAAGGGCACTCTGGCCGGCCCCGGTCACAGCTGGGCCTGCCCAACTGGGACACTTGAGTAATGACAAATGTTGAGCCCAATTACCAACTTGGGGCGTAACAATGTCATTTTTATTTTCGGGTTGCATAATGTCGTCTTCATTATCGCTTTACCCCAACATCTCCCTCAAAAAATCTTGCCCGCTATCTGCGAGACTGCAGCATACCTGTTGGTTTGTAATATCACTAACTCAATGTCACTAACTGTTCCTTGCTCTACGGTAAGTCCAATAACCAAAAGTGGATTTTTTGGAAAAGAATTCCATACCTGGACATAACTTGACCCACCTGTGCACAAACCCTAAGAGACTGGTCTGAAAAATTATAGGTGCTTTCTCAGAATAAAATGCTTAGTTTTCTCTTCTAAATTTGCCTTTTTAGGACATGTTATTGCTTTGTGATGGCTGATAGGTCCTGGGACTTGAATTCCAAGTAAAATTTGAGGCTTTGCATGGTGGAGATACTACATAATGAAAGGTTTGCGGAAACACCATGTGCGGATAATTTCTCAACTAAGAACCAGAGGTATAAACTCGACGTTCCAGTCAGAGCATACTGAAGACGGTCAGAGCATACTGAAAAGAACCAGAGGTATAAACTCGACGTTCCGGTCAGAGCATACTGAAGACAGTCAGAGCATACTGAAAAGAACCAGAGGTATAAACTCGACGTTCTGGTCAGAGCATACTGAAGACGGTCAGAGCATACTGACCAGAACGTCGAGTTTATACCTCTGGTTCTTTTCAGAACCATTCTCTTAGTTGAGAAATTATCCGCACGTGGTGGGGGGGGGGGGTCATCCGAGCGCAAAACCAATGGTAAATGGCAAAATGAACTTCTTGACTGCCCTCTAACAATACGTGTGCACTTCCTATTCCGTATCCGCATAGCCACTCCTAGGGACCTACTTTGGACTTTGTTTTTTATCAATGTTCCCCATTCAATTTACATTGTACATGTATGTATACTGATTCATCTCTTTGGGGGATTTTTTTTTTTAAAGGGAAAATAGCGCCCTCTTTCGCCCTTCCCAAACTCAATCCCACTCCGTATCGGCGTATCAGCGTAGCCACCACCTGGGACCTACTTTGGACTTAGGCCTTGTCTTTTTTTCTTTTTTTTGGATGTCATCACATGATGCATACATTTACATAATTGTATACATTTACATTAAATGGAAGACAGCCGTTGGAACTGGCGTATTTTTACGGACAAGCTACCGAAATCGTCAAGATTTTTCACTTTTTTTTTGGTGGTCTGTTTCAAGTCGATCACTAGGCTTCGTAAATGACTGCTGAATGTATGAGGTATGTAAATGAACTCTGGGGTGGGATATTAGAGGTGAAAATGAACAATTTTTGAGAGGCCATATTTTTAGGGTCTCTTGCTACCCAACCTCGTCCCCAGGGTGTCGAGCAGTACGCGCCCACCACTACCTGCTCTCTCACCCTGATATTGGATCATTTGCATGTGCAAGATTTTTGAACACGTATGCAAATGAGGAACAGTCTGGTGCCTGGATATGTGTTACACATTAGCGTTTGTTTTGGTATGCGGTGTCTGGGGTAAAAACAGAGTCAATTCGTAGCAGCGCGAGCACGGCGTGAGTTACGAAAACACGATTTTTAAAATCAAACTGTTACGATCTTATCGAGACAACATGCAGTATCATATTTCATATTAATATGAGCAAATTGGAGAGGAAATCAGTATTTTCGAGAAGGCGTGGACGAATGATCGCGAAAACACGTACTGCACGTTGTGAATAATAGCACCAAGTACACGATAAAAATCCATTACTAGCCAATTGCGGTATCCAATCAGGATACAGGAAGAAAGTTTCCTATCCAGGGTTTACTATTGGAAACGCGGTTGGAAATAACGTAAGCACTGAGTTTGCTTGCTACCACACTCTCACGACTAGGTTATGTCTCCAGCACTACACGTGAATGAATATGAGCATGTCAGCTGGAGTTACTCAAGCTAGCTCCGGCGTGGCCCTGCATTCTATAGTTACTCCAGTTCTTCTAGTTACTTGGACTAGCTTTCATCAAGGCCAGTACATGCATAATTGCATGTTGAACACAGCACATGTCATGCACGTTGAAGACTTAAGTTGAAACTTGAGTGAAAAGTGAAGATAGTGGATATTTTGCCGGAGGTAATGACGGCAAACTAACGTTTACTAAAGGTTTGCCGGCGGCAATCCATATCAACAGAGGGCGCTGTACTCTTTAAGATAGGGCTGAATTATAAGATGTATTAAATTCCCACCAAAAGTTGTGTAGCACGTTTGGTGTAGTGGTTAAGCAAAGGCTCTAATAAGCGGGATGTCTTGGGTTCGATTCCGATCGCAGCACATTTTTAAGGTTTTTTTTTCTCATCCCCAAATAAATAAGAATATTCTTCTTTTATTATTTTAACATGTCTCAAACATTTTTTTGCAGAGTATTACATTTTCTTTTTCAGATTTGTGGCTCTGGAGGATTTTTTTTAACGAAGTGGCTATCGTTACGGCACTCGTTGTTTAGCGCCCTCTACGATATTTTTTTGATACGCACGCGGGTATATAATTATTTGTTTCCCCACGTCGTATCGAGCAGTGCGCCAGCTCAGCCGATAGAGGGTAGGATTTTGCACCGCGAGGTTGCGGGTTCGAATCTCAGTTTTGCACTCGAATTTTTTTCCTTTTCTAACCTGAGGCTTTGGAGGATTTTTTTTAAAAGGGAAATAAAGTCCGAATTTCATAAAGTTCAAATTCACTTTTTTCCTTCTAATTTTATATTTTCTTGTCAATGTCATGTTTTTTTATAAAAGTTGCCAGGTTGCAGTCTACCGTAAGGATAGAAAATGGGAAATGCGTTACGGCTGCCGTAACAATAGCCACTGCGTTTTTTTAAAAGGGAAATAAAGTCCGAAATTATAAAATGGTCTGAATCCCATCTTGTGAATACGAGGTTACAACGATAATTTTGGCATGGAGCCAGACTAAAATTTGTCACCGGAAAATGTTTAACTTTAAGTACAAAAAAACAGTAACTGCGCATGTTCAGTGCATATCCGGCAAACTAACGTTTACTAAAGGTTTGCCGTCTCCGGCAAAATATACACTGCCAAAAGTGAAAGTGTCTGACTGAGCGTTTGTGTTGGTTGAACTGATCATGGAGGAATAAGAACATGTGTTCTTATTCCTCCATGAATATTCCTCGTCATGCTCGTGAGTCGTAACTCGTATATTTTTCTCCTTCACAACTATCTCGTTACATTTTTACAAAGACAAGAAAACAATCGAACTTACCCTTGGCATTATGAAATTATTCCTTCTCAGTTTTGATTTGCTTTAATTGATTTCATTTGTCGACGGTGCTAAATCTGAAATACGGCCGTATAATGGCCGCGCCGGTATCCGTACGTACGTCCTCCATGTGAAACGTACGTCGTGTGAGGGCGCGGTCGGTCGTACTGCCGGACGGAAAGCCGCAATCATTAATGAGGTATGAATTCCACAACCCGCCATGCAAATCCCATATGGTCTAGTGGTTAGGATCCGGCGCTCTCACCGCCGTGGCCCGGGTTCGATTCCCGGTGTGGGAAGCCTGACATTTTGTTTTCTTCACTAAATTGAATGTTTATTTCACTTTATTGAATTCCACTTATTTCATTATACAAAGCTGCCTCACACAATGTCAATTCTCATCTTTCTTTCTTTTTTATTTACTTAACAATTATTTGTACCGTATTCGATCTGGTAGAGTACTTAGTCTCAAAACAAATAGGTTCAAAATCTTCATCTATTCAGATTTTTAACTCAACCTTCACCAGATAGTTTTATTCCTTCCCTTGCTGTGTTTTTCCTTAACTTTTTTTCTCACTTGTTTTTTTTATAACTCACTTGGTCCATACCCGACTCAATCCAGTCCTGCCCATCCCAATATGGCCCTAACCTGCCCGACCTAGTGTTTCCATCCTGTCCCGTCATATCCCCTCATCTCCCTCCCCAATCACCCCCATTGCCCTGAATCCTGCCCTACTGCTCCCTTGTTTTTATGATTGTATTGTAAATTAAAGTAATTGTATAAAATTGTCTATGGTAATTTTTTGGTCATTTAAGTTACATCTCAAAACTTGAATCTTGAATCAAAATCGGATTAGCCTATGACATGTTTTAGTAACTGTGTTCCCCCCCCCCCCCCTATACAACAATGGTCGGCCAAAGTTCACTTCTTCTTTTTTTACAGTTGTTTACGAACGAATTAGTAATTCGTGCGAACGAATTAGTAATTCGTGCGAACGAATTAGTAATTCGTTCGAACGAAATAGTAATTCGTGCGGCGAACGAATTAGCAATTCGTGGGAACGAAATAGTAATTCGTGCGAACGAATTAGCAATTCGTGGGAACGAAATAGTAATTCGTGGGAACGAATTAGTAATTCGTGCGAACGAACTAGCAAATGCCAAAAAAAAATTCCACCCTGTCCCTTCCCGGGCTTCATAAGTTTACATGCCTTTGTTAGCTCAGAGCAAATTTTATTAGGGGCCTATGCCTTGCAAAAACAAGAAAGTCATACTAAAAAGATGTAATTTTAGATGATATATGTTACATAAACGCCAAGGACTGAAGCTCTGTCAAACTCCAAATTGAGGTCTACCGACACTGTTTCTGTTTTGAGTAGTCATAATGTGAACCCCCCCCCCAAAAAAAAAAACTGGATGGCTGGCTTTTGAAAAAAATTATCATCACAAATTAATATTCATGAGAAGAAACGAGGAAGAACAGCTGTTTCCATCAAAGACAAATGGGCAATAATTTCACCCTCTCAGGGCGTGCCTTCTGCACGCCTTATAGGCTCAACACCACCCCCTTCACACCCCCCCCCCCCCTTTGATATCCTCCTTCCCTTTTCCTGAAAGCTAGATCCGTCCCTGCTCAATTTTGTAAAGGTTCTGTCGCCCGGCGTCGAAAACATCAAATATGTCATGTCGTATTCAATGTTCCCATGTTTAGCGTTCGTTGTAAGGCCAAAAAAAGTCTCCGGTTTCTGGTATGGAGCTTGCCCAAAAAGTGGTGCGGCGACGCGGCTTTTTTTTTACCTGATTTTTTGCTTCAAATGTCGGCTGATGACTGCAAATGGTGCCCGACTAAACTTAGTGCAAATATATGGGAGTCCAGAGAGGCCACATAAAGCTTATTCTCGACCATAACCCAATCTAAAAACACGTTAAAATTGTGCAGCAGCAGGATTCCAGTCAAACCAGTGAGTTTGGCGGTTTTGAGACATCATCTTTCATTGAAAAAAAAACGTTTTCATTTTGCCGACGCGCATGGCTACGGCGACGCGCGCGCATACCAGAAACCGGAGACTTTTTTTTTTGGCCTAATGAATGTACTTTTTAATTTGTTTTACATTGTCTTGGGACTGAATGCCTGTGGGCAATAGTGTTTAGGTTCACTATTTTTGTTCCAGTCGTATCGTTTTGTATTGTGCTTGTCTGTCGCAGTGATGGCAAATATATGATGCAGAGAGAGCAAACCTCCGCCAAGGCTGAAAATTCCCCGCCATATTGTCAGTACAACCAAAAGAACTACATGTACTCGCATATCCACTGGACTTCCATATTTATTGCACATTTAAAATGTCAACTGTAAATTGTCTAAATTCCAAAAGTAATCGAGCAAACTATAATGGCCCGGGTTCGATTCCCGGTGTTCATTTTTACCATGGGCTATTCAGATGTTTAACTCAACCTTCACCCCATAAATTTATTCCTTCACTTGCTGTGTTGTCCTTTTTTACCTTATGATTTTCTCATTTGATTTTATAACTCACTTAGTCCATACCCAACTCGATACCCAGCCCTGCCCCTCCTGTATAGAATACCCTGCCCGACCTGTTTCCACCCTTTTCCGTCCTATTCCCTCCAGAGTTGTAACGAGTCACTGATTTTTGTGACTCGAGTCGAGTCGAGTCATTTTAAAGAAGTGACTCGAGTCGAGTCATTAGGTCAAGAAGGTCGAGTCGAGTCGAGTCGAGTAACGGTGTGTAGTCGAGTTGAGTTGAGTCAAGTATTTAGCTCGATTCAGTTCGAGTCACAAATATGAACACTATTAATAAACACAAGAGCTAAGTCACTTTTTTAAATTTACATTCGGGCTATGCTTTATGTGGTAACACTTGGCTCTTAATGAAAATAAAAAGGGGGTGCCAGATGATCACCATTCAACTAATGGGGACACTGATCAAAGCAAGTATGTATATTTATACATTATTCGCGAACATTCTAACGTGACGTGAACACCGTATAAGTCATTGCAAATATTTTTCGCAAAGTTTTGCTTTCATTTTTTGGGACTCGAGTCTTATTAGTCTTCCTCGAGTCGAGTCGAGTCATTCTGATGAGGGACTCGAGTTGAATCGAGTCATTTGCTCGCAGTGACTCGAGTCGAGTCGAGTCATTTGCCCTTAGGGACTCGATAGGAGTCAAGTCACCAAAAATTGTGACTCGAGTCGAGTCATTACAACTCTACTTCCCTCATTTCCTTCCCCAATCACCCCATTGCACTGAATCCTATCCTCCCTGGTTTTCATGATTGTGTTGTATATTAAAGTAATTGTGCATTTGCCATGATGGTATTCACAGTCAAAATCACAGTCTGAAACTGTTGCATTTACATTTTTTCAGACGAACATCTGAATTTTCCCGCCATACTAGCGCCCAGTACGTCAAACTTAAACTCTCCAATATACATTGTTTGCCTTTGCATTACTTTTATGACAAAAATCATGGTATACAGGGTTTCACGAGCGGAAGATCATTTGAAAATAAGGAGTACATTGAAATATGTCTTCACCAAACATTTTATGCAAGCTCAATATATTTTGTTTACGTGGAATACATCTGGGTTACAGACAATACATAATTATATTAAAAATAAACTAATATACTATGCACTTAGGAATATTAATTACCTAGGTTATTTTTTTTTATAATACAACAGATAGGTGTACATGTACCTTATGTATAGAACATGCCATACTTACATACAAAATTTGATGTTGTCATCACATCATGACTTTCAGCAAGCGAAATTGCAGTATTACACTTTCCTCATTTGTATCTCTGAAATGTGTGTATTTTTTTTAATTAAAATAAACTAAATCAAAATAATTTCAAATTAAAAATAAAACGAAATAAAACAAGGCAATACAATCACTCGGATAACATTCGAATACATTTCACTATATTTAGTATAACATATGAAAGTTTCTATATTATTAAATAACCTGTATTTTTTTTCAGTGGTTTCCAAGGGTCTTCGATGAACCCTTCTGGTTTGTTTTTTTAATATATAATTCCCGACATACGGCAGGTAGGGTAAATGTCCAGAGGTTGGGAAGCCGTTCAAACACTCCATCTTGCCTGTTCTCATTTATTACAGGAATCTAGAAAGACACAGAGGAAATACTAACAGTTAACAATACTTAAAGTTGAATTCAGCGGCGGCGTAACGGTTTCCAAACTGCGGGGGGGGGGGGGGGGGGGGGGGGGGGGGACTGCACCACCACAAAGGGGCACTTGCTCAGCTCCAAAATAGGGGGCACTCTTCACAACCGGCCATTTATGCAAACTACACATTATATCCCCATTTTTCGGGGATACTCTGGTCCAACCTCGTCCCCAGTGCTTACTTTATTTCCAACCTCGTTTCCATTTGTAAGCCCTGGATAGGAAACTTTCTTCCTGTATCCTGATTCGATACCGCAATTTGCTAGTAATGGATTTATATCGTGTAGTTGGTGTTGTTATTTTCCAACGTGCATTACGTGTTTTCACGTTCATTGTAATTATAACGTTTAAGCCTTCTCAAAAATACTCCTTTTCATTCCCAGTTTGCTCATATTAATATGAAATGTGATACTGCATATTGGCGGGCCAGATTGTAACATTTTAAACTCGAAAAATCGTGCTTTCATAACTCACGGCGCGACGAATTGAAGCAGTTTTTACCCCAGACACCGCATACAAAAACAAACGCTAATGTAACGCACATGCAGGCATAAGACTACTTCTCATTCGCATACCTGGTCCCCCTGGAAAGGCAATACCCGGTACCCCTAGTTCAATGGCGCACCCAACGGAGGGGGGGGGGGGGGCCTCGGGGGGCTTGCACCCCCCCCCCCCCGAGGTTGTCATTTTTTTTGTTTTTTAAGTTGTTTGTTTTAGTCCTACAATTTGACCTTGGTGATATTTAGGTGGCATATTTAAAAGGGGTGTAAGTGCGGCCAAAAATTTTGGGGATTTTTTTGACAAAAATGTAACTTCTAAAAAACTTTGCAAAAAAAATGGGGAGCCCCCCCCCCCCAAATCCAGGGTGCGCCACTGCCCTAGTTTTGGTTAGGTTGGGTTGGGTTGGGTTGGGTTGATCTACATTTCAGTACGCCTGAAAAAAATGTCTCGATCCACACCTGCTAGCCCCCCCCCCCCCCTAAAATATAGGCTCTAGAACCGCGCCCGAGTTGGAGTTAGAATAGATCGAGTTTGATCGAGTTGGGTTGGGTTTTGGAATGGGATGGGTATAGTTGAGTTGGGGGAGGGTTGGGCAGAGGGGTTGCGTTGAATTTAAAGTATTTCTAACTTAAAGTGAGCATACTTGCTCAATAAGTATACTTTCCATGTACTATATATAGGTTTTCTCGGTCAATTTCGGCAAATGAGCAGCCAATTTAACCACTACGCTATTCTATTTCGCGCGAAATCAAATGCTACTGAAAAGGGTCATTCGATTTCGTTTTATGACCAGTCAAATGTACTGTTACGTCATTCGATTTAACAAAATAATCATGCAATTTAACAATTCAACAGAGCAGCATTCAAATTCGCAGGAGCTTTTTGAGGCGTGTGTTTAGTCATTCAAATTCATTTTTGGGCAGTCATTTCTGGAATTTGTGCAATCTAAAAAACGCTTTGTTAAATTTTTTGTTTCCTTAAGAATGTTGAAGGCATAAATACGGTTCACTTTTTGGCCCTTGAGTCACTTTGCCGATGTACTTCGAAGACGAGCTTTCGCTACAGTTTTACACGCATATTTCTAGAAATGGCAGCTCGTGGTCGCTACGCTAGAGTGGCCCAGGTAGATCGAGAAAGGTTGATTGAGGCCTTCGAGGGAAACGAGCAAGACTACCTTCAGCTTGCGGTCAATTTGAACATCAACAAGTCCACAGCCAGATCAATTGTTGCAACATATTTGAGGACTGGAAGGCGAGAGACGCTGGCAAGAGGAGGAGCAACCCACAGCAAGATGGATGATGACATGCGAAACCATCTGCAAGGCATCCTTGACGCTAATCCCGTCTTGACACTTGAGTTTGAGTGAGCATCTGCAAGAGAAGCCCCAGGTTTCTACTGCCACCATAGCCAGGGCCTTGGATGGGATGATGATTACACTGAAACTAGTGGAGGACGTCCCTGATGCAAGAAATTCCCCTGAAGTTCTTGATCAACGCGTCCAGTATGGTGAGTGGTTCCTGCAGCATGGTGTTCTGGCGCATCTAGTCTTCATTGACGAGACAGGTTATAACGTCTGGACTCGACGCTCCCAGGGTAGAGCTCCACGAGGGATCGCTGCAAGACGAGTCGTCGACAGACAACGAGGGAGAAATTGCAATGCCACCTTCGCTGTTTCTAGTGAAGTAGGCTTGGTGCACCACCGAATCGCATTCGAAACTGTGACGCGAGAGAGATTCGAGGAGTTTCTTGCGGACACAATTCAAGAGTGTGATGCAGTTTTCCCAGACGACGAACCCATTTACCTCATATACGACAATGCGAGGCCTCACGTGCGAGCCCAACTCCCTGAAGGTGCCAACCCAATGATCCAGCTGAAGCGCCTCCCTCCCTACTCCCCATTCCTGAACAGCACGGAGATGGCACACTCTGCATTCAAGGCAGCAGTATAAACGCATCCTTGGGTTACCTGAGTGGCAACAACGTGTCGGAGACAGACAGGCTGCCCAGCAAGCAGGAATGAACATGCAGCAGTGGAGGTGCAATCTCCTTCAACAAGCAGCCATCCAGAGCGTTGATGTCATCACCCAAGTGAAGTGCATGCAGTGGTACAACCATACCCAAACATATATGCCAAGATGTCTGGCACGCCAACAGATTGATGGTTGAGGAAGAAACAACATAAACAATAAAAAAAACCAGGAAAAACATAAAGAAACACCCCATTCAAACACAATACAAAATTGGGTCTTGGTCAGTTAACCAATAAAGATCCCCCCCCAAAAAAAAACAAAGAATGAAGAAGAAAACAAAGAAGAAGAAAAAACCTCATTGGCCCCATGTAAAGTCTACTGGAAGCATAAATAAAGAAAACAAGGTTTGCCTGAATTAAAGTGAAGATACGAAACAGTTGCCTAGTACAGTTTATCTGTTTATTCGTATTTCTTTAGTCGTACTTATTTGAATTCTCTTTAAGCGAAATTGATTGCCTCTTTACGAAATTGAAAAAAATTAAATCAGTGAAATCTCCAGTCGAACCAGCTTTGCTAAATTGAATGATGATTGTGTGTCACGAAAAAGAATGACGATATGCTAAATTGAACACAGTGCTAAAGGAATTTGAATGCCTCAAAACGAAATTGAATGGCCGAATTCTGAATTTGAAACGCAGTAACAACTGGAGAGGCAAAATAGCTTCAATTCGAACGCACGAAAATTAAATTGGCTGCTCATTTGCCGAAATTGACTCAGAAAACCTATATTATGTTTTCCCGGCTATTTAAAACATTTGTCATTCCAATTCACCAACTCTAACATTCTACATGTATTTCGTCCTAGAAAAAAATTAACAGGCTTTTAACAAAACCAATTTAGTCATTTACCATTCAATTTCAAAGTTTGGTCAACCTCTTTAGTCACCGGGTCGAGAATATTCGCCATTACAGATCAAATTCGTCTAAGCTATTGCCGAATGGCAGCATTTAGAGATCGAATCCGTCTTATATAAATCAATTGGACGAATTCGATTTCTGACTAAAAAGGTTTGGCGTAGACTAGACAAAATAGAATACTCCGGGACAAAAACGTGTGCTCGTTGTTTGAATTTGCTTGAACTGAATTTGAAATTGTCTGACAAAAGACAAAATTAAACATTGGAAGTGCATTAAATCGATGGTGATGGACGAATTTGAATATTAGAAACGGTGAATTCGAATGATAAACGTTTTTAAATTTCCAGTAGGGAGTTAATGCATGAGAAGTTTTAACCCAACCAAACCAGATCCGCAATTTTGATAATGAAATGATAAATATTCAAACTCTACACCCTGTATACAAGCGGTTAATCTCATGTATGACCTATTTATGTTTAAGAACACATAACATTTTAACATAATATACATACACTTATTAGTTAGACTGGTTCCTGGCCCAACCGTTGTCCTTCGGACTGCGAATGTAGGGACAGGTAGCGAGCAATGAATCCTGAATGCGTTTTGAGGTTTCCCTCCTAATATTATATGCAAATTAAATGCTGGAATTGCATAGGTCTGATTCCTTCCCCCTGGATTCAAATCACAATGATAATGCTAATTTTGCGCGGAGCCAACCTATTGCAAAATGGCAAAAAGGCTACGAATATGCAATTTCGGTGGTAGGGAGCTTCGATTTTCGCTGAATACAAAAATGTTATGGATTTGGGGTGGTGCTCGTTTGCTTTCTTTAATGTTTTAGTCTCTATTTGTTTATTTTGTTATTTTTATTTTGTTGCAACAATAGTCATTTTGATCCTTCTGGAAGTGATGGTAGTCCTGAAAAGAACTGTTTGGTTAACTTCTTAGATGTTTACTGTGCTGCTCCGTCCCTACCCTCTACTGCTGTACTAGGTAGCCTTTTTTACAAAATTAATGCATGTTCTTATTTATTGCGTCAGTCAAAATATCAGTCGCTGTGGACAAAATGAAAAAGCGGTACGTGTTTTCAATTGGCCATAACTCAATAAAACATATTTTTTACCCGATTGGAAACATGTTTACATTGTTGAAAAGCTAATGGACTATGCTCTCTAAATATGCGATGTATTTGCGATGTATTTTTTTAAAGCTGTGAAAAAGAGGCTTATAGGTTTCAATTTGTTAGACACCCTGTATCTAGGTTAGACCTAATACAGCGTGAGTAAAAGAAACGACACCCAAATATCGGGCCTATTGTTTTAGTGAAGTTCTTCATGTAAATCTAGGACAAGAAAGCCCAATTCATACGCTTTGTTTTAGTACAAGAATCATTCAAATCACTCCTGGACTTTTCAAGTTGCGCAATGTTAAACACAACCACCGTTTTAAAGTTCTGTCCACGAATCACAAAAAGGTGTGCTTTCTTCCAGCAAAATGAAAACAATTCCAGACATCATATGTGATTTGTTTTCGTTTTGCTGAACGAACACTTACCTTTTTGTGATCCGTGGATAGAACGTTAAAACGATGGTTGTGTTAAAAATTCCGTAACTTGAAAATTACATGAGTGATTTGGATGATTCTTGTACTAAAAGATAGCTTAGGAATAGGCCTAATAGACCTAATGACGTCACGCTTTGTTTACATGCGCTTGCCTATGTAGTAGACGGTCCCTACTTTGTCTGGCGTCCCGACTTCGCTCCCATAGGAAAGCACATATGTAAACAAAGCTATTACGTCATTAGGTTTCAGGTCTATTGGGCTTTTATATCCTAGATTTTGAAAGTGCTACATGCAGAACTTCACTCCAGTCTCCAACAATGGTCCCAACATTTGGGTTTCGTTTTTTTTACTCTCCCTGTACAACCAAAACCAACTCGGTCCTTATACTAAACCTTACCGAACCCATCGCAACCCAAATCAAACAAAGCAAAAAGCAACCCATGCCAACCGTCCCCACTGACCAACCGAACCAAATTCAACCACACCCAACTCGATCCATAAACTTAACCCAACCCAACCCAAGCGAACCACCGGGTAGCGACGGGGGCGGGGTGAGGGGGGGGGGGGTACCGGGTGAATTGGAAACACCCCCCTCCCCCCGCGCCCATGACTAAAAGGCGGGCGTATAGACCGTTATCATGTTGCAGCCATCTTGGTTCCTTTTTGCACAGAAAACATTATCATTCAGTACTGTTATTGGATATAGGGAATATGACTAAAATGGTGGCAGCTTGATAAAGGTCTGTAGCCGCCTATCTGATCGACGCACTGAATGCGCTCTCTCGGCACACGGCCCGCTTGCGCGTGGCAAACTGTATATGCAGATTGCAAATGGGGGGCGGGGGGGGGGGGTTGGAATTGGTTACCCCCAGAAAAATGTCTCTCTACGCTTCTGAAAAACCAAACCAACCCCACTGACCAAACCAATTACAAAAGACCCTAAAACATATTTCGAAATAGCAATCACAAAGACCGAAAGTTGTAGTGAATAGGACACACTCTGGTTCGATGCATTTCAAAGATATTATTAAAATGTTCAAATGTATAAAACCTTTTGAACTTAAGTCCCTGGACTTCATGCATCTTCCTCATAACTTCTTTGCTTTCCAGGTATCTTTGTTATTTATCTTTGACATTTACTTTTATGTTTTGTTTATCTACTATTAATTTACGTACTTTATTTGTGTTCATTATGAAGTTATTAAATAAATACTGAATTGAACTGAACTGAACCGAGCTTTGAACTCTGACCTCGTCATCAGGGAGCGTCTGGTACCATACATGAGAAGCTCGAGCCGTCGCAGCCTGTTGGGCAACATTTCAATATCCCCGGGCAATCGTAGTCGGAAATTTCGATTCGGCAATCATTTGGGCACGGGTAGAATCCGATGAAACTTTGCACAACTTCACTATTCACCGGTGGACAATTACCATCTTTCTTGATACCTACATGATGATGAATAATCATTGTATGTGATCAGCTACATCTGGTGATCAGAAGGCTTCGAAGCTCTCAAATGAGGTGGCACAACACTGGGCAAAGATCACACGGGGTCTAGCCGATGTTCCCCAATACCTATGTTCCCCAATACTGATGCTCCCCGAAATCCTTAGGATTAGGGTTAGGTTATAGGGTTAGGTTCAGGGTTAGGGAACATCGGTATTGGGAAATATAGGTATGCACCCAGATCGCACGTACCACGCGATCTTCAATTTGAGGTGCGCGTATATTTACGCTTCGCAAAATCCAGGTATTTCGAAGTGGGCATTTTCTCGTTCCGTTAATTGCTGCTAGCGGCAAGTACGTGGGAACATTGGTATTGCAGGAAAAAAATGCTCTTCAGAAACGGACCTAGTAACTCAGGACTGGTGCCAAATACCCTGAGAATTTATTCCGCCTGAAATGGTATCGTTTGGAAGAAAACTGAAGGTGGTTTTAAAAGGTGTGCCCACGGGCACATTTCTTTTGGTTGACGTAAGCAACGGAATCAAGTTGCTTAAACCAAAATAATTGTCCATATGTTTTCTCTGTTTATCAATTGTACAGTCGCGTTGGAGATTAGACTTCATCGGGTTAGTTGACATGCACTCTACTTAAGATTTTGATCAGTTTTGTTTTGCCTCCAACAAACAAAAAATGAACAAAATGCAGGCAGTTATCTTTAAATATTTTCATTGCAGAATTGTTACGTATTTTTTTTTTTAAGTGTTGCTGTGCCATTTGTCTGTGACATATTCAACTAGTAAAATGCCAACCCTGCCAAATTGGGCGGTAGGCTACCGGTTTCAGAGCTCATCTACCGCCTATAATAGTTAATACCCATTGGCTAAAAGTGGTATTTGTTTATTCCACGACACGGAAAAAGTTGGAGTTGCTGCTGATTTAAGTGGAAAGTTTAAGCCGTTGAGCTCACCATTGCCTCCGCTCCTCCGCACTCGTACAATTCCAGAGTCTGACCGATCGAGGTGGGAAAACACCAGAAGACTGGCTAGAAGTAAACCCCACAGCTGCATGCTGTGCTATACAGGGTATATACCACGCTGAGATCTGTGCCAGCTCCGAGATGCAACTCACTGCGTGCGCTACGTTGGCCGTGACAGGTTTTTTTTTAGGCGCCAGGAGTTAGGCCCAAACGTGTATTACGATCGGCGGACATGTCAAAAGTGGCCAACCCAGAGAATACTGATAAACATCACCGGTTGAACTTTCACGAGATTGGACTTGGTCTACTGTCCACATGAAAAAGAAAATCTGCCAAATGTTTGCTATCAGCATCGAATCCACTAGCTATGTGAATATTAATTAGCTAGGCCTATACTAAGATCTTTTTTTTGTTTATATAAATAGCAGTAAGGTGACGGTAGCAGATGTGCGCAATCGGTTTTTTTTTTGGTAGGTCTTTTCCTCAGCGCACGGGGATCGATCGGATTGGTTTTAAACTGCGGTAGTGGCAACCTGTTTGGTCGAGAGCTGTATACAAAGGGCCTAGGCAGCTCTGTATCGATTGTTTTCATTAATTATCGCATGCGTGATTATGCACACCTGTAAACCATTGAGGAAAAAACACCGGAACTGAGTTGCTCTCCTATGATGAACTTTACACGTGACTGATGGAGAGAAGGTCTGGCGGCTTATACCAATAGAATTAAAATCAAACTTCAGAGTTTGAGGTACATGTGTTTGCGAGCTTGAAGATCACATCTACGTTTGATAACTTGACTTTGACCCCATCAAGTTTTAAGGGGTCACACAGGTCAGAATCGGCCACGAGAGGGTACTGCAATTGCTGCCTCGTTTTCAAAGTTTTGCTCCGATATGTGCAAAAACCTTGAGCGAAATTTATACCTCATGTTTAAAATGCACGAATATAGCACGTTTATGTTTCCCTTACACGTGTTGTGAACTTGTGATACTGGGTTGAAATCACTTATCTCAAGAGTATATCACTCTTCCTTACTTAATGATTGCGTGTCATCCTGGTTATGTATACGTCTGAGGACTAAGAACAATGGGTTTCCTGAGATGCACAGTATAACACCGAGGACCTGGTTAAAGTCCTCAGGTCTCCGTGGAGAAACCTCATGGGACACGTCCAGAGGGTTTCCTGAGATAACAGTAAAACAGAGGACATGGCTTCAAGTCCACAGAAGGTATCCGTGTAGAAACTTTACGGGACATGTCCAGGGGGTTTCATGAGATGACAGTAACACCGAGGACCTGCAGGCTGAGGTCCTCGGAAAGTCTTCGTGTAGAAACCCTTTGGAACGTGTCCGTAGCGGGTTTCCTGAGATAACAGTGACACCGAGGACCTGGCTTCAGGTCCACAGAAGGTCTCCGTGTAGAAACCTTATGGGACACGAGGCCGGTTTCCTAAGATGACAGTAACACCGAGGACCTGCAGGCTGCAAGTCCTCAGAAGGTCTTCGTGTAGAAACATAATGGGACGCGTCTATAGGTTTTCCTGAGATAACAGTTACATGGAGGACCTGCCTGCAACTCTGTGAAAACTTACTGTTTTGAAGTTAAATTGAACTTCCGAACGACAATTATGAATCAAAAAACCCCAAAACAAGTTTACAAATGAGAGAAATCCAATGAGGCGAAATAAATAGAAATATCACACGTTGAGTTGCTTAGAATCCAAATACTTACAAAATGCAGAAACTCAAAAATAGTTTATTTCACACCGTAACAGATTATTTACAATTTGAATTTGTTCTCATCAAAAACCTTATACGAAGTGTATACTAAATTCCCATCATTGTTAATACTGATAAGGTCAATCAAGAAAGGTTTCTGAGATTTATTTATTTATTTCAAACAGTTTACAAGAAACCTGGAGTGTTTGACAGAAAATTATACAAACCTTAAACTTGAAAAATATCGTTAAACTGTAACAGAAGCAAGCATTGATCTAAAAATACTTCCCCAAAACGGTCGAATGATATACAGATAATAAATGTTTTGCGTGCAATGGTAAGAATAATTTGAAACTTCTATTTTTGCAGTGCGGCTGTGCCGTGCACTGCGACTTATTCAATGACACGTGATCAACGACCCATCAATCAGTTGACGGGGATTCTTTCAGGCGTTATAAAAACCGAACTGAACTGACGTCAGCGTCGTACGGGCGATTACGCGTTGATCTAGATTGGGCATTCAGCTTGAACTTTGTATTCTAAAACCGTCATCAGTCGTCAAAAAAGGCAAACAATTTTTGTTTACAGGGACTGTGAGTGCAGGCCTACGTGACAACATTCCCCCCCCCAAGTGAAAACACTAGAAAGTTCGTTTGTTTTTGGTTAAATGTATGCAAGCTCCTGCCTGTTCCTGTCTATCTATGGTTAATATTCCACTCGGATATTGTCTAAACAAATATTTGAAAAATAACGTCATAACAAAGAGTAAACAATATGTCAAACGATCGTTTGAGGAAGAGCCACGATACGTTCGTAAAAATGATAATTTTAAGCATGATAATCAGTTTCCTGTCGGATGGGGACAATAACTCGGGAGCAACACCTGTATTTCATTCCCGTTTTTTTTTTGCGAGAACGAAGACAATTTAGCAATTTCCGTTCAATCACGTTTTTGTCGATATTCGGTTTTTTTTATTAACTTTTATATGGGATATTAATATCTTTATTTTTAGGGCCTGAAGATTAAAAAAAAATATTTCGACCAAAATTCAAGTGAAAGCGGAGTCGGAACAACCGAAAACAAAAATTGGAGAATCGAAAACAGTCCACACTTATTTCTCGAAATATTCTTATTAATGTTCAAACTGCAGTAAAAAAAAACCCCGAGAAAACAAGTATCGTGATCAAGGCGTGAATTGAACATTGTCCCCTCCTCTAAAAAAATGACCTGCAACAACACAATTTCTTCCATACATAGTTATAACTGCCGTTAGTTACCAGGGGAAATTGGTAGTTCTCGTACCGGTCGTATATAAATATTTGACATTTGTAAAATCGTGTTACTAAAAAACAAACTCAATAAATTTTCACATATACTTTTAGGCCGTTTTCGTATAAAACTACACTCAAGCTAACTGGATTAAAAGACACATATAACTAAATTAACCAGCGTGAAAAATATAAAATAGATAAAAACGATGTTAGAATTTCGTTATTACAATATTATTCAATAATATTTATTATTTACAAAAGTTTGGATTTCGTATGAAAATAACTGCAACGCTATAAGTTGTTTTTCTAAAAAACAATTAAAATAAAGAAATACTCCGATTCTAATTCATTTCACATTACATGTGCGTTTGTACCTTTTCGACAGTCAAACTACCTTACAACACCGTTAACTTACACTATGTACATAGACAGTTACTACTGCTAGCTATTGACACAGGAAATGCAAACTTGGGCATGTTTATTTAATTTTTTTTTCTTTTCATTTTTTTAGTCATCGTGTGCAGCTTTCCAAAAATACTACAAATAACTACGATCGATAGGAACTTCTGTTTCCATCGGTAAATAGCAGAGCTGAAGTGAAGGTTGGTTTAGAAAATAGCCAATAATTATCATCTAATGAGCACCGATTCATTCACAATAACCTTGAGGATCTACCAAAAAGGATTGTTAACAAGTGTCAAACTTGTTTGCATCCAACTGTTTAACATGTCATAAAAAGCTGTAAACAGCAGTAACTGCATTTTTGGAAGTTGCATTAAAACTGCATTTTTACGATTTCAGCACTTTTACTTATAACTTACACTATCAGATCAGAAAACATTAATTATTTTTTCTCCATATCTTTTATTTAAATAATGCTTTATTATTAAAGCCACACGACACTATATGCGTATGAATTCTGTAGAATAAGATTAAGCTTTTCTGATCGTGTCTCCTTGACTACCTTTATTACACGAAGAGCTCATCAGATGCTGTTTGCCATTTTGTTTCTCATTCATTAAAAAAAGTATCACTTTTATCCATCAATTCCACGAAAACAATGATACTTGAGGCTCAATTCGCAATTGGATTTTCTTTTTGGTACTTCTTGCATCTGATAGTCGAACCCTCACCCTGCACTATTTACTTTAACCTTGCACTGAGCTAGAAACCTTTTGTTATGCAATCTGCTGTGGAAATTACGAGTTCTGTGACGCAAAATGTCAGCCATTTACTGCAGGTGTTATATACAACGCCAGCCGTTTTCGAGATAACAAGTAGATTAATTGAAACAGTTCACAAGAGCCATCTTGTGTGGGGCTTCTGCCACCCAAAAATGGAAGAAACATAAATATGTATAGGTTGAAATTCAATAATCATATAATTCTAACAAATTTGGATGGATAAAACTCAAATTTGGAATAAAATCACAGATCACAAGTGAAATATGCACATTACAAAAAAAGTCAGTGATTACAAAAGAGTGCAACATGCGATCAAAATACTCATGCTGTAACTTTTCTGACTTTATTATATTTTTTTCGGAGGGAACACAGTTTCGGTGGTCATGCAAGCTCTGTGAAGGGGATGATCAAAGCTCTCTTCAGTGGACTGGTAATGAGTGTCGGGCCAACGTTTTGGGTTTTTGCGCTGGCTCCTGCATGGTCAGCTTGTGGGTAGCTAGTGCCGAATTCTCATTTTGTCGGTCTTCAATGGAGCGGATCTGGCAAGAAAAGTTTGGGGTTTTTTTTTCAAAATATTTTAGTTGTTATTTTCCCGTTGCATGCTTATTTTGTGATTTTTCGAGAAAAAAAACCGGTAAAATTTGTGGTATTTATGATCATATGATCATAACAGTGAGTAAAAGTGAGGCACAAAGAATCATGCTTTTCAATGGAAACAGAAGGGATAGAAAACCTATTCTGTTGGGTTGAGCCCAGTGATCTGAGAACATTTTCGGCTCACCAGCAGGTGATCTTGAGAACATCTATCATGTAAGACAAAATGCAAAATATGTGCCTGATGAATATTTCTTTTCCTAAATATGATTCAACTTTTTTGTCGGGGGGGGGGGGGGGATTTGAAAAGGGAACCAAATACAGGAACCTGTTTTTATGAATTATTGTGTGATTTGGCTTTTAACCTTTTTTCCCACTTTTTTTTCGTAGCAAGATAAATATTGTTAAATGGGTTATTGTCTTTTGTTACGACATTTTTTGTTTGGGGGAGAGGGTTACAATTTGGGTGAGCTTAAAAAAAAAAATGCTATGTAAGGCTAGCCCACCCAACTCACCCCTACACTTAAATCTATTTGTGTCTTTTGGAATACATTTGAGGAGCTGTGAAGAGAGTGATGTACATTCAAGCAAATACACACAAACAGATCTACAGGGTGAGACAGAATGATCTGGACCCAACTTCACCATTTTGTTTGTGGCAAATAGAGTATCTTGAGAACAACAAATTAATGTTTTTTTATGAATGGTTATTACATTGTCTTTCCACAGGAATTTAGAATTTTTCAAATTAGTGGCTGTGGTGAGGAGTTATGACATTTTCATTGAAGTGGCTCATTTTCCGGTCTGCACAGAGATATAGTTTGGCCTTTTTTAAATGCGTCAATAACTTCAAGTGAGTCAGTCACCATGACTAGGTTTTCATTTGTTATTACACTGCTTCGTATCAGTACGCGATTTCAATCAATTTGTTGAACCATGGAACCGTCAGAGTGTTTTTAGCTTGTGCTCTTTGCAAATGCTTTTCTTCAAAATGGTACAGTGGATATACATGAAACTTTCACCAAATATGTCCAAAATACCAGTCTATAACATATCTCATTTGCACTTGTTTTGATAATTGCTACGTATTTTTAATATTTTCTTTAATTTGGGTCCAGATCATTCTGACTCACCCTGTATAAGTGGAAAGACAGATTTGCGAACAAAAACGACAAACATGTACCACACAGAAGGCTTATCAGTGATTTTTATTCCATTGTGTCTGTATTTAGTGCTTGTTGGGTTGATTGATTGTTTGTTTCTTAGGTTGTTGGGGCTGTTGGAGTGTTCGTTTCTTTGCTTTGATGTTATACATCATGTATTTCCTAGATATTATTTTGACCAGATTTGATCACTTGCTGCATCTGTAAATAATAAATTAAAAAAAGGCATTTTTTACAACAATCTCACCCGTTCCCAGAGTTGCTCGTTCTGTGCTTTGACTTCCAGTATGGCATTCTGCATGGTTGCTATGGTATCACGCAACCCAAGAATCATCATCTGCATCTCCTCAAAGTTTTCACAAGTTGGACAATCTGGCAGAATGAAAACAAACATGACATGTCAAAATGTGTAAATACAATTACATTTCATCCTAGTTGATGTGTACTTTTCTTTGATTCATTAAAAAAAAACCAGTCTGTGTTTGCAGCTGCTTAATTTATGCTAAAACAAATTGCACTTTTTTGGTCAACAATCGATTCATCTTTACACTAAATCATTGATTTTGCTTACGTTGTTTCAGCATTCTTTGACAACAGATATGTTACGGGCACTACCTGAAGTTTTTTTTTAACATATTGGGTAAATGTCAGGTTTGCATCGCTTCCTGCAAAAAGTTCATCTCAATCGATACCGAGATTCTACTTTTGCAGAACAACACTTTACATAGTCTGTGGCAGGTGAGGATGTTGTTTTCATGGATTTGACTTGTCTAAGCGTACTCGGACTGTAAGGAACACTTCAGGGGATTCACAATATCTATTTTACAAATTGTAAAGTGTTGAATATAAACTGTTAAATGGGGTGTTGCCAGACTATTTGATGATTAGAGCGTTCCAAGCCTCATTTTCATTCTTTTTTTTTTTTAATGTGGCTTAAAACATTAGGGAATGTTTAATCACAAATTTAATATTATTCCTCAGAGCAGACTGGTATTAATTTGTAATGAAATTTTACTCCATTGCTTTCATTTCTACTCACAATCCAAAAATGAAGTGTTCACTTCGCTTTTAATTTAATATGGCCGACACGGGAATAAAGTCTACACACTTTTTCGCATTGCATTTTCCACAAAGAAGTTATATTTCATTTCAATATTAGAGTCGACTTTGTGCACATATTGTCCAGAAGATAGTCATCCATTCTTTATTGTGTAAGAGTATTAAATGCTACACAAAAAACCAACTACTTTCAGAAGCATTGTAAACATATAACATCATTATATTATTTCACACATAAAATTCAACTTTAAATGTGCATATGCCCAAAAAGACACTAAAGAATGACACTAAATTCCTGTGAAATGATTCCTTCTGGCATGCTGTCATTTTGAAGAAACCAACAAAAGGTAATTTCCAAAGATGTGTCAAGTGACACATTTTTGGAAATTTCTGTCCATTGCTTTCATTTCTACTCGCAAGTTCCAAAAATGAAGTGTTCACCTCGCTTTTAATTTAATATGGCCGACACGGGAATAAAGTCTACACACTTTTTCGCATTGCATTTTCCTCAAAGAAGTTACATTTCATTTCAATATTAGAGTTGACTTTGTGCACATATTGTCCAGAAGAGAGTCATCCATTCTTTATTGTGTAAGAGTATTAAATGCTACACAAAAAAACTCAACTACTTTCAGAAGCATCGTAAACATATAACATCGTTAAATTATTTCACACATAAAATTCAACTTTAAATGTGCATATGCCCAAAAAGACACTAAAGAATGACACTAAATTCCTGTGAAATGATTCCTTCTGGCATGCTGTCATTTTGAAGAAACCAACAAAAGGTCATTTCCAAAGATGTGTCAAGTGACACGACTGACTTAGTGAGAATCAGGTGCCAAATGCTGATTTTTGTGGATTGTGGTCACGAGAGGTCGCAATTCAAAACATGACGCAGCAAGTTTGGAATCAAAATCGACATCCAGAAACTATGGAACTTATGTTTTTCCTGTTTTCTCAAAATATACAGCATTCACAGAGCTTAAATTTCATCAGGTTAGTTATTAAGCATATTAGTCTTTAGAGTTTGGGTACTTTTGTTAGTTTGAACGAAAAAAAATGTACCAACTACAAATGGTCTGCTCAATCTTTAAAGGGAATGTACATCATTGGCTTCTGCTGTAATTTTCAGAAATGAACTATTTGAGGGGTTAGTATAATAGATCAAATACTGTTACACTGACAAGTTTGAAGTTTTGTGTTCGAAAATGCTGGAAAAACCAAGAAAAACAAATATGTTTAAGTAGTCTGGTTCCCTGACTCCACTAAAGATGAAATGAATCAATTTATTGATGCCCGAAAATTGTAAGGTAAGGAAACCAGTCTAGCTGGCCTGCACCCGTTCATGAACATGTAACCAATAGCAAACAAAATTTGGACTGAAAAAAAAGTACATTTTGAGCAGTAGTTGAAAAATAGTGAGGTTTTTCCAACGGTGGTCGGCTGACCACCGTAGGAAATTTATACAAAATACCACTTTTCTTGAAAATGACTTCACACCAGGTGCCATAATTTTACAGGATGCTTTAGACTTTCATTTACCAACATCCTATTAAGGTATTTCGTAAAAATTTGGTAGTTTTGTTTTCCAATGTTTGCAAATGTTGTATATTCCCTTTAAGCCAAAATATGTATAAGCACTGGATTACACAATCTGGACATTGAGTCAGAGAATAGTGTTTTAGAAAATGATATGTTCTGCCTGGTACAAGTGGTACAGAAGACATTCGACTTTGCACTTACGCTGGCAGGAATGCGCATCGATGCCAAGCTTGAAGTTGGGTTCACAGGAGCAGTTGTAACTGCCTCCATAGTTTGTGCAAGCATGATCACATCCACCGTTTTCCTTTCAAACAAAATTTTGGAAAACAGTTGAACATTTTATTCACCCTTACTCTCTACTGTCTTTTACCAAGTACTGGACCAATCCCCCAAAATCCATAAATCACACTGCTTCCAATGCATGCTTTGCTTTAGGCCTCCAGGCCCAAGTCCATCATACTCCGTCAAACCAGGCCTGCAGGACCAAGTCCTCCAAAATCCATCAAAATGGGGGGATGGATGTTGATGGAGTTGGGGAGGTTGGGGTTAAGGTGTTTTATACTGCTCTAAACGGTGGTAAGACAATTGCTACTGTTAATAAATAAATAAAGTAATCTGAAGAATTTTCCCATTATATTATTATTACCCTTAGGCCTTATATCTTAAAGAGAAATTTACCGGAAACTTCTGCAGCAAACTAATCTCAAATTTACATTGCCCATATGCTGCCTATTTTTTTTTTATGAACCCAAGACAAAGGTTGTTGCATGGGTACCCCAGAGAGAGGTGCAGCCCATACCCTCCCCCCCCCCCCCAATTTGTCACAGTTTTGTTTTTGTTTTTTTAATATTTTTTAAGGAAGTATGTCTTGTCCTGCTTCTTCTGCTGTAAACTGGTTATTTAATCACTTCAAAGACAGAAGTTTTCACCCACATGAACAAATATATGCCTTGCTTGTATGTTTGGTTTTGCCTCCATTTTGGGCAACCCCCCCCCCCCTTTTTTTTTCGTGTGCAAATGCTGGGTCCGCCACTAGATACAGAACCACCAGCCCATATTGCCTCAACACAATTATTTCAGTTTTCTTTATACATCTACCTTTCAAGATTTCAAAAAGAACAGGAAACAAATTCTGACTGCCCTGCAACAAATGGCAGAAACAGGCAATATACCACAGGCAACTGCACTGTTTACAGAAAGCCAGGTGTCATATTATATATTCACTTCTCCTTCCTAAGTCAACGTACAACATTTGCACAACAGGCAGTTGCACACGCCATTAGCGGCCTACGTGGTGTAGGGTTCAGGTAATGATTGCCTAGATAAAAGAAGAAGAAACTGACTGCCCGAAAAAGAAAGAAGAAATGTTAAAATAGTTGAAAGCTGCGAACCACTTACATTTTGGCATTCATCAATGTCTAGACACTGCTTGAGGTTGTCTTGCATTGCTTCAAAGCCTGCTTCACATGAACAACTGCAAGACAGAATATTGGCGGTAAGCAACAGTGATTTTAAAGGTATTCTACAGCATTTGCTTTTGCTGTAATTTTCAGAATTGGATGGATTTGGGGATTAGTATTTTTCAGCAAAAATTGTTAAACTGACCTGTTTAAAGTTTTGTGTTCATAGGTGCTGGAAAAACCAAGAGAAAAAAATGCTGTTCTTGTACTTTGCTTCCCTGACCCTACTTCAGATGAAATGGAGCAATTTATGGATATCGGGGAATTGTCAGGTCAGGGAGCCAGACTAGCTGGCTTGCACTCGTTCACAGATGTGTAACCAATTCCAAACAAATGTGGACTAACTAAATTTGCTAAATTAAGGGCAGTATTTAAACAAAAAGTCAGGTCTTTTTTCCGACAATGGTCGGCCATTTTGATGCAAAATTCCACTTTTCTTGAAAATGACAACACACCAGGTTCCCTGATTTCAAAGGATGCTTGAGACTATTATTCACTTACAGTCAAGTAAGGTTTTCAAAATAATTTGGTAGCTTTTTATTGTTTTTGTTTGATATTTGCAAATGTTGCATATTGGCTCGATTTCAGCGAGCTACTACAAAGCAGACAACGGTGCTTAGAAAATTGCAGTGCTCAGCAAAATGTCAGCTGGAAACCGGTCACAGGCCATATACATTGCACAAAGTTTTTGCTGATATCCTGTTTTTGCCAAGCAAATATTTGCTTGTGCTTAGCCAACTTTTCATCCAGCAGTTCTTTGAAATTGGACCAAGAACGACAGTGAATCTTAAAAGTTGCTCAAGATATGCACAGTTTGTATAAAGAGATTTATATTTCACAAGAAAACGGGACTTTCGCTACTTCATCAAAATTGATACTGTTTTGTGGAATTTTGAAGAAATGTTTGGTAAGCGTTTTACTCACTTGTAATATCCTTCGTAATTGGTACAGATCTGGCTGCAGCCTCCATTGTCCCTCTCACATTCATTGATATCTACATGGGCACAGCATTAAATCGCTTGGTGATCATCAAAGTTTACAATGATTGACATGTGCAAGAAACCACATAAATGATACAACAATATTACAAAAATTACTATTACTTTCTCTTTTTTTTTGGCATTTAAAACAAAATTGAATGAGTAAAGAACATTTTCCTTAACTAGAGGCCTTTGCCCTTCATAATTTCTGGGGTAAGAAATTTGAACCTAGCAAGAGCTAATTTGATCTGTGGAATTTTGCGATGGATATGAGATGTCAAGTTTAACATTTTGTCTTGCCTTCCTACAGACAGCTTACACATTTCAGCTGCAGATTTCTCAAAATTGGATAGACATATAGAAATTGTGTTAAAATATTCCCGAACTACAAGATCTGTGTGGTATTTGGTAAAAACGGCGTTGAAAATAAAGCCTAAATTCAGAAATGGCGGCCATTTAAAGAAAAAGCTCTTTGGGCATTTGTCCCCCCCACCCCCATTGATGATCGACACCCCTGCAGAGGCCCATTTTGTAAAATGTGTATTAAATTAATAGCAAATTTGACTTAACGCCTCTTTTTCCTTTTTGTTTTTTTCCCCTTGTCCAGGGGGCTGAGGCAAGCGCCCCCTCCCCCCCCCCCGCCCCCCCTCATGACGCCCATGTATGTGCCATCCACTTACCCAAGCATGTGCAATTGTCCGCACTCATGAAGTAACCAGGGTCACAGCTGCAGGTGTAACTACCCTGGAGATTCAGACAGTTGTTCATCTGGTTGCAGCAGGCAAAGTTAGACTCGCACTCGTTGATGTCCTCACAGGACCTGCTGTCTCGCTGCAGCTCAAAACCCTCATGACACTCGCACCGATGTCTGGAAAAATCAACCCAAACAAGGTGGAGGGAAGATGGAGGGAAACATGAAAAAATCCATGAAAATAATTGGCAGAGGGTTTTTGGGGCTGCCGAACGCCCAAGAGAAAAGTAGGGTCTATACGATATGTGTTTGTATTAATTTTGCCTGAAAGCACCCCTTGATATACCCATTTCTTGTATCGTATATCAACAGTTACACAAAAACCAATGGTAAAAACTCCGGAATTTCGGATGTGAAAGGGCTTTAACAGCAGTGTAACTAGGGTTAAGCTTCTGGGGGGGGGGCACATGGGGGTGCACCAATTTTTTCAAGGGGGTCACTGAAGGTAACATATACATTGTTCATGAGCAATTCAAGATTTCGGGGGGGGGGGGGGGGCGCACGGAACTCTGCTGCCCCCCCCCCCACCCCATTTCTGTTGGTGCGCTTTTTTGCAAGGCTTTTTTATTTGCAATTCCTCATTTTTTACTCGCATGTCGCAAATTTGTTTGCGGGCGAAATTGGCTTCCTCTTCGTTTTGGCTCCTTTATATGAGAAATCAATGGATCCTAAATCATCGTCCTGCTTAATCGGTCCGAGCCCTTTACTCAAATTCAATCTGGGTCACGGAAATCGTGAACTCAAGACAGAGTCCTAGACTTAATTCCTGTAACTCTGGCAAGCAGAGTACATGAGACGGAAAGAATGTTGCAACCTGACACCACTTTTTTCTTCATATATCATCTCAATGAAGGTCAGTCATTGCAAAACTGATGATAAGACATGAACCTTGGACTGAGAAAACATTTCCAATTTTGTTATGAAATACTTCGAAAAATGTCTTGACTCTCCATAGACTTTGTACACAACTGCTGAAGTGACGTCTGGATACTACATTCTTTCCCATGAGGCCCCTTTCCAAATGTGCCATAACAAATCAACTACAACAACCACAGGACAAGAACAACAAAATACTGTGAATGAAAGGACTGACAGTGGGGAAAGGAGAGCAGAGTTTTGTCTACACATACCCTCCCTTATCATTGATGCAGACGTGAGCACATCCCCCATTCTCATCATTGCATTCATTGACGTCTGAGCATGACTGGCCGTCAGCCATTAGGAAATAGCCTGGTCTACAGTCGCACGTGAAGCTGCCGATGTTATTGACACACAGGTCATTGTGGTCACACAATTCCTGCTCACACTCATTGATATCTAAAGAAAAAAAACCAAGGGAACATGTAATTCTATGATGTCATTGGGGGGATTTTTGTTGAGGCCATCACAAGTCCCTGGAAGTCCATCACTAGTCCATCACAAGTCCATCACAAGTCCATCACAAGTCCATCACAAGTCCTTCAGTTCGAGTCCCACCCGAGTGATTTTTTCCAACTTTCACTCGGGAGGTAGCACACTGAGTATACAGTGTTTAAAAAACGTCGTTGAAGGGCAAAACCTAATTTGATTTATATCACCCCGACGCAAAAATTCCATCTTATAATAGTTTATGCGGTACCCGCTGCTATGTACATCAGATTCGAACCGGCCAACCGATCCCGTTAGCTCGGTGGTCGAATGGTAAGACATCTGCACAAGAAAGCAGGAGGTCGTGGGTTCGAGTCCCACCTGAGTGATTTTTTCCAACTTTCACTCGGGAGGTAACACACTGAGTATACAGTGTTTAAGTATACAGTATACGTCGTTGAAGGGCAAAACCTAATTTGATTTATATCACCCCGACGCAAAAATTCCATCTTATAATAAGTCCTTCAGTCTCAAGTCCAGTCACTAGCTATTCAAATGAACTGTTACAAAAGCATTCACTTGTCACTTTTCATCCGTTACTTGTGACTGGATTTTATGAAAGGACTCTTGTGACTGGACTTGTTAAAGGACTTGTAACTCAGACTCGACTACAACACTGTTGGAGGGTTAAATTAGGTTTTGTCCTCCACCGACTGTTGGAGGGATTAACAAAATTAACTGGAATGTGATCGATACTAAAGAGTCAACACTTACACTAGACTAGGTAAGCCTAGTGAAGCTGTTCCCAGTTGAGTCCATGTAACCAGCAGGGCTGTCGCTAGTGGGGTGTGTGTGTGACACCCCCCCCCCCCCTCGCCCCCCCTCCCCCCTTCCAAATTTTGTCAGCAAATCCATAATTGTTGTCGGCATATTTGTGAGATTGAGGTCCTTTTTTTATATTATTTTACTGTTGTCAGCAAAGTTTGAAATCTGAGGACTTTGGGTTTTTTTTTTGCTTGTGAAATATTTCATTGCAACTTTGTCGGCAAATTTGACTTTTCATACCTCCCACAGCTTGTAAATTTGAGGACTTTTTGGTTTGTTTTGCTTGTCAGATGTTTTGTATGCAAACTGGTTGGCAAATTTGGTCTGACACTCCCCCCCCCCCCTCCCATTCTATTCAATTAAATCGGAGTGGCTATTCACTTTGCATGAAATGGGACAGATTCAGCCCACAGGCATTACGAGGTAATCCTATATGATAGCACTGCCCTACTCTCTTCAACAGTCTACAACCAGTCTGCGTCACTTGGGGGAGTCAGTCAGTCTGTCAGTCACAAAGAGGACAAAGAGTCCAACTAATGAGAAACAATACTAAGTACATTTCAGATTTCTAGCGCAAAAAAAAAATGAACCTCTAAAAACACATACAATTCTCAATTAGGTAAAATTCTTAATTCGGTACAGTTTGCTGTTGAGCAGTTGATGGTGCGATGTATGAATTGCTTATTTTGTTGGCACCGCCCTTGACTGTTTGTTTCTACACTTATTACATTACTTTGTGGAAAGGATCACAATCTTCTCCACTATTAGCATTTCTTCCGTCTTACATCGAGAAGAAATACATTTATAACTGTTAAGAAAGTTCCTGAGTTGAAATGTCTTAAATTCAGTGTCAACAAACTTCAAAATTCATTCCTGGAAAATGGCTGTCAGATGCCGGAAAAAGCACATCCCCTTTTCATCAGATTAAAAAAAAACAGTCCTTTGGGGAAAACTAGTTAACTGTCGCTGACGTCAACAGATCGGAAATTTACAAAAGATCGGAACTTGACATCGGAAGTGAAGTCCCCAAGCAATCAGGAACAGTGCGTCATTGACAGGGGTCAAAGAAAGTTTACTCTGCTCAAATAAAGTTTATTCTGTTCAAGTTAAAAGGTCAACTAAGTTCAAGCGTGTATCATTCATCTCTTAGGAATACCACGCCAATTTCCCCCTTTTTAACGCCTGGAGATCGAAATGGGGACATGGGTTTTAGGGATATGGCATTTGTGAAGAGCTTTGGCTGTTTAAAGGGACTACGCCGCAGTTGCGGATCTTGGGGAGGGGCTGTCGGTGGTCTTAACACCGCCACCTCCTTCCGCATTAATGGGAAAATTATGCGGAAGTATGTAGAACATGCTGCTAATCCCTTCCCTTCCCCCCCCCCCTCCTTCCCCAGAATCCAAAGCTGGATCTACCCCTGCTACGGACAGCATTTCACTGCTTGATAGCATTTCTTCCAGAAGGAAATTCATACTTTTTGAAGGTGTTTACACAAAAGATTTCAAACACGAAAAGGGTTAAGACATAAAACTCTTCTCCATTGTGGAGTGCCATGGCCTTGTGGTCTGGAGGACTGATTTTGTTGTCTGCGCGTAATTCAGCAGGTTGTGGGTTCGAGACCAGCCTGGGGTTATTGTGCGTGTGAGGACAGAGATGGTTATTGTAGTTTATTTAAACTGCTTTGCCCCAAAATGGCAGCATCGGCTGTATACTCCCCAGGGAGCTGAGATGGTCTTTGGAGTGATTCATTGGCCCAATGATCAGGGTTATAATGACGCAGCGCCTTGAGCACCAATATTGGTGGATATGTGCACTTTTAAATACACATTATGATTATTATTAGGGCCATGATATGGAAGTTACACATTCTTGTTCTAAACTCACCATCGCAGTGTGTTTCGTTGATCATGAAAAAGCCTTCAAAGCATGCACAATGAAATCTGCACGAAGGAAAAGGAAAAAAAAGTGAAGTATTGAATACCTGTAGGAACTCACAACTGTATCAAGCGTCAAACTTTTCCTGACTTTATAAGTCAAGCTTGAGGAATAATTTGACTAAAAGCAACTCAGGAATGCCCGCTTGAAACAGGCTCAATGATCACAAACTCTGGAAAATCTGGCTTTTTAAAAAAAATGTGCTACTAAGTCAAGCATGTGGTTTGTAATTTTGTTTTTTCATATTAAGGAGTTAGAGATTTTTCATTTACTGACCCTCCGTCAACATTCACGCACTCTTGATGGCAGTGATGCAGCATTTCATTCTCGCACTCGTCAACATCTGTAAAACAAAAACAAAACGTCATACGTGTATATTGTCTCTAGCCCCTAACAGCAAATATAAGATGAAACAGACTCAATAGAAATGCAGTGCACTAAATATAAAATCTATTGCGCCTTTTAACATGCAGGAATTTTAGAACTAAGCATATTTTCCACCTTGCTTCTTGATAATGGTGTGGAAGTACAAGTGTTGCAAGAATTTTTCCTCCTTACAAATTATTGCAGATGGGCATTCCATAAAATGCAACGTACGTCCGACCACATGATGTTCATGTACAAGGTCGTTACAGCAGTGGTACCTTAGTTTGGTCTGTAATTGCTTTCTACCCATTAAATGTCACATTATTAATAGTGATGTATCACATTCACTTTTCCAACAGTAGCTCATTAAAGTGTCTGACATGTACATCAGAATTTACGGAATTGCCAATACATGTAAGAGTTGATTTATTTATATAAAAATACTTGTAAAACAGTCGAAGTAACTTTACATAAGAACAAGAACTTTCTTTGTGTAAAGTTGATTCCAATGTTTGCAAGCAGCTAGGCAAGTATATATATTTTATAGTGTAATATTGCGGGATTATCATATTTCATTGCATGAAAACATTCGACTTTCGTTAAATTTTGGGTAGTCTTGGTTGCTAGGTTACACTTACTTTGTAGCAATTCATTTTACATATTTTATTTAGTTTAGTATTAGGCCAAAAAAAACTAGAACGGCGAAGCCGCCATGGCTCGCTGTCCAAGGCAGGAAGGGAGGCTGAAGGTAGGGTTGGGGATGGGCATGATGGAAGGGGATTAGGATTCTTGTTGATGTGCCTAGGTGTAGGGGTCAGTTTTTAAATGTCAACATAAAAAGTCAACAGATTACCTAATAAATACATGTGTATATAGGTTAGCCGTCACTGTATTATGGGGGAGTTTTCCATTGTTAGGGTAATTAGGACCCAGTTGTGGATTTTTGCAGCCCCAACAGTGTTTTCTGCTCCCCATACTTGTATTACCATGGGAAAAATCTTGTGTAGTCGCCACAAATGCAGAACAAGAATGGGTATACATGTACATGTAGACACAGCACCATCACCACCTCCCCCAAACCTTACCCCATCCAAAAACCTTACCCCATCCCCAACCCGCCCCCTCCCTCTCCCCCATCCAACCCCCTACCCACACCCATTCCATCCTCCCCTAACCCTCCCCACCCTATCACCTACACATCCCAACCCCACCCAAACTCCAATCCCTATCTCCTTCCCCCTCCCCTGACCCGTACCCTCCCCTATCCCAACCCCCTACACCCACTTACCCTATCTTCCCCTATCTGTCCTTACCCACCCTACACATCCCCGCCCTAACCCTTACTCAAATTCCAATATCCCGCCCACCCCATTCCCCCACCCATACATCCCCACCTGACCCCATGCAACCCCTACTCTGATCCCTATATATTGCCCCCTCCCCTTATCCAACCCCTACAACAACCCATCCCTACACATCCCCAACCCAACCCCTACTCCGATCCTATATCCCGCCCCCTGCCCAACCCCCTCCTAACCCAACCCCTACATCCATGCCCATCCTCTCCCTACCTGTCCCACCCCACCCCTACAAGTTCCCACCCCACCCCTACAAATCCCCACCCCACCCAAACCCAGTATTCCAACCCCTCTCCCCACCCCACCCCAACCCACCCCGCCCCACCCATCCTAGCTCCCCTACTCATCCTACTCACACAAACCCTAACTCCAACCCCTATCCCCCAACCCACCCCACCCTCCCCTACCCCATCCCTACTCCAATCCATAAAACTAAAAGATCAAACCAGAAGCTCATGCACATCCCCAAAATGCATAGTGTACATGTACATGTTATACCGATATACACACATGTACATGTTATACCAGTATACATGTACATGTAACAATTAAAAACTTTAACATTTCCTTGAATTAAAGTTCCTCAATAAAATCATAAAATTTACTGCAATGATATGAACCTAACTGAAGTTATAGGCCTAGAGATGATACATGACAACTGCATTTAATTTTTTTCCCCCAAGTTAACTAAAACCAACAACTTCAACATTTTTATCTGAACGCGGACGGCCGGACAGACGGACGGACGGACAGACGGGCGCCCGGACAGACGGACGGAAATTGGTATTACATAGGCTCGCATCTGCTTCGCAGCTCGCCAAAAATAAGTCAGTCTCTGGTCAGCGCGCGCGTCGATTTTAATCATGCGCGTCAATCTTTTTTTTTTCCAAAATGTTCCGCGGTAGCTCCAACAGCGCCCTCTATTGCCGCACCTCCTCAATTTTTTTTACCAAAGAGCACCAAGGAATGGGAAATTGCACCACGGCAAATGATCGAGAGCACCAAGGCACATTATGAAGGACACCAATGTACATGAGGACACCTTGTCTGTACAATCCAAGTTTGAAAAAAAAAAAAAAAAAAGCAAAAAAAAAAAAAAAGCCGCGTCGCCGCATCAATTCCGGAACTTTGGTCTGACAAGAGACCAAATATTTTTTTTTTTAGCCTTAGTTCTGAGGTTGACTGGAAATGAAACAAGCATACAATATGTAGATATCTGCACCTTTACAATGGTTCCACTCGTGTGTCATGTATCCTGGAGGGCATGTACAGGTGTAGTTCCCTTCCACGTTTGAGCACACAGCATTGTCTTCAGCGGCGCAGCGATGTGCGTTCGAGTCAGTGGCCGTGCACTCGTCGATATCAGCGCAGTAATCCACATCAGGTTCCTCCTGAAAGTAACCATCGAAACACCTGCAAAAACGGACAAATGGAGATTTGTACTTGGAACCACCATCTCCTGTGAATATGGGCTAAAGTACCCCACCAACGGTAAGAAAGGGAGAGTTGGGGGAGACCACTGGAAGACGTTTGGAACCTTGAACGCATTGCCGAAGACACTAGGGTTTTGTGCACATTCAGAGAATAAAATCAGTCGTGCGTATTCATGAGCGGTCATAAAACACAATCAACTGCTCAAGTACCTATATAAAATTTTCATCAGTGGTGAAGAAACAGTTCTCAAAAAGGGGGTGGGGGGTGGGGTGGGGAGAGTATGTCCATCTTCCATATTTTCCACACCTTTGGATCAGGAATTTTGTGTTCTATTTGAGGATCTGACTTATGAAACTGTTAACATTTGGAGAAGTTCAGGTAAAAGAAAACAAAAATTAATAGGTACAAATTAATTACATTTTTCACAAATACGGGGCAAAGCAAAACTCGGAATTATTTTGTTATGGGAAAAGTTTGGAAAATTCTGGAAAACTCTGATAATGGCAAAAGAACAGAATTCTTTTTTTGGGGGGGTGTGGGGGTGGGGAGGGTAGGGGGGGGGGGGGGGGGTGGCGCAGGGATGTGTTGGACCAACTCCTAGCCACCAACCTTAGCCACCTCTCCCCCTGTTAAAATAAGCCACAAGTAATCTTGTCTTGGCGTCTCTTGTAAATAAAATCTCAGCACATGAACTGTTGGACTGACCCGCATTCCCAGGAGCCTAGTGTGTTGTAGCATCGTTGGCTACATCCTCCATTATCGTCCACACACTCGTCAATGTCTTCACATCGTAGCATGTTGTCTTTCAGGTAGAAACCAGCGTCGCAGGTGCATTCAAATGATCCTGTAAGTTTTGTCGAAAGAGCATGATTTGAGCGGTATAAGCAATACAGGGTGACCCAAAAATTATTTACTTTTAAAAAGAAAAGGGATTTGTGGATTTTTATGTTTTATGTATCAGATTAGAGCTGAGAGCTTTTTGTTTCAAATATCTTTTAGAAAAATAACCTTTTCAGAAGTACATGCCATCACATTATCATATTTTTAAAGATATAATTTAGCTTAGAGCAATTCAATTCAATTCAATTCAATTTTATTCTCATCATGTAAAACATGAAACTTGTCTCCTCGTTCTGCACATTCACATTAAAAAACCTTTAAAACCATAAAAACATATACATGTACATACCTTATACAAATAGACATAACAATATGAAAAATATGACATGAGTACACGCAACCACAAATAAAACAAACAAACTTAGCCTAGTTAAATAAATAAATCAATAAAATGTCTGGATTGATAGAACTACATTGTATATGTATAATGACAAAAAAGCCTGTGGCACATAAATGGGAAGGGATCAATGGCAAGCTGGGGGATATAAGCGGGGCGAAAGGGAACAGGGAAAGGATTAGAACTTACATGCATGAGGGGTATAAATGCACAAATTTACATCACGATTTAAAAAGCATTATCTAAGTTGTGAGTCTGATTAAAATATGAAAATAGCCCTGGGTAAAAAGAAGAATTGTGTCGTGTTATACGGATTCAACCTGACTAAAATGGGTAAATGAACAAATGCGTACGGAGGGGTGGATAAGAATATTATGAGATAAAACAGGATAAGGGCTTATCTGGCTGCACTCACTTAAAACACATTTACAGCACGATTAAAAAAAACCCACATTATCTAGTATAATTCTGGTTAAAATATGAAATTGCACTGAGTAAAAATGATACAACTTAGATCTGTTATCATTCTTTTTTTTGTGGGGGGGGGGGGGAGGGGGGGGAGGGGAGGGACACTGCCATATAGAGCATGCCAAGTACCATCTGGGTAGGATAACCATTAAAAAAAAAAAAAATTTCTCTTTTACCACTTCGTGCCGGGATTATTTTGCCGAAAATGTCAATTTTCGCAAAAGGCAACATTTTCCAGCCAATTTCTGATATACAGCCAAATGCCACAAAAACTGATTCGCAAGAGTCATTTCAACATATTTGTACGATGTTTCTTGCCAATATTTGTTGTTTCAATACTCCGGGGCGAGCACTAGAACGTAATTTGTAGAACAATAGGCCCTGTGCAGCGGCCAATTCAAGATCAACACACGGTCCGCCTCCACGGACTGCACGGCCTTTGTGTGTGTGTACAAAAGACCCGAAGGATGTTTAGACGTCACCCGGAGGCGAGTCGAGGCAATCTTGATGTTTTAACCCTTCAGCCGTGCCTGTGCACAAAAACCCCCAGTGCGTGTTATCACAGCCTCCGACGCGAACTGGTTAAAACAAGAGCACAATAAGATCTTTACCCAAAATTCTTATTGGAACTGTCCTTAAAACAAAAAGGTAAAAACATACAAGCAGCCAGCTAAGATACTCTCAACACTAGGCCCCTTTCAAACCCCCAAAAAATGAGCAAAACAAAAATCACCATTAAAATACCTTCTGTGTTTGTACAGGCATGATCACATGGCCCCCTCCTGTCAGCCGCGCACTCGTCGATATCCACGCACACCTGATTGGTCAAGTCTGTTCCCTGGTACCCGTTGCGGCAACGGCACTCATGGCTACCGGGCAGGTTGACACAGACATGCTGACAGTCACCGTTATGCTCCAAGCACTCGTTGATGTCAAGGCAACCGGTGATGTTCTCGTTTTGGAGGAAGCCCTGTCGACACTCGCATTCAAAGCTGTAGAAAGGAAAGGATGGATTTAGGGGTGGCTGAGATAGCTTACAATGCCTTTGCCTCAGACTAATAATAAGAATTTACACATTACTGCACAAATTCCCTTACTGCACAAAATCTCTTTTTCTAATTAATGGCATACGATTTTGCAAATCTCACTAACCGCTTAAAGGCTTATAGGATCATTTGCATTTATCCCAAAAGTAACCTACCAAATTATTATCAAAAAGCTTACATGGATTAAAGATCGTATGGGTACTTAACACCCGGTGAAATTATTCCGTCTGGCTTGCTGTCATTTAGAAGAAATCAAGAAATGTAGGTGATTTCCAAAGATCAGTCAATTGGCTGATTTTTGGAAAATATAGGGGCTATAGACTACATGATCAAACGGTTGTGCATGGTTTTCCACTGTTTTCTATACCTGTGTTAATTCAACGAATATTATACCACACTCAAGATTTTGTGTTTACGTCCGCGGGGAGCTCATCTAGAGACAGTTGGGTTGTGTGTTTGTGTTGTCACCGTGAATAATTGTTATCTAACAAAAACTATAATGGGATAAATTGTCTCCACAACACTTCTCATTTGTCATATTCCAACTCCAATAAAAACGTGTTCTGTCAAAACCAGACACTTCTTGAAAGAGCTTGGAGACACAAATCCAAAACTGATGTGAAGGTGATTTTGGTGTTTTTTACGATAAAAAAGGGAGCTGTTATAGTCCATATAATGATCGTGTAAATGCACATTGGTTCTTATTTGCTGCTCTCAAAATATGGCTGAAATTTTAAACCTGAATTTAACATGAAATTCTCTGTTTTCACCTTCGAAACATCAGGCAAGTCCCAGACTTCACAAAGGCTATATGTCCCATACATAACAAAAGTTTAACCCTCTCCGATAGTCATGGATTTCAGTGTTTTTATCCTACTTTTGGGCATCTGCAAGGAGAATACCCACAAAATTTGTTTTTGTTATGTAGTGTTTGCAATAACTGTGTAATAAGTTGCAATGATTATGTAATTAAAGAAAACAAGGCGTTATGTTTAGGACCAAAAGGGGACCTTTTCTTACCCCATCATAAACTTCAAACGGGCATAATTTTGCCACGAGAAGTCCTTGTTTTTTTTTTCATTTTAAGCATCATTATAAAGGGGGACATCAACATTAAAAAAAATATTTTGGACCAGCTGTTTTTGACAGAACACACAACGAATGTTACTTTTTGAAGTAAAGCCGGCCTCAGGTCGACCTGCGATTTGCTTGTGCTTGAATGGAACTAGCCTTGGTCAAGGCGTTCCTCGATGTCCGTGATGGTATCTGGCCAATTAAAATACAAACACAGCCACCGCTGTGCACTGTACGAAGCGCGAACAGTGACCTCACGCAGCTACATCGCAAAGAATGAACTTTTTGTATTTAGCGGCCAGATGCCATCATGGACACTATCCATGAATGCCTCGACCTAGGCTGGTTCCGTCACGACGCAAGCAAATCCCAGGTCGACCTGCGGCCAGCCTTAGACATTTAGAAGACCAGTTACCCCTTGCATTGATGCCAACTGACAACACTGACAGTGAACCAAATGATTGGGCACGAACAGTGGCCAGATGTAAAGTTTCGGTTTAAGACCAACAGTCTCAGTTAAGGACATTATCTATACTCCGTGGCTCAGTCAGCCTGTTAGTCAGTGACTCAGCCCAAAAAGAACCAAAGTCAGCAAAAAAGCCACAGACGTAGCCCCAGACATACCCGCTGTCAAAATTATTGCAGACGTGGCAGTCCTCGGGTTGCGGGTTACACTCATTGATGTCAATGCATCTCATGATGCCCGGGCCGCTGGACGTATCCGAGTAGAACCCCTGGAAACACTCGCAGCGGAAACCCCCGGGGAAATTGATACAGCTGTGGTCGCACTGGTTTCGGAGCTCTGTGGCGCATTCGTCAACGTCTGGTGGGAAGGAGAAGGATAACGGATTGACGTGCACTACGGTTTTTTGGGACAGCTCATCAAGAATTTTGGAATGATGAGGGCAACTTTCACTTGTCTTGTGGTTTGGAAACATCTGCAGGACATTTCTTTGACATCCTTTGATGGAATATTCAGTTCAGTTAATACAAACGCAGAAAGGTATTGCAGATTTGGGAGTAATGGAAAGGGATATTTTTAAGTGACGGTAAGAAATTCAATTCAATGATGGTTTATTAATTTAAAATCCATATCTCGCGGCATGACGCCGAATTACGAATGGATCACAACATTAAGAACAACGATTTATAAAAAAATATGACAATACTAAAACTAATACCTTAATAAAACTTTAAAAAATGGGGGAAACCAATTGAATGTAAAAAAAATTCAATCAGTAAAACAAGAGCCAGATTAGGATTTGGTAAAAAAAGAAAAAAGAGAATATGGTTATCAATGGAGTAAAAAGTTTGTATAAGAATTCCCATTGAAAATAAAAATTGCGGGAGCCTAAGGAGCACAAGAAATGCTCAATTCGGGCTCTACTTTCTTGTACATAGATTACAGAATTTTTTAGAATGGTAACCATTTTCCTGGAGGTGATGAGAGGTCAGTGTTTGCAGAAAAAAACACCTTGAAATTGCCCCTCCGACACAAATTTGAAATAAGGGCGGCCTGGACACCCTTTGAAACAAGGTTGTGGGTTTTTTTTGGGGGGGGGGGCAAGAGGGTACTGCCCCTGCCATACCAAGAGCATGCCTCTCTGACTTAAACTTTAAAGAGGTTGTGGAATGCTCGAAAACATTTCCGTCATTTTTTGGGTATATGTAGCCTAAGGTGTGATGAAATAAAAACGACTATTGTTTCTGTCATGAAATGAGTACAAAGGGTACTTTTGAGAGCTATTTTTCAGGTCCTGTTTCGACCCGAACGTGCAATTTGTGTAAAAGTCGTAGTTGCGGGCAGCAAACAAAACACAGTAAATCGTGACGTAATAAACAGGACTAGTTTATGCTACTCTGCATCGGGAGTCCTGTTTTATTAAGTCACGATTTACTATGTTTTGTTTGCTGCCCGCAACGACGACTTTTACACAAATTGCACGTTCGGGTCGAAACAGGCATGACAGGACTTGAAAAACAGCTCTCAAAAGTACCTTTTGTACTCATTTTATGACAGAAACATTAGTCGTTTTTATTTCATCCCACCTTAGGCTACATATACCCGAAAAATGACGGAAATGTCTTCGAGCATTCCACAACCTCTTTAAAAAAAATCCTTATTTCATCCCCTCCCAAGTTTTGGCTCCCCATGCAAACTGTAGCCACAGACAGAGGACACACAATCATCAACAGTCACTATACAAGGGCCCATGTCACTGACCTTTACATACTCGGCCGTTTGGGCTGAGGTCAAACCCTTCGTTGCAGTCGCAGTAGTAGCTCCCTGGCGTGTTGATGCACTGCTGGTTACAATGGTGTCCCATAATGCCGTATCCTCCCAGATGCTGGCACTCGTTAATATCTGAAAATCCATAATAATAATAATGTGAATTTATATAGCGCACGTATCCACCAGTATTGGCGCTCAAGGCGCTACATCATTATTACCCTGCTCATTGGGCCAATGAAACATTCCAAATACCATCTCAGCTCCTTGGGGAGTATAAAGCTTGATGCTGCCATTTCGGCGCAAAAAGGCTCAAATCTATCACAATAGCCATCTCTGCCCTCACAGTTACTCCTGGGTGGGGAGAAGCAATGAGTGACAAAGTGCCTTGCCCAAGGGTACACGCACCATATAGCCCCAGGCTGGACTCGAACCCACAACCTGCAGAATTACCCGCAGACCACAATTCAATGCTCCAGAGCATGAGGCTACTGCACTTCACAATGGGTTTATGTTCTAAAACTAAGCAATGAGTATGAGTTTGAGTAATTTGCAATTTGTTCCAGGAGAAGTGCTTGTAGAAAATGATTCTATTCCCTAACTCTATAAAAAAAAGAATGTCCATGAGTACGAGTACTTAGTCATGAGTACGAGTATAAGTATGGGTAATTGTCGTTGTTGTGACAACTACGACCGCTGTTGCTGTGATGTCACTTTAGGAAGACGCTGTTCGATTCAGGAGTTTTTCGCTCAAATTGTGAACCCAAAAATTTGTTCTTTGAAAACATTTGGCTTACTGCCCTGTGCTGACATGACAACGAATCACCAAAGTAAAGAAAATTTACAACAGCAAAATATCCAGAATTCCGGCAACTTTTGGTGCTGAAATAGCTGCAACATTGAGGTTTCTGCCTGAAATGACATCACAGTTTTGCTCATGAATATGGAAATTCACATTAGCATAAAAGCCCAAAAGGTACCAAAAACACCCAAGAAAATGGCAAAACAAGAATTGAAAATAAGGTTAAATGGGACACAAAGGTGCATTTTCAAGGACTGTATTAAAAACATTACATTGCATTGGCCCTTTATGTATAGTAATGTTGAATACAGGAACCAGTTTGTCAACTTTATAATTCAACACAATCTACATGTATGTCATTTGAATACAACAGAGTAATCTGTTCTTTTACCTGTGCAATTAAATCCGTCATCTGCCAGAAGGAATCCTACGTGACACGAGCAGTATCGCCCGTTGAACTTCTCATGGCAGACGTGGTTGCATCCACCATTGTTTTCTCGACAGTTGGCTTTGACTGGTAAAATGTAACAAGTGAGAGGAACAAATGATCACGAGCTAAAAACTGAAAGGCGACAAGAAACTGTTGGAGTTGTAGTGAGCAGCATGCACGTCAGGTAGAGTTTTTATATTTTGAAAGGAACTTGTGCAGATAGTTTTATTCATAAAATAAATCCTCCTCCAAAAAAATCTGAGTATTAAAATTGTTTTTTTTTCATTCAACATGACAGTCAGTGTCAATCTAATATATATCCAAAGGCTCTCCTCAGAACATCAGAATTTACAGAGATTCATGTAAATTTACAGGCAAATACTGTGAAATGTTTTAAACTATTTTTTTCAAACCTGCAGACACCTTTCCCCATCACTAATTTTCCCCAACACAAATTTCCCCTAGCCCTTTTATCGGGCTGTTCAAGGTGCTGTACTCACTCCCACAGCTGCGGCCATCGATCAGCAGTTCTGACCCGGGGGTGGAGCATTCACAGACGAAAGAGCCGATGATATTGCGGCACACTTCCTGACAGCCACCATTGCCGACCAGACACTCATCAACATCTTCAAGAATGGAAAACAAAATCAAAAAACGTTTTTCGGTAAAACCATATAACCACCCTTTATTCTACACAAACTTACAGAAAACAAAAGAATCTTAAAATTAATGTGGCCTGACGTTGCGAACTTAGCAAGTTCTTCTTCAGAGGCTAAAACAGAAATGACAGAGATGCATACATTAACATGGGGGTGCACACAAACATGCAGGGCTGAAAGAAGAAACACAAAAGGAGGATTAGGAGGGAAAGGTGTGGAAAGATGCAGGGGAGGGTGGATGAGAGAACAAAGAAACAAAGGGAGATGGCAAACCACAAGGGGTCTGGTGTAAACAGGGGAAGGACCAGAAAGGGGAAGGATCAAAGGTCACAGGGAGTGGGAACGGACAAAAGAGTGTGAGAGTGAAGGGATGATGCGGGGGGGGGGGGGCAGTATAGAGGTGGAAAGGGATGAAAGATGGCGGGAGATGTGTTAACACAAACAAGGAAGACCAGATGGATTATCTGTAACAGAGGACAATGGAGGAAGAAAAGGATTAATCATTTCCAAGTTGGATGTTGAGACCATGTGGTTGAATAGTTCGAAGACGATTCATCCACACCTTCTCTCTGCTGAGGCGAACTGACTCTTTGCGATGGCCAAGAGATTCAATGCCCTGCAAAATCATATCAGAAATGGAGTGGTTAGGCAGGTTGAAGTGATGACCAACAGGGGTGTCTAGTTTCTTGGTGTTGACCGTTGACCGATGGGCATAGAAACGCTTCTTGAGCGTATTCTTAGTCTCACCTACATACTGCACTCCACAGACCCTGCAAGAAATGAGATATATGACATTAGAGGTGTTACAAGTGATGTTACCAATGGTTCTGTGGGTAGTGACAGAAGAGTGGCCAGAAAAGGAGTCAGACTCCTGGATATGAATCTGGCAGACAACACATCTGGAACTGCACTTGAAAGTACCATGCTGGGTGGGAGGGGATGCATCTAAGGATGGGACTTCAGCTCGAACAATCAAGTCCCGTAGATTTCGAGGACGCCTGTAAGCCAATGTGGGGCCGTTGGGGATGGCGCGGGCAAGGCGATCTGAAGTATGGAGGATATGATGATTGTCATTAGTGATTTTGCGGAGGGGAGGGAGATTGGGGTGAAACGTGGTAACCAAGGGAATCATGGGTTTGGCCATGGCATCAGGGGCCTTTCCCGTGAGAGCTTGATTTCTGGGGATAGATTTAGCTCTGGCAATGGCACGATGAACTTGGCGAGAGCTGTGACCCCTGGCCACCAAGTTGTTCTTCAGTATCTGTGTATGGCGGGAGAAATCGGAATCATTAGAACAAATTCTTCTGAGTCTGAGTGCCTGGCTAAACGCTATGCCAGTTTTGCAGTGCCTGGGGTGACAGCTGGAGGAGTGGAGGTACTGGTGGGTGTCTGTGGGTTTGGAATACAGGTCAGTGGTTAGTGAGTTGCCTTGCTTGCGGACGGTGACATCCAGAAAGTGGGTTTGGTGAGCCGAGAACTCCGATGTGAATTTGATGGTTCTGTGGAAGGAATTGATGTGGTTAGTGAAGGTCAAGAGACTGTCAGTAACTTTTAAATACCTGCTTCTCCGTAATTTATGGAAGTAACGTATCCCCAATATAGCAGAATTGAAGGCAATTGTCAGAAGCAAAGAGCAACAATTTTTTGAGCTGGCAAATTCTGTGAAGTCAGGCCCCATTTGCAAAAGTTCAACCATTAACTGCATGTGCAAATAAACTTCAGAAAGTTTGCATTTTGCCAATATATGCGATGGATGCATATGAGCAATTCAAGTGTTATGGAATGTTTATCACAGAGCTGTTAAGAGCTCGGTGAATAAACCTGAAAATGTAATTTTTCAAATCTTACTAATGCATCACTTACATGTAGTAACGGTCCATGAGATTACAGACTAGGAGTTTGGGATCATTTTCCTGCATCATTAACACTTCATAACAATGTAAATGCCCATACACAGACACATGACAAAAATATACACTGGATTCAGGCCTGTCGCTTGGGGGGGGGGGACCATTAGCATCAAAATTATAGGTATTGTCCTCTCTAAACAGGAGCTTTCACAATTGTGCCACTATAATATAATAATATAATAATAATAATTTGGGAGGCTAATCATCCTTACTCGCAGCTGGTATGCTGAATTGTGAAGGACGCGGCTACAACATGGTCGGGCCGCTGGCACGTACAGGCGCCTATGGCTGCCGGCCACATCCACCCATATATGACCACGGAGCACAGCCTGAGATAGAAAGTGTTTGATTTTTCCGGAGGGAGGAAAACTGGAGGCACAGGAGATAACCAACGCACAACTCTACTCACATGCGATCCGCGGCCAGGATTCAAACCGTGGTCACCTTGGTGAGTGGCGAGCGCTTTACGCACAAGCCACCCGTGCTTTCATACACGAAAGCACGGGTTTCAAACACGAAGCCTTAAGCCGCATCACTCGGCTGTACAGCTGGAAATAACACACGTGTCTACGGGAAGTGGCTGCAGGAGCTAGCCAGTGGCTTCCATAGGTGCGCGTGTTATTCCCAACCGTAGCCAAGTGGTTTCGATACGGCTTTATACACTTATCTTACCCGCGCATGCCCAGGCATTGGCGGCTAGGTGGTAGCCTCGTTGACACTCGCAGTGATAACTGCCCTCCGTGTTGACACAGATCTGGGAACACCGATCGTCAGAGGAACATTCATTCCTGTCTAAGAGATCAAACCATCCAATTCCACTTTTGTAAAAAAACCAAAACAAATTGGTTTAGCTTTAGCAAAGAGCAGATTTGCAATCAAGTCATCACAAGTCAATCAAGAGTTATTCTCAAGTCAAAGTGATAAATCATTCAAATGACGTTGTCAAGGATATTCCTGTGACAATAGAGAGTTTAGGCAGGTTTCAAATTCACACCCGTATCATGTATCCCTATCAATTTTAAGTGTGCAGTCATCACTTTATGTTGTTCTCCTACGTGAAAAGGGGAACTACATGTGGAAGCTAATTGAAACGGGATCAGTACGTATAAATTTCCATCTTTGCCATCAGAATTTCAGTAATTACATCAATCCCTCATTCTTAATTTTATGATTTACCAGACCCGTTGCATTGTAATTTGAAGCTCTTAATTAGGAGAAGTGAAATTTTCACAACGTGAAATTTTGAGCATTTTTGTGAGAAATTTGTGACTTGGTTTCCTCAGCAGCATTACGTATACACAGAAGGGCGATGCGGAAACTGAGTATTGAACACAACTTCATGTATGCTTGGTTCACGTACTCGATCACGTCTTGACGAGACAACTTACACCGTAACCATTGGACCACAGCGCTCCACACTTTTGTTGCTTCGGACGAAACAAATGCACTATGACAAATAATCTACTCCATGCCTTTAACATTTTTGTGAGAACACACCTGATTGTATGTGCATGTCAAACTAGTGTCTTTCAATAACAACATGCTTCGTCATGTTCAAATTTAAGGGGTACTTGTGCAGTGAGTCCATAGTGACCCTGAGGGACAAGTGTAACATTTACAATAATTTAACCTTAAAAAAAAAAAGCGTTCTTCGTATTAAACAACATTCTTCATCACCTCCAGGATGTGATACAAAGGGCCTGAACGTGTTAGTGGAAGTGGTTACTAATAAGGTGTTGCCTTACATTTTCCTGAACGTTTGATTTCGGGGCGTGTGGTTTGCTTGGGTTGTCTGGAGCATCAAGTTAATTTCAACCTTTTAGACAGAGTAAATGTGAGAAGTTGCCAGGAATGTGAGAAAGCAGAAAATTCTGTGCGAGTCGCCCATTTCCGCAGACGCCTTTCTTTGGTCACCTGGCCACTGGATTTACGACCAACACCGAGCCAAAATCCTCAAGCGTTCCTGCGTGAGGTAAACCATTGCGGCTTGCCACTTTTGAACCTTAACATTTGGGTGTTCGGGGAACTGGTTGAAACCACATTTCCGTTGCAAGTTTTCGGTGCCAAATGGTCATTACTTTGCAAAAAAAAGGACTTCCACTGAGTAACTGGAACATCTCCAAATTTGTTGTGTTTTGCTTTTGTTTGAAAGTACTGCCTATCCTAGTTATTACTAAAACATCCTAATAATCAATTTCTCAATTTGTTCCAAAGCCAAACATGGTCAAGTATTATAGGTTGTACCTTATCAAGAATGAGGAATAAGTTATCATGAAGGAAAAGTCAAAAACGACCCTTGTGAAAAAAAGAGAGTTTTGGCAGGTTTGACATTCATGCCCGTATCAATTTTACGTGTAATGTCATCCATTCGTGCGTTCTTCTCATGCGTAATACAAGAAAGTGGCAGGGGAACTATACGTGGAAGTCGATGGACACAGGATCAGTTCACATGAATGTCTGTCTTTTCACTCAAATTTTCTTCCAATTGAATAATTAAGCCAACCTCACATTCTTAATTTTATAATATACCAGACATGTCGGATTGCTATTGGTAATTCTTAAGAATGAATTTTTCACAGCGTGAAATTGTGAGCATTTTTGTGACATAAAATTGTGAGTTGGTTTTCTCAGCAGCAATACGTATACATAGAGAAGCGATGCCGAAACTGAAATTTGAACACGACCTTACATATGGTTACACATATCCAGGCCCGGATTATCCAATAGGCACTGTGCCTAGGGCCTATGAAAAATTTGGGGCCTACGAAAAATATGAAGGCCTACGAAAATACCACAGTGTGGTGTGGCTTGCTTAGTACAACTTACCATAAACATGAAATTGGTGCCGGTGCCTATGGCCGAGTAGGGCCTACAGAACACTGGTGCCCAGGGCCTACAGAACACTTAATCTGGCCCTTCACATATCAGCCATAGTCATACAAATACGGATACGTATACATAATGTATTTTTCTGGATGCCGAAACTCCTCAATTATGAACTTTTCACTTATAACCCTGACAGGCATTTTGAAAAAGACAGCCTCTTCTTTAAAATTCATTCTAGGATCAGAAAACACGAGCTAAGGATTAGAATTGAGAGATATGGGGGGAGGGGTACCCTTACCAATGCATGTGATTTTGTTCTTGGCTAGTTTGTAGCCAGCTCTGCAGCGACACGTCGGCTTGCTATGTCGTATCTCGCACAGCTGGTCACATCCACCATTGCCAACATGGCATGGGTTGCTCGGTGCAAAATCAGTATCTGTATTAGATTGAACAAGGGATGGACAAGAAAAAAGAAGGAAAGAGAGACATGGCAATTTTTGTATAAAAAAGACAATTCATTGTTTTTTAGTATCGTTATTATTATTTCTTTTGCTGTAGCAAGTCAGTTATATCGAGTCATATTAGATTCACATTCAGACAGCGAGTGGTAAATATGTTATGTTAACAACAATGTTACGTCATAAAGACTTGCAACCGAGTAAAATCAATTAAGTTAATCAATTGCAAAGTTACTATATCCAAGTTAGTGCTTGGTTAATTGCAAAAGCTTTGGTCAGAAAACAAAGAGATTTGTTTGCAAATTTGTCAAAACATAAAATAAAATTAGATAAAAATGCTCAGAATTCTAACACAAATAGACGAACAACATTTGTAGGTACGTGATGAAGACCTCAACATTCTTCTGAGGAAGAAGAATTTTACACATGTAAATTGGAAAACGATCAAGAAAGAACAGTGAGTTCTTTAATGGGAAAAAATAGAAAACAGATATTAAATTGACAAAATGTGACCGTCCATAGATTACTGAATTGTAGGCAAATACCATGAGCTAACTACTATTTCTGGGGGGAAAAAACGTCAAAACGGCCAAGTGGCTCATTATCTCAAGCTAATGTGATGATGCTGCGTTTAATCATCATGAGTGACTTTGCCACCCATTATTAGTGGTGGACAGTCAAATGTAGGTGGCTATGATGCAATAACATTGCTAAAACACAAAGTTGTCTTCTTGACAGCTGGGCCGATGACAGTAATTTCCTGATGACTGTGGGCGGAAGCGAGAAGGTGGGGGCTTTGTCTTGACGAAGCTATTTCAGAGATTTTGTCAGATTAGAGGTACAAAAAGGAACATATTTTTAGAAAAACCACTTCCTTGAAGTCATACAGAGAATATGCTGCTGAGATATAAATATGACATGTAAAAATTGTCTATTATGCCCACACCATAACAGGAGGTGTAAACCGGGGGAGGGAATTTTTATGATCAAAAGTAGAGTAGAGAACTTTCAGTCATTAATTACTTGAAGATCAATCACAGAGAATACTGGGCCGATAAAACTAAACATTTTAGACTGAAAGGATCAGTTACAAACAATCTCTTAAGGGCCTTATTCACAAGGAAGCCATTTTGGGTCATGTTCCTTTATGTACTACATAACTTGTGAAATGTTGAATTTGATGTGCCAGACTATTTATGCATTCTAGCCTCACTTTCAAGTTTTTTGTTAATGTGGCTTAAAAGATTGGGATATGTTTAATCACAAATTTTAAATCATTCATCACAGCAGACTGGTATCAATTTGTACGGTGACTAACTTTATGTCACTGCTTGCATTTCTATAGTTGCAAGTTCCAAAAATGAAGATATTACCTCACTTTCAAATCAACATGGCCGACTCGTGAAAGCCTATTGACCACTCAGCAGCAAAACTATTTAAGAAACCTTTGATCTGCAACTCCAACTGCATCCAATGCTCAATCTGATATGTCTTTTGAAAGTGTGTAACAAGTGCATATGCTTTTGCTTTTTAAAATTTTTTTTATTGCATTTGTTGCCCAGGCACTCATTTTTGCTTTGCCAGCTAAAAATTATCCTCATAAACATGTCAACATAATATGTAGCATGTTTCCTCAGAAAATCACAAAAATTATAACTCCCCTCTCCCTAAACAAAAATAAGGTTTACACAAAACCGCAGCTTCCGCTGGACTGCTGTCACAGTACGACATAATTTGTTTGGCCATTTCTGTGCTTTTCTGACGTAAACGACAACAGAACAGTAAAGCAACTCCTGTGGCTTTCTTATTAAGATCAATCTCTGATCGTCCAAAGACACAATTGGGATTGTGATTTTTTTTCGGTTCCAGTCTTGGGGAGGGGAAGGACAGGATATAAACCTGTTTGTCACTGGGTGCGTCTAGACTGGAAATAGGATCTCTGCATCACTCTGATAAAAGATGGGTGGTTGTGGCGGAGGAACCGTTTCATTCGGCGGGAAAATAAATCCAGGGCGAGACCCAGACAAAGTTAAAGGGCTACCCTGCTAACCTGGAAGAAGGTGGGTTGGAGCTATAAGCTCACTTGCAATGATTCCATTTGTATTCTATAATACAACTGAGGAGTGTGCTCATTTCATTGTAATGATAATGTACAAACTTTTTTCTTTTTTTTCACTTCCATATTTTGCATTGAACCAGAAAGAACCTGATTTAATTTTTAGATCCTTTTGCATATAAAAGGGACCGCTTCAGAATTATCCTGTGCATCTTAGAGTATGTAGGTTTACTGTCCGAATACTGCAGCGAAAACCCAAACTATGCAAAGTAAAAGAGACGTAACTTGTGTCGCATTCCACCTATACACTGTCTTTGAACAGTCTTTTGAGGGTGACTATTTTAGCTGTTTTTTCCCCTGCTAGATCTGGCAGATTTTGTGGGGAAAATGAAAATAGCAGAAAAAGCACACTGAAAAATCTAGAAGATTCCTAGCAAAATTCTGTAAAATCGGTGATCCTAACCGAAAAATGTAGCAGTTTTGAACAAGTTTCAATTATCTTTAAAACAAATTTGAACAGTGGGGACAGGCAGGCCAGTCTAAGAGGTTCCCTGACGTGACCTCTACGCAGTGTAGTACCATAGACATGGTAGCCAGGCTAGACATGCACCTACATAGTTTATGCAATGTGCTATGAGAACGTCCGTGTGATGTGAGCCAAGTTTTGCTTAGGAAATATCTTATATGAGGAAATATCTTATGTTATAACAATTTTATAACACCTGCATCGATTTTCATCTGGATGGTACTGGCCTGCTCTAGCGGGAGAACAGATGCTTCACAAGAGGCTGGGCAAAATCACTAAAAGTAAAAACACCTTTCTGAAAATTGTCATGGAAGGTGTGAAAAATTGTCAGAAATGCAATGCTATGTTTTGCTGAATCACATTTGGGCAAAGGACCATATTGCATGCATGCATTCTTCTTGTGTGATTTCGATATTTTCGGTTTGTTTACTTGTACGTCCCGAACATCACGAAGATCAATCATCTGATGATTGACCTCAATTAACCCGAAAAGCATCCAAAATGTGAAACATCCACACTTCTATCCCATTTCCACACTATACATGTGGTATTGAGTAACCATCAACCAACTTCGTGAACCAAACACTAAGGATTTTTGCCCATCTCAGAAGCAAATCATGTCAGAAGCTGATCCCACGATTTTTCTCAAAACTACATTGTACCAACATGGTATTAAGTTGACTTGTTTGACCCTACGAAGGAGTCCAAATTCAATGTTATAGGCTGCACGCTGTGTCTGTCTACATATATTGTGAAGGAAACTGTCAATATGACGATTGGTAGCAGTGAGCACTGGCATACTTCAGGATGACGTGAAGTCTTGCTACCAAGACTGATTTTGCTGGAATCGTCATGATATAAGGAAATTGGGTTAGATATATGATCCCACTGCTGGAAATGAAATGTATCCCATTGGTTCCGCACAGAACTGCTAGAATTTATGAGTATGACTGCAGACTGTCAAGGCAGACGGAATCACATGTGACTTGTGATTCAATGGAATCATGAGAAGTTCAGGGGTTCAAGATTGGTTACTGGCCCTTGAATGTGTCCTTGAGGCACAACACATGAACTCTACACATTTAAAGAATCTACATAACAGTAGCGTGAGAAAGAGCAGATGCATTATAACTTTTGCATCGCACTGTGTAAAAATACAACTTTGCTTGTTCATTAACCAGGTCACGCCGGGATTATTTTTTCAAGAACGGAACGAGGCGCGGCATTACTTTTCACTCAACATCAAGCCAGGCGGGTTGAAGCCATCAGCCTCCGGCAGCAAACTCATGTTTCTGGCCTCGCTCGCTGCGAGTGGGTCGCTGACGGATATTTCTGGCCTCACTCCCTGCGTGTTTATCTGTCATCCATTCCGAATACCGCAAAACCTTTGCAGGTATACACGTCAACCGGCGCAAACTGGCTAAGTATGCATTTCTGGCACTAATCTTTCTGTAAACTTCATAACCTATTGGGGTAGAGTGGCCTAATTAGGGTTTGTGGTTCTTGATCAGAAGGTCAGGGTAGTTGGTATCCAGCTGCCGCTGGCAAGCCACTTCACCTCCACTTGCCTCTCTCCACCCACGAGTATATCTGCACAAGCTGGGGAGTAACCTGTGATGGACTGGCATCCCATCTAGGGGGACTAGAAATATTCTCAGTCATTTCATACTAATGGAAACTGAAGATAAACGCCAGCTTGATGGGCCTTGGCCTATATGGCTCTTGACGGACTTTGCTTTTACATAACCCGGTGTCATATGGTACCGTACTCATATAAACAAACAGAAGTGTTATTAGAATTTGTTACACTTTGATTGTTTGTAGAGCACACACAAAATATACACCCAGCTCCATATGGTACACCAAGTTGAAGTAACCTCAGCTGTTGAAACACGGAGCATCTACAATCAACACAGAGCTTCTACTTGGAGTTTCAAAAGGAACGGGGCCATCTTACAAAAGAAAACTTTAAACATTACAAACAACTGAAATAAATAAACACACAATAAAAAAGAAAATAAGCTTCTCTTCAGGAATTCAATCGTGTAGTCTTCAAAGAACTTGAATGCTGGCAAACACAACTTCTTTGCGACTGACATGTAGATCATGATTCTGAAGTCACGATACCCTGTTCCTAAAATGGTGTCTAAAGAGAAAATTGCCACGAATTGTTCGTCCTTTGCATTTGATTTAAAAAAAGACTAAAGTTCGGATTTTTGAATTTTGGTGTTTGTTTTTTTATCAGTGATAACGGCATGCATCCTTCTGGAAGAAAGACACGCAACGTACACATGGAGAAGTAGTCAGCGGAACCGTAGTCCGTCCTTCTGTTCCAACGATCATCGTCATCGTTATCGTCCTCCTCTGAAGACGATTCATCTCCATCCCTCCTATCTCTATGGTTACCAACAGTTTCTATGGAAACATATGGAGGGATACCATATTTATACCCTAGACAGGGGTACCCTTTTTTTTTACATGGGAAAGTAACTTATTCAGTTAAAAGGCAATTTGTTTTGTGGTAAGTGTTAAGTTGGCACTTTATACAAAACATGACTCAGCACAGTCCTGAATCCTCCAATTTCAATGTGATTTTTCACACACCCTCGGGAGTTGGGGTTAATAACTGCATTGTTATAAATCTAATGGTATTAAGAACAGTTTTTCTTTCGAGAAATACATGGACACTGTATTGATGGAGACATTTTCCACAAACAAATCAAAATAAAATTGCCTTTTGGATAGAACAAAAAAGGTAATTCGTTTTGGTAATTACTGTGGCGTAATGACACCACAATTGAGACGATAACAAAACAAAACCAAAACCTTGACGGTAATCTGTTTTGGGCCAGTGATTGGCAGCCAAAACACTTTTATTAATACGTTTCCCGGTGACTATTGACGTCAATTCAGACATGTGACTCATCTGAATCACAATGACACACAATCACAAGGGATTTGAGGTCTAGCGAGGGGATTTATACGCATGAAGCCTCAAGAGTTGGGGGAGATATTGGGGAGATTACTTTTTAATTAGTTCTTTTTTGTTTGTCAAGTGGAGTGCTATTAAATTGTACTCATAAATTTCAAAAAAAGAGAAGAATACCCTAAATTTCTTTTAATAGATATAAAACTGAACCTTATCAACATTTTTGCTCTGCTGTGCCCACTTGATGTTTTCATTTCTAAGTTCTGTTGTTTGGGGGTTGTTTTTTTTTTGGGGGGGGGGGGAGGGGGGTGGGGTGGGGAGCATGCCTGCCTTAACATTGTGCCCTCACACAAGTTACTCTCATCTTTACCCAGGACACTTTGGATTACGTACACACAATCGTCTGAAAATAATACTAACATAATCAGTCGCCAGTAGCCATCCACAATGCAAAAAGTCAAGAGCAAGCACTTTGATAGCAGTGCATTCCCAAAAGCGCAGCAACAGTCAGAAATGAATTCAAAACAAAAGAGCTGGTTTTGAAAGAAAAAAAGGCCACCACGGCCAAACAAAGTGAAACAAACTGAAATACCTAACTCCCTACTGTCTTTTACCAAGTACTGGACCAAGTCCCCCAAACTCCATCAATCACACTGCTTCCAATGCATGCTTTGCTTTAGGCCTCCAGGCCCAAGTCCATCATACCGGTACTCCATCAATAGTTAGTGAAACCAGCAGGCCTGCAGGACCAAGTCCCCCAAAATCCACCAAAATGGGGGATGGATTTTGATTGACTTGGGGAGGTTAAGGTTAACTCAAATAGCAAACAAAATAAGAATGGGGAATTGATTAAATATTAATTTTTGGTTTTGAAAAAAAAAATGCATTCATTTTCATTGCCATTAGTAGCTACAATTGTTATTAATATTATTGCGCACAAGTACTAACCACACAAACAACAAACAACTCATGCATTTAGATTACATGCAAACATTAAGTACAGACAAACAAAACAATCTCATTATGCAACTTTGTTACTTCAGAAGGTTAATTTGAGGTTTTGGTTTGGGGGGAAAAACCCAAAACTTCTAAAAGAAGCATGCTAATCTCCCAATAAAATCATTGATTGTCACGCAATTAAACATATTAATGTTGCATTTCCTTTTTTCTCTGCATCCTTGTCAACCTTCTAACCCACATCCTGCAGGAAGCCACCGGGAAAAGTTCAAACAAAAAAAGAGGGGCAAATTGCCAAAAATAGGGCAACAGCTGTTATGATGAATGCTTGTGCACACTGCGAATGATTAAAACTGGAAATAATTGATCACGTTTAAAGTTCCATTACTTTAACTGTGCAAATTAACACAAGGAAAAATGTTTTGATCATCAATATAAATGCACCATCAAACATTTTCCAATTTGTAATTGAGGCCGAACATTGCAGGAAATTGTGAACCACTTCACAAAGGTCCCTTACCCCCGGTTCAGACAGGCGTTCTAGAGTCGCGCCGAACCAAATTAAAGGCAGAGATTTGAATTGAAGTACATGAATAGTTCCACATCTGAAACAATTAGGAGCGATTTGACGCACTACATGGCGAAAGATCGACTGTCGGAGTCGTTCAGAATGCCTCAGGAGCGACTTGATTTCAGACGTCGCTCTAGTCATGAGCTGAACTCAATGCAAATTTATGTATTACTTCACATGGAACTTGATGCCCTTTGAAATACAGTAAAAAGAAATAGGCCATTGGTTTCCGGAACAGTGGGGGATTTGGAAAGATTCAGCAAGATTTCTAGTAAAAATGCCTAAGGGTCAAATAGCAGGTTAGCAGAACAGGCGGGGTTATGTTTTCATTGACTCACCGACTTCCTCAAACTCAATATAGAAGCCTTGGTAACCGACCGACTCGTCACTCAGAAATCTCATCATCATCACGTTGGAGGATGTTATGACTGGAGTGGGTATGTCCGAGCCGCAATATCGACCAATCAGCTTTGAGTCTGAGGGGGAAATAGAGGGGACGTATGTAAGAAAGAAAAACAACAAAAATCTGATTGGTTTATCGAAAATCATATATGTCGTATGGGCTCCCTTAAATGAAAATTGCCCCACACAAACTTAGGGTAGATACAAGACAATCACAACTTTATTAGAATAATAGTAAAAGAATCGCTATTTTACTTGTGACAGAGGTTGTAAAGTTGCCGCACAATCGTGAAAAAAGTTGGACAAAATTTTTTTCAAAATAGCAGGCGGAGGAGATTCAACGACTGAACGAACAAAACCTTACACAAACAGCCCTCAGAAATGCTGCTATTATCCTCTCCCAAGATGTTTAGATTATTTAAAACGTTGAGCAGCTACGGCACGTTTCGTGAAATCGATCGCAGCTGCGCATGGCGTTAGTTACGCACTGTTTTGGGAAATCAGGGCCAATTTCATGGTGCTGCTAAGCACAAAAATTTGCTTAGCACAAAAAATGTCTGGCTTATAACAGCAGGTTACCAGCCTAAACTCCATGTGATTTTCATGCTAAGCAAACAACAGCTGAATAATAATCTTAAGCAATATACATCACGTGGGGTTTTGGCTGGTAACCTGCTTTTATAAGCCAGACATTTTTTGTGCTAAGCAAATTTGTGTGCTTTGCAGCGCCGTGAAATTGGCCTGCTGCTGGACCATGCAGTTTGGCATTGCAGAGACGCATGTGCTGTTGCCCAATGAACTCAGTGGGCAAGCTTAATGCATCGGTCTACTGATATGCAAAATATCAATTATTTCTTGAAAATTTGTAAAACTTACTTTCAGTTGTCCCGTCAAATATCTCCAAGCTGTCATAACTGCAGTAAGTTGGCGTTCCTTCTATCGCAAAGATGAGAAACTGGAGCCGTATCAGTTTGTTGTTGCCGACGGTGATCTTGTAGAGGCAGTTCTGATTGCTGGGGTAGTAGCCGGGGTAGTTTGGGGAGGTCAGCTGTCCTCTTGGGCCAACAAGATTTCTTGAGCAGCCTGTTGAGAAAAGGCGTAGGCCAACAATGATTCAATTATTCAGTTTCTTAACTACTAGAATCTCCACTTGCCTATGGGGGTTTTAAGCACACAGTGCGCCATACTCTTTGCAGAGAGTGTGGATGGAAGATTGGTGTGTAAACATCATAAGGAGAATCGGGGTTATACGTACATGGAGGGTGACTAAAAACATAATAAAATAGCCAACGTGACTGCAAATTTGTGATGTCGCACAGCCAATTGGCAAAATAGTGTTTGGTGCCGTCAAATTCACATTCGTTTAAAGGTAGAGTATATCATATGTCATTTGTGCATTGTTTCTTTTGACGCAACAAAAGTGCTCAAAATCTAAAGAAGGGTGCTTAACAACTAACCAACCAAGTTTTAGCTCAGTGAACGCTTTATATTCTGAGAAAACAATATTCTAGGATTCTCTTTCAACTGATTACAGCTATACGCGATGTCACGCACTGAACCGACGATTTATAGCAACACCAATTCCAACTTTGCTGAATGACATACGAACTACTAACAGAAATTTCCAAAAATGCATCTTAAGATGCATCTTTGGAAATGGTCTTCTTTTATTGTTTTCTTCAAAATGACAGCATGCAAGAAAGAATAATTTCACTGGAAGTTTAGTGCCATTACTATCTTTTAACGGTATGCTTTTTAATAATAATTTTGTCAGTTACTTTTTGGATAGCTGCAAAATGATATACTCTACCTTTAAATTGTAAAACAGCCTAATAATGACATACATCCCTTTTTTTCTAGCAGGAAACATGTCCTTTTTTGATTGCAACTTTGCCAGGTTGGGTTTTAATTGTCTAATTAAAATTCTACGCCTTTCCCCCACCAACAAAAAAACATAAAAACAAAAACCTTCTTTGTCTGAGCATTTTGAAAAATGGTGTTGGGGTTTTTTTTATTAAAGTAAGGGCCAATTCATATCCAGGACGAGTTCCGGACAAGTTGCGGACATTGCATGGGGTATAAGTTGCAGGATTCTGAGCAACTTCCCCGAAATCTTCCCGCAATGAAGTTATCAGCATTTATGAGTTAAACAGTTGCTAATGAAAATTTCTCCAGAACATGTCCGGGACAAATGCAGGGCTTCAACCAGACAAAGTGAATGATTCTACCCGCAACTTGCCCTGGAACTCATCCGGATATGAATTGCGACAGGCCCTAAATATATAATCTGTTGCGCATTGGAAGTTAACACTCTTGCAAACAGTACGTTCACTCATCTACAGGTCTTCCAAAAAGTTGGCAGCATTTAGAATCTTTTTCCAAGGTTCATCTATCGAAAAGTACACAAAAAGTCTGCCAAAATGTTCACCCAAAAGACTAATTTAGCACAGCTGTGGACAAGCTTAGGAGTTAACCTGTGATTAAACTTACTTCAAAGAAATGTGCCACAATATTGTGATCAATCCATACCTACAGGAACATTTTTGGAAAGGCTAAGGAAAAAAATCTTGCAAGTCATATAATGGCTACATGCCAAAAAAAATAATTTTTTTTACGAAAGTCCTTGCCATTGCTTCAAATTCTAAATGGTTTTAACCTTCACATCTGTGAGTTAACCAATCTCAGTTTTTCAGCTGTTATCAGCTTTTCTGCAAGCGTGCCAGTGTGTGCCAACCGAGGAGTACACCGCAATAAATTTGCTTAATTTGTTGAAGAGATTGTTGTTCGTTAGGATTTTTATTTATTCTACTTGATGTTCTTTGGACAAACAAACGACATCAGGAGTTTATACTTCAGTCAATAGCATTTGGTTGTTTTGTTTCGAGAGAATATGAGTTAGTTTAAAAAAAGATAACTAAAACAGTGGCAGATCCAGGGGGGTGTGGACGGGGCATCACCCCCCCCCCCCAGTGACTGAAAGTTTGTCAAATAAGGCCATTTTTCCCACTTGAGAGAGCCCTTCTGCCCCCCTCCCCCACTGCACAGCCTCAGCCCCCCCCCCCCCCCCACTAACCTCTCTGGATCTGACAAGTCAACACAAAAATCTCTGACAAAATCTCAAGTTTGCACGTTGGGCACAAACATGTTGTGTGCTCTTAAAGCAATTGTACAGAATAACCTTGACAGTGACCTGACATATTAAGGTCTAACATGGGACAAACATGAACAGCATGCACAGCTGTGCACAGCCGCGGCGGACGTACACGCATATGATGGAGTACCTAAAGGTTCAATGGTCTTGTCAGCATTGGCCTAGTGAGGGAGTTCAGAACTTCCCAGCACCAAAAAGGAGGGATGAAAAAGGAAGATAAAGTGACCAAAAAAAAAAAGGAAAAGGAAAAGAATAAGACAGCACCCAAGCCATGATTCTAAACTCTACTTTGAGTAGCGCCACCTAGTGTCAGATGATGTCCAGCCGACGCAGAGTTTGCGTGTTTGCATTTTGTAGACACCACTTTAAGTTACCTGTAGCTTTATGCAGTGTTGTATTTGAGTATTTTTATCCGAGTACAAAGTACTGCCGAGTACCAAGCTTAAGTACCACTCACACCCAAGTACTTTGACCCTTGAGAACGAGTACAGGTACCCAGGTCCAAGAACCTAAACCTTTGAATTACTTTGAATTCAAATCTGAGTACTTTGATGTTCGAGTACGAGTACTGTACAACACTGGCTTTTCGGCTGACTAATTTCACCACCAAAAAAAAAATAACCACAAAAAAATATCAATAAAATGTCTTTTTTAGATTTTACCTGTGCTGAAGTTGGCATGGAACCCCAGCCTCTCTATGGAGGAATCACTGACAAATTTCACGTAGAGTTTGGAGCCAGTTGAGGTGGCAGTGCGTGGGGTTTCCTGTCCGCAGTAACGACCAAGCACTGGCGCCATCTCATCAGCTCCGTCAAATAAGATCAGGTAATCGTAACTTCAAAGACATACACAAACAGACAGAGTGTGAGGACACATCATTGATAGAGCCAAGAACAATCATCATTATCAAAATCCTGAAAGTACGGTATACAGCAGGAGAGTACAATTTCAACATTTAAACATATTTTCAACTGTCAAACATATCAAAGTTTAAAATAGTTCTTGACTGGAATGTTTTCTGGATGAACATAGATTCTTAATTGACTGACCGATTGATTAATGGGCGTTATGCCCGAGTGGCCATTTTTGTCGTGTCCCCCGAATGTATTTCATAAATTGTGAACTGTTGAATGGGACGATGCCAGACTATCTATTTATATACAATGTATAGCCTCACTTGCATTTTTTGTTAATGTGGCTTAAAACATTAGAGTTTGCTCCAATCACGAATTGTAAACGATTCATCTGAGCAGACTGTTATGAATTTGTAATGTCATTGCTTTCATTTCTCTACACAAGTTCCAAAAATGACGATTTTAACTCCCTCTCAATCCACCGACTTGTGAATAAAGGCCATTGATCAATTGATTGACTTTTATGAAGAGGAGGGGGGAAGGGTAGATGGTTGGGGAAGATGATGACAGCTTGTCTTCCATGGGTTCCTTGCACAAACAAGAGAGGGAGTTTTTTACCACTTTCGAGAGACCAGTAGATGGGACACACCGCATGCGCATACTGGTTCGCACGCCTATTGCGCGAAGTACGCCCAACTTGTTATATTCTGAATGTACACAAAGCCATAGCATCTTCGCATGAGTGTCATGTGTCGTTGGCAATGTGTTTGAAAGTCTCTCCCAGTCGTCTCCCCCAACTCTCCCTTACTTACAGTTGAGGGGGTAGTTGTGCACGGAGCCCATGACTGCTGTGGCAAATGCTTACTGGATTACTCCCTCTAATAATAATCAGACCTGCCCCGCCCACCCCGACTTACTAGCAGTCTGCCGAGTCCTCAATCTCGAAAGAGTTGAAGGTCAGAGAAACATGGTTCCCTTCATCTGTTGTTAACTTCCAGGCACAGACTGCATCTGCAGGGTACTGCCCTGGGTAGTTAGGGGAAGTCAGGGTACCAGACCCAGCGTACATGTGGCTTCCGCATCTTAGCGAAACACCGTCTACTTGCTGGTAGATGCTGCTAATGCTGATCATTCTGTGAAGGGAAAAATAAAGATAAAATTGCAATACTTGAAGGTGGTGCATTGACTTTCACTTCAAAGGTTTCTTGCAAGCCTAGTTTCCATATCACCGTTAAGCTTACGCAGACTGCTCAGACAGTGCGCGGAACCGTCGGCAAAGTTGAACCAGGCTCAACTTTGCCAATAGTCTGCGAGATAGTTTGCGTCTGTCTGGGTTGTCGGTGACACTTGAGGATGACATGTTTCCATCTATCTGCGTTGCAGTTTGATTCTTGTTTGCGTTGCTCGATCTGCATTTCTTACCTCGATATGGAAACTAGGCTTCACACTCACCAACACGTAGCTAGTCTTGGTCCAAAGGCTGGATTTGGATTTTATTTTCCTTATGCAGCCAGTTCCAGTCCCTTGCAAGCTAGGGCACTCTATTCAAACTAATGCTTGATGTATATGCTCTCATTTCTTGGGTTGGAGTGCCAAAGTTCCCAAGATTTGATTTGATTCATCTTGTTGATAGCGCCCTCTACTTTTGTCGTGCTTTGACTGCGCTTTTCCAGGCTGTGCTCATTTTTTGCATGATTTTTCACATTTTTGCGGCCTAGGTTTTTTTTTTTTTTTTTAACCCCTAAAACCCACCTTCCTTCAGCACTGGCATCCCTAACCCCCCATCCCTTACCTAGGGACAGCTGGTAGAAGTAGAAGGCCATCATTCCTCAGTATCAATTACAAAGCAAACTTGCCACAGTCAGATACGTAATCTTTTCAATGTCACCTCATATAATTCAACCCTATCCCAACTGTACAGTGATTTCTTGTGACATGAAACCACTTGTCAATGTCAAAATCTTGCCACACAAAACAAATTCCTAAAAACACACACACACACACACATGCCCAAGGGCTCAAGCCAGGGCCTGATCCCCTGGAATGTACAATGTACATGATTTGTACATGTATCCTGAATTGGATTCTAAATGCATGCCCAGGGGTGGGGGTGAAGGTGCATAAGGGGGTGGGCAATCAATTACCAGGTGCAGGTGTAGCACTGAGGAATTACAATTTCAAGAACATGTTATAATTGTACTCAGGCTTTACATATTATTGTCTTTTCATTGATGTAATGGTAAATGTTGGGATATCTGAAAACTTGCAAGAAAATTAAGTTCACAAGGTTGCTTAGGCTATATAGGTTGTACATGTTTGTAACTCCTGCTGTCACTCAAGAGTCATTGACAATACTACAACTGTTAAATTGAATTCACACTTGCCTTCTGAATGTGGTGAAATTGGTGGTCAAGTGGTAAGACATCCACACTAGTAAGCAGGAGGTTGTGGGTTCGAGTCCCACCTGTCTACCCTTGCGGGGTTTTTACCCTTACATCACTCTGGATATCAGCCATTATAGCATTATGTTGGTGAAGAGAAAACATAAATGGATGTTTACCCAGGAATTTATTGCTGCCCTATTTGAAGGATAAATCTTGCACAAATAACAATCTCAACTTCAAAAATTTGCTGAATGGATTCTCCGGCAAAGTGCATGACATCAGCTGACTCTGTTCCCACCATGAGACGACAAACCACAGGAATGTACTTATTACTTCAGCAAAATTCCCCCTCGGGTTTTTAAAATTTATTTTCAAAACAGAAATTCTTCAATATTATCTCAGAATCGGTTTCATAAGGGTTTCTCGGCCGAGAAACGCTCACAAACAACCGTCGGGGAGGGTCTCGGGCCATTGGGGGAAGTATTCGGAAAGGGAGTCCGGGACTAGACACAGAGATTCTTCCCATGGAGTCCAGGTGAACTGTCTGACCTACAGCTGTTATTCTCTTGGGTTTCCTTTAGGATTTTGGGGGGAAATTGCCTGAAATTAACACCGTGGAAACATGCCCCTTTGGTGGTAAGTTTATATTCCATGCCCCTTTGGTGGTACACTATAATCAAAAGAACCCAAGCAAAATGCACAGGGCTTTTTTGACCAATAACAGTATGAGTTTTTGCTGACATTTACTTTTTGTCATTCCATATTACAAAAACAAACAAACAACAAATTTGAAGTAATGGCTGGCAGATGATTTGCTGACATGTCATCTTTAAAAACTTGAAATCCTACAATTTATTGGGCTGAGAGGAAGCCTTTGAAATGTCAAATTCGAGGTTGGTCTGGGATGATATGCTTTGTCACTTCCTATAAGAAGGGCTCTGCATGTAAATACTTGATTCCCAGAAACTAAGTGAGCCATGAGAAGCAACTGCTTGAAAGGTCACTCAGAGGCCATCATTTATGAGTGTAAAATTGAATTTGCAGCTAAGGCTTGGCAAAACACAACTTGAAAAGCAACTTTAATGACATCAAGTAATTATCTGGCTGACCATCATCATTCTTTTCTTTAAAACAAACTTCTCTATTGCTCAAGGAGTTTATTAAAACATACATCACTTTGTTGACTTAGTTGACTTAGGAGCACAGAAAATATTTGTGTACACGCAACTTCCGTGTGCGTTCGAGTAGCTCACTTGGATAGACTCGGGTAAAGGCAGACGGGTTAGCCACAAGAGCCATGCTAATCGAACGCTCAAACACGAACCATCATGATCCTCATGTGAGGCCCGTAGCTGTGGCTGTGGCCATTGACAACATGCCCTTTTGGATCTGAGTCTTACTTTGAGATTTACTGCTCTTCCGAAAATCGCAAAAAGTAACAAAGATGGGCTGGAATTATAGCCTTTTAAAGGCGAATTAGCACATTAAATAATTATGTTTAGACTTCAATAAATTTGATTTTTGGGTCCGCTGGATATTTTTTTCACTATCTGACCGCCATATTTGTTCGTTTCTTGTAATGAACAATGCGTTTGCGCTATTTCCTCTACTGACTCTCCACGAGCAGGGACAGGGGTGGCTGACCAGGTGAGCCCTGAGAATGACATCAGAGCTAATCGAACAGCACGGGGCGAATCCGAGGGGACCAGGGTGAGCTAATCAAATGCACCCCTAATTTAAAAAAGAAGGGGTAATCAGCCAAAATGCATATATACTTTTTCAATACGTTTCGATTTACGCTGTTTTTTTTTTTGCTTGGCAACCAATTTGGGAACCACTTTTTTCTTCTCAGTATCTTAAAGAAATTGGGTCCAATTCAGAAAATTTGCTGAACTATCAAAATCCAACATAGCCGCATATAGCGTATTTGGGTATTGTACATGCAAGAGAAATGTTACATTTTGACCGATCAAGAAGACAGCCTTCGACCATCTGCCAAGTTTGTCCGTTAGATGGTCAGTGCAGATGATAGATACTGCAAATAACCTAACCCTTTCATTTCCGACAGAAGCGTCCACACCGTACATGAGGAAGTGCACCCCACCGAGCTGCATACTTCCCTAAATGTGCTACGGTGCAGCGTCCACCGGTGGTGCATTATGTTCAATTTCTCCATCTGTGGGTGTCTGATTTGTTTGTTGACTCTTCCGCAGTGACAACATTAAGCAATTTCTGTTGCCACTGTCCGTGCCTCCTCAAGCCCTCCCCTGGACTTAGGACCAATCAAAAACTACACCACTGGCAACAAAAATTAGGTTTGACCAGTGACAGGGTTTTGGCAAGCCATTTGACCCTTCATGGGGTGACCTAAATCCACCTCGCTGCTCCAGATTTTTTTTCAAGAAAGTAGATGCCAAACGAGATCCGAAAATATTTTACACTTGTACCGAAACTTGAACTGTGCAGAGCTCCAAAATATCCTTTTCACTTTTTTCCCAGCTTCACCTGATTTTTAAGTAATCAGGCATGCAACTGGGAAGTAACCACAAAAAAAAGAAGGAAAAAAAAGGAATTCCAAGCTTTACAAGATTTTATACGATGTTTTTTAAATAATGGCATAAGTGTGAAGTACAAAACGAGGAAATCAGCTGATCCGAGGAAAAGTTACAACTTGGACATGCAGAGCATGCTATGAAGGGTTAACTAAGCACTCAATATTTTGTTGAAAAAACACAATTCTTGACTTCCAATTGCAGAAAGTGAACATAAATGGAAAAATCTCTCCGTAGGCATTAAGGCATTTCCACTACGGTGAAGTCAGAAGGCCAGAAGTTCGTCAGAGCCTCATGACACGTTCGGTTCAAAGGTCATACTGTGAGAACCTGCATCCAAAATACGTCCCGGCCCCACAGGTACCCCTACATGACCCCGAACAAATATGTTTTGCTTTGGTGGATCCAATGTCACCTATAATTCCAGATGACATTTCAAGGAGGTTGTTTTTTTTTTCCCCCTCCACGGTGTTGGGAGATGATGGGAGTGATGCACTCCAGTGCGAAGTTCAACACATTGTGGAAGGAATCCGGTTACATTAATGCGTTACTTTCCTTGAATGACCTAATGAGTTGAACATGCAAACCTGGTAATTCAATTTCTTGTTATCCAGGGGATCTTTTTTCCCTACTCTTCCATTACGGATGTTATTTGTATTGCAATCTTATACAATGCCTGAATTAAATCCCCGTCATCTGATTGGTCGGTAAGCTGATCACGTGTCATTGAATTATTCATCCCAACGCACGGCAAAAAATAGAAGTTCATTTCCACGGTAAACGGAAGTTCCATATTGCAGGGTCACACTTTTGGCAGCTCTGACCAATCAGATGATGAGGATTTATTCAGGTGTTGTATAAAACAAATAATGAATTTACAATGGAAAGAATAATTGCATTCGGTGACAGATGGAACATTCCATCTGCCACCTTATGAAATTATTCTTACCATTGCACTCACAAACATTAATTAATTGTTTAATATGGCCAGCAGAGCTTAACATTTCCCATATTAATGTTTCCAAATATTGATACCATCTTCGTATTTATCAATTCTCTGCAATTTTGACTCACAGTTACTCCTGCTACGTGTATGTTCAGCAGAATACAAGGGTCAAGAATAAACCTGAAAATATATTTTTCAAGTCTTGTACGCTCATCATCTGGTAACGGTCAAGGAGATTACAGATGAGGAGT